AATATGTTAAGGAACTCATTCCATTCGCGATACTGTGATAGCATCTTTGACCCTTGTGACCATAATATATGATAATCGGTGATTTGATTTCGTATCAAACGCGTTACAGCCTCCGATCGAATATCGAGCAATTCTTTGCGCGACTTGGCCGATTCCTGATACGAAATGATCTTGACACGATTCTTCACTTTGTCAATCATTTGGGCGAGCATCAGAAATGCCAAATCGATGTTAATGCTCTCATGCGCCGATGTCTCAATCAATTGCACCGTGCTCTTGTAATCCTTGCGTTGGCTAATCTTTTCTGCCTCGCGCACATACAGCTCGTAGGCGTCGTCATTCTTGGTGGTCACCAGAACAAGTGGTTTCTTATTCTTTAATATATTTGCAATCGCATTCTGTACGAATTCAACTTGCTTCTCAACGCTACGGTTTGGCACTGGACTCACATCGAAGACGACGACAAAGCCATCGATACTCAATCGCCCGTCTGGCATCACTTTTTGTTCGTACTCCTTTTCGATGCCCAATTGATTTTTGCATATGTACATCAATTTCTCCGCAGAAAAGACTTTTGTCGCCGTGCAGCGCTTCAGATACGGATCCATTTTGCCGACTTTGAACGCTTGAAATGTCGAATCGTCCATAAACTCTGTTTGTTCGATTATATTGAAATTGTATTCGACGCCCTCGTCCGTTGTCTTGCGCACCTCGCCCCAATAGAGAAAGTGATCATTATTCACAATTCGACCACTAAAATCACTTTGACTTAGCACTGATATGTGATCTATAAAATAATCGTCGGCCATTGGCCGCATAAATCTGTTGCACAAACATGATTTACCAACGCCAACCTGGCCGCGATCCTTTTCGGTCCCGGATAGTCCAATGACCGAAATATTGAATTGACGCATCTTGTTGTTGTACCTGAACAGAGAATAAAAAGGATCATTAAGTTTATAAGTTCATATTTTTATACTCCGAATATCGTGTATATATGTATCTTTGATCTACATTTTAGATAATTATAATAATATCAATATTTGTTAATTCATAATCTATTAAAATTAAAAATTAAAAGCGACATTTAATGATCGATTATTATCGATAAGGAAATGGGATTGGAAAATAATAAACTCGTGCTGCGTATGGTATTCATTTCAAATTTCAATTCTATCAAGATCGACTCAGCTCGTTGTTCCGATCAAGAATATATATATTTTTTATAGGGTCTGCCACGCCTTCGTCTGCCTGTTACATACATTTCACGCAACTAATATACCCCGTCACTATCCACAATTAGCCTTTACTGAAATATACATCTATTTTGAAACTCTTAGTCATATCATAGTCTTAATCTGAGTCATATACTAGCTTCGACAAGTTTGCATTAAAAACCTTGAGAAACTTTGAATCTATATAAACATTTCGAATATTATGTTGATATATAAAATATACAGAAAATTACACATATTCCTTGTCGTTTTTTCCCAAGCCGATAAATAGATTGTACAAAAATGATTATGGGAACTCTAAGAACTTGGATAGTTCATTGGGTTATAAAAACAAGAGTTCATAACGCGACACAACACCACATTAAACTAGTTAAAGAAACAAATAAACAAATTTTATCACAATTTCTATTAAATATTGAAAGCTTTTAGCCGAAAAGACTTACACCTATATAAGCCCAGTTTGTATGGGTTCTTTAAACATTTCTATTTATTATATACTTGTTTTTTTTTTTTTCTCCAAGTATTTTGAATCACATATAAATTGACCACTATAATTCCGGAATTGCCACAGACAAATGTCCGTAATGCTTGAATGAAAAAGTGTCGGCATGTTTGACCAGCTACTACTTACAGGGTATAAAAAAATGAAAGAAAGCAAGGAAATGAAAGAAAGGGAAAAAGTAAGCGAAAGAACAACAACAACAGTAGGGCAGAACTTGGCTGAGGGGGCCTCCTCCATTGGGATACATCCACGACTGGACATCTCATACGCTAGAGAGCAGAGCAGAACTGAGAGCCTGCGCTTAGCGGAGCATACGCACACAGCCGGCGCAGTCGAATGCAAATTGCCACCTGACGCCCTCCACTCTACGCCCCCTCGTTCTACCACCTACTAGCTACAGCGATAGCAAAAAAAAACACATTTGCACAAATTTTAAAACATTTTGTAGTTTACTTTGCACACACACACACACGCACGCACCTTTAATTTAACATTATTTTAAATATTGTTTTTTTTTTGTATTATTTATTATTATCGTTTTTATTTTATTTTAGTCTTCGTTGGAAAAGTTCTGCAACAAATTGAAAATCCTTGTATGCCTGCTGCTGCTGTTGGCTGCGCTGCTGCTGCTGCGACAAACGCAACTAAGCAAGAAACAGAGAGCAAATACTGATTTTATGAGAGAGTGAACGCGCACAAGCGAGTATCTGTTTGTGTGTGCGTGTGTGTATGTGCGAGAGGGCGCGCGCGACTTTTGAGAGAGTAGTCGCAGTAGCAGCAGAATGACAGTTATGTCAAATGTGGGTGGCGTTTTGTTTTTGTTGTTGTTGTCTTACTCGTTTGCCCTGTGCATTTTTGGTTCTCTTGTTGCCTGTTATCCTGCTCTCTCTCTGCTAACACATTTTGCAGCAATGGCATGTGTTCTCTTCTGCGTTCTGTGAATGAACACACACACGCAGACAAATTCTATAAGCAATTGCAGTTAGTTGCGCGCGTGTGGGTGTGTACGCTTTTAATAAAAGCAACAAACACTCGAAACGTTAATTGAGTTTTCCGGCTTTACAAGAATTACACAAATATGCGACACAGTTGCTGCTGGTGCTGTTGCTGCGTGTACTACAGCTACAGCGTTGCCACCTTTTGGGCTCCATCTGCAAAAGAAGTGGCAAACAGAAATGCAAACTGCAAGTGCAGCACGCAGAATCAAAATTTATTTTACGCAGAGGTTCCCAGCAACAGATTTCCTGTACAATGTGTGTCTACATTCCCCGGTCTGCACAACAGGCAGCAACAACTACACGATTAGAGATGGACGCGCAACGAGTTTCTCTCCATGACAAACCAGACTTGGAAAACAATACACTAATTGAGACGACGATATGCATATATTATCGATTATGAGTTCCGAATTATCATTTCATAACTTGCACTCAATGTAATTTTCACTGTTGCTTAATTCTTTCAAGCTCGTTTCTACTATTTTTTCTTTGGAAATGTAATTGTTGATGTGATAAAGACTTAGACAACAAAAATCAATCTACAGTACACACGAAATTTGAACACCCACATAAGGTGCCGAGTCCTGCGTGTCACGTGAGTAAGCACGACTTTCACACAACTCTATCTACGATAACAGCAACAACAACAACGATGACGACGACCCTTGCACAAAACTCTGCCTCTCTCTCTCTCTCTGTTTTGTTGTTGTTGTGAAATTGTCTCAATTGTCTTTAGCAAAGAGCGTCGAGCAGCAGGGGCGGTGGCGATTCTGTAAGGGGAATGTATGAGGGGAGCAACTGCATGTGCAGCGAATGTTTAATGGGTTCCATTCGGTTACCAATTTTATAAACTTCATTGAGTTTTTAGCCAAGCTGTAGGGCATGAATCGAGGGGGAGTTAATGGAAGGTGGTATGCAGTGGAGGGGTGGAGTTCAGTAATTACCTGCAGTTGCGCACAAAGAAGTGGACGACTGGACAGCCAAAAGAAACGAACAAACAGACGTTCGATGGTCGTCGATTCAACGTTTACCGATTCCCGATTCTGCTTTCGATTCCCGTTGTATTCGTTTATCTTGACTTTGTTTCGTGCATGTGAATGTGGATGCTGAGAATGGCATCCAACACACAAAGTCTTCTTCTAATACTCCTTTGGCAGCAACAGCATCCACCAACACATACACAGAGAGGGAAATAGTTGACAGTGAGAGAGAAAATGGGAGAGAGTTGCACCGATTTAGTCAAGTTTATATGCACTGCAATTAGCCACTTGGAAATGTGCAACAAATTGGAGTTGTACACTTATTTGCTTTAATTATTTTCCAACCAGCCACAGCCAACAGCAACAGCATTTTCACCAATACACAGAAAGTTACACACATTTATAGAGTTACACACACTCACGCGCGCAGACCAAAAGAGCGAGCGTGTATACAAGACAATTACGAATCAGCATCGTAAAATACAACAAAAAACGAAAAAAAATTGGAAGCGCAGAGAGAGAAAGAAAACTTCCGACGCAAGTGAAAAATGTCGAGGCGCTTAAGGCAATGTTTTACTTGAATTTTATGCACATACTGTATTAAACATTTACTCACAATTATTGCACTTGCACAGCTCCAATGCGTTTATTAAACGTTATAAAAATTAAGAAAATAAAACTATTTTTATATATTCCTCATCCGAGCTTCAATCTGCAAAACAATCTGAGCTACAATTCAATCGATGGCAACTAAGCGATACCATCGATTGCATTGCATTTGTGCTGGCCATCGATGGCTTCTTAAAGTAAACTATCGATATGTATAGTTGGCTTTCACTTTTTTGTTTTATTTAATATAAATATGTATTTGAAAATGTATTTAAACTAGCGTGAAAGTTAGCAAATAGTAACAAATAAATGATTTAATAATATGTAAAGAACCATGTCAGAAATAAAGCATCACAAATTGATTTGCTCCATGCACAACAGACAGGCACAGATGGAGTCTTAAAAACATGTCAGTAAAGTAAAATATTTAATTTTTAAACCGTATGCAAAAGTGTACAATAATTTATAAGACCTTTAATAATTAAGCTTCGAATTTAAAAATTTCCTGTTCTCAGCCGCGCTGCATACTAGTTGCTGTCCCAGTAAACATCGATAAGTCGATAACTTTAATTGTGCTCAAATCTTTATTTGTTGCTTGCGCAATTTTTTGTTTATTAATTATAAATACATTTAATAAAAAAAAAAATAGAGAATAACCTAAATAATGTAACGCTTAGATGTGTTTGTTTAAAGAAAGAAAAAACATATATGAAATACATTCTGTATGCCGCTTCAATTGAATAGTTGAATTGCAGTTGGCAGTGTTCCCGGCCAGCTGCGACGGCGGCGGCGACGTCGACTTTGCATCTTCCCCTCCTTCTCCTCCTACTCTTCTTCTTCTAGCATTTGCGCTTGGGCGTGCGCCGTTTGACGCCGCAATTTTCCACCTTTTTGTTGCCCTTGGCAATGGCCAGCAGCTTAACCAGCTTCTTGTGCGAATCACCAACGATCCAGCCGTGTTTCTGATATTGCTCACTATCATCAAAATGTTTCGCCGTCAATTGTTGCTGCTGCTGTTGCTGTTGCTGTGCATGTGAATGTTGCTGCTGTTGCTGTTGCTCATTAGCTGTTGGATCTGCAGCGGCTTGCGTTGGTGCTTGCGCTGCCTCGGCTGCTGCAGCTGCAGCTGCTTCGGCTGCCTCCACATTGATGCGCCCAAATTCATCGTCACTGGAGCTGCTCCAATAATAAAGCTGCTTCTCACTCGCCGGTCGCTTCCTGCGCGCCGGTGATTGACGATGCGTTTGCGATTTTCTTTTCGTTTTCAAATTTTTGTTGCTGCTGCTGCTATTGTTGTTGTTATTATTGTTGTTAGTCGCGACTGCAACTACTACAGCTGCTGCTGTCGCTGTTGCTGTGGCTGTTGCAACTGCGGCTGTTGCTGTGGCACTTTTATTGCTGCTGCTGCTGCTGCGAGGCTTTTGCTTACTTGCGCTCGCTGCTTTCTCCTGTTGCTGGTGCTGCGGCTCCTGGCAGTGATTCAGTTCCGGTGACTCCTCAAGCGTTCGCTGCTGTCGACTACTGCGCGTTCGTTGCGATTGCAGCTGCTGCAGCTGTTGTTGTTGCTCTTGTTCCGCTGCCTGTTGCTTGCCACGCTTTTTGCTGCTCGCTGCTGGCTTCTTGGTGGCCTTTGTCGCCTTGGATGCGGGCTTCGCACGTGTCGCTTTTGTCTTTGTGGGCGTGGCAGGCTCTGAAACACGCTGTCGCGCACGCTTGGGCTGCAGCAATTGCTCCACTGGTTTCTGCTGTTCTTGCTGCTGCTGCTGCTGCTGTTGCTCCAGCTTGCGTCCCTTGCGATTCTTGGCATTCGTCAAGGGCTGCGCCGCTTTCTCTCGTGGCGCTGCAAACGTCTCCGGCTGCGCTTCGCTTGTCTTGCGCTTGCGCCGCTGCTCCTGCTGCTCTTTCTGCTCTATTAAAGCTATAATATCCTTGGTGGACAAGAACTCTTCGTACTCATCGGAGCTCCACGTTTCCACCAGCTTTTTGGGTCGATTTGTGGCGCAGCGTCGCTTCGATTTGCGATGCCCCTCATCAATGAGCTGCTCCAAGTCCTCCGTGCTCATGCCCAGCTCCGTTTGCAGTTTGGACAGATCTTTACGTGGCGGTTGGGTTGCGGCTTTTTTGATTCCAGCTGCCTTTCGACCTCTTGCCTTGGCGTTCTTTTTGGCCGCTGGCTGCAACTTTTGCTGCTGCACAGGCGGCTGCTGCTGCAGCTGCTGCTGTTGCTGCCAGTCAAGTGGCGCTGCAGCTGGCGACAATGGTTGCTGTTGTTGCTGTTGTGGCTTGGCTGCGCCACGCAGCTCATCGAATAGCTGATCCAATTGGGCTTTATCCTTGGGCGCACTTTTCACCGGCAGCTTAGCTGTCGCTGTGCTCGCATGCTTAAAGATGCGTCCCATTATGAGCGACTTGTTCTCAAAGGTTTTGGCTGTGGCACGACTTGAGCTGCTGCTGCTGTTGCTGTGCTGCGTTGTGGAGACGGACGAAGAGGAGCTGCTTGAGCCGCTAGAGCTGGCAACGTGAGCAGTCGACGCCTTAAGCATTGGCTGTTGCTGCTGCTGCTGCTGTTGTTGTTGTTGTTGCTGTTGCTGTTGTTGTGGCTGCTGCTGGTGCTGCTGTTGCAGCTGCTGCTGCTGCTGTTGCTGTTTTACACTATCTCCATCCACATCCGCATCGCCATCCACATCCTCGCAGCTAAGCGTACCAAAATCATAATCATCCCGATCCGAATAGCTCGCCGTGGACACGCTATTGTTGTCCTCCGTAAGCAAATTGACGCTAGTCTTTGGCTTCTGAAACGTTATGCTCGCCTTCTCCTCCAGTCCAATATTCTTGAATGGCCGCTCCGGTATAATAATTCGGCCAGAGACCGGCGGCAAGGTTGCACTGCTGGCTGCAACTGTTGCAACAGTTCCCTTAATTATGGATGAAGCGTGCATTATAGTCTTTGAGGATGTTGAACTTTGCTCGGTTACAGCAGCGCCTGGCTGCAGCTGTTGTTGTTGCTGCTGCTGCTGCTGTAATTGCTGCTGCTGCTGCAAATGTTGCTGTTGCTGCTGCTGCTGCTGCTGTTCGTTTAGCAATTGATCGGGCATATAGTCCACACCTGTTGGCTTTTCGCTGCCGAGCGCAATGTCCGCCAATTCGGTTAGCTTACAAACCGCACGCGTTGTCTTGGCCACATCCATGTCCACAGGTAGATGCGTCTCATAGCCCTTCATGGCGGCTTTTGTCTTGAACCGTGATGTGGTCATATTTGTTGCTGTCAGCGCTGAGAATTGCGAGGTGGCTGAGTAGCTGGGCGATAGACGATGATGATGATGATGGTGATGATGATGATGATGTGGATGATGTGGATGATGTGGGTGATGTGGGTGATGCGGATGATGTGGGTGATGTTGCTGGTGCAGTTGCTGCTGATTGTGCTGATGATGTTGCAAATGATGATTGCTAAAAGAGAGCGAAACAGCAAAAATTAGTTATCAAATCAAATTCAATTCAGAAGCAGCAGCTACACTTACGTGGGCGTGGCAGCGGGCGGATTGCGAAAGAGCTGCTGTATAACTGGCTGATGGGAAACAGCGGCAACTGTTGCTGGCAGCGGCAGTGGCGGCGGCGAGGGCGACGGCGATGCAGGCGACGACAATATCTCTACAGCTGGCGGACTAGCGGGCGTCAGCAGCTCCACAGGTTTGCGGCCGGCGGCGCTAACAATCACAGATGGAGTTGTTGTTGCTGTTGCAGTTGCACTCTTCAATATGTTGCAGCACTCGTAAAAGAGACGTTCGTCGGGATTGAGATTAAGGCGGGCAGCGCTGTGGGCGGGACTGGAAGAGTGCTGCTGTTGCGAGTGTTGCTGTTGCTGTTGCTGTTGCGTCTGTTGCTGCTGGTTGTCATGCAACCGCAGGCTCTCCTCTGTGATGACATGATGACTAGAAGGTAGCTGTGGCTGCAGCTCAGGCGCAGGAACAGTAGCAACGGCTGCCGCTGCTGCTGCTGCCGCTGCCGCCGCCGCAGCCGCTGCTGCTGCTGCAGCCTCTGTTGGCACAAGCACCGAGGCGCGCAGCTGCTGCAATTGTTGGACAAACTGTTGCTCGGTTGATGCAGCTGCTGGTGCTGCTGTGGCTGCTTCTACTGCTGCCACTGGCTGTGGACTGGGCGGTGCATTGCTCTTCGACTGCAAATACTCCAGCTCGGAGAGCTTGGAGACATGTGCCAGTGTCATGTTGTGCTTGGAGAGCGATGTCGATGAGAAGAAGCTTTTGCCGCACAGCTGGCAGGCGAATTTGTCCGCCTCGTCCAGCTGAGAGCTGCGATTGTTGCGTTTCTTGGGGCGGCGTGTTAACAAAACGCTGCGCCGTCGACGTCGGCGACGACCGCGACCCGTGCGACCCAAATCTTGCGAGTAACTCGTATAGACGCTCATCTCATCGTCCATGTCCATGTCCATGAGCTCTGTATTTGTATTCTCGTCGTCGGTGCCGAAATTTGAGTGCTCATCGTTCAGATTTGGAGCGCTGCGAACGCTCATTGAAGTTGGCGGACGATAGAACTTGTCCTGCTCATCCTTGTCCTCCTGATCGAACTCATCGTTGGCAAACTCGAAGTCTTCGTTGGCCGCCGACATAATTTTCTCATTCACATTCTTTGCTATTTCCGTCAAATAGTTGTCTTCTTCTTCTAGATTGTCGCCGTGCTGGTGCTGCTGCTGGTGGTGCTGCTGGTGGTGCTGGTGCTGCTGTTGTTGCTGCTGTGATTGCTGCTGTTGTTGGTGCTGCTGTTGTTGTTGCCGCTGCTGATGCTGCTGCTGTTGTTGTTGTTGTTGCAGTTGTTGCTCCTCCTTGTGTATGTTTTTGTTCAGACGTGGATCACGACTGTAGGTGGGCAAGGCAGCAGCAGCAGCAGCAGCAGCAACTGTTGTTGGTGATTGCTGTTGCTGCTGCAGCTGCTGTTGTTGCTGCTGCTCCTGCTGCTGCTGCTGCTGTTGCAGTTTCTGTTGCTGCTGCTGCTGCTGCTGTTTTTGTTTCTGCTGCTGCTTCTGTTGCTGTTGCTCCTTTGCCGCCGTGCACAATATGCTCGGTCGCAATATGCAGCTGGCTGTGGGCGTGGCTTTGGCTGCTGCTTCCTTTGCCTCCTTGGCCAGCAGCTGCTTCTCAATGCCAATCGAAAAGCTCTCCAGCGAGGATTTCAATGCACTTATATTCGTTTCCGGGCCCAATGGCGCTGCCTTGCCACGCCCACGTCTATAATAGCAGCTCTGCCTGCGCTTGGGCCGCCCCCGACCACCAGCAGCTGTTGCTGTTGCTGTTGGCTCTGGCAGCGCATTTTCGGTTTTGCCACGCTTCGACTCGCCAGCTGCCGCCGCCGACAACTGTTGCTGATTGAGCGAGGCATTGCGCTTGGTGCTGGACATGAGCAGCATGCCCGTTAGCAACAGATCCTCGCTCTTCTCGTACGCCAAGTTCTCGAGCTTCTTGAGATTGTCGCGTCGCGCATTGTCGATTTTGAAGCTCTCCAGCAGCTGATCGGCAACAATTGCCGCCAGCTCGTTTTTGCGTCGTCGTCGCTGCTTCTTCTTGGCATCCTCTTTGGGCGGCGTCACCTCGGCCGGCGTTGGCTGAGGCTCTGGTGCCGGCTCTGGCAGAGATTCAGGCTTCGCTTCTTCCTCCAATTTTGTTTCCAGCTTTGGCTCGGACTCTGCATCGGCGTCATTTGCTGGCGCCTGCAGCAATTCCGTTTGTGGCAGACTGTGAAAGCCGGACGACGTGTTGTTGTTGTTGTTCATGTTGCTGCTGTGCTCCTCGAGCAATACACTACAATTGAGCTCGTGCCCACTACTGGGCGTGGCGCTGCGACACAAAGTAGTTGTTGACATTGCGGTTGCTGCTGTCGATGTTGTTTCTATTGCTGTTGCTGCTGCTGGTGTTGAAATTGTTGCTGCAGCTGCTGCTGCTGCTGGTGCTGTGGGCGGTGCTACAGAGATAACTGACACAGGCATGGCTGGCTTCACAGTGGGCGTGTCAGCAACTGGAGATGCTGGCGATGTTGCTGCCGGTGTTGGCGCTGTCATTGCTGTCGGTAGCTGCAATTGCTGCGGCAATGGCGACAACTCTCGCTTGGGTGATGCTTGCCTCGGGCAAGTGGGCGTGACAGCCACAGGCGTGAGCGTAGCAGCTTGCGGCGTAAGCGTGGGCGTGGGCGTGGTCGCTGGAGGCGTAACCATGGGCAGTGCTAAAAGTGGCTCCGCATTGCCATTTGCTGGCATTTGGCTGTCCGGCACCAACATGGCCAAAGATGCCGGTGTGGGCGTGGGCGTGGGTGTGGGCGTGGCCGTTATAGTAGGCGGCATGGCGGCCATCAACAATGCCGAGCGGCAATCGATGGTCTTGGAGCGCATACTACGCTTCTTTGGCGCCAGATGCCTTACGGCCACGGGAGCAGCAGCAACTGTTACTGGCGTGGCAACTGTTGTTGCTGCGGGCGTTGTTGCTGGCGTGGCCACTGCTGGTGCCGCTGCAGCTGAGCTGAATAAGACGCCCGCACTAGGTGCCACAGCCAGCGGCAAATGTTGCTGCTGCTGCTGCTGCTGCTGCTGTTGTTGCTTTTGCAAATGATGTTGCTGCTGCTGCTGCTGCTGCTGCTGGTGTTGTAGCTGCAACTGTGACTGTTGCTGCTGCTGTTGTAGCAGCTCGTCCTCCTCGTGTGGCAAACTGGCCTGCACGGCCAGTATAACCGAATTGATGGCATCATCGATATGATTGTTGATCACCTCATCCATGCGCGTGGCTGTTGGCTTCTCCTTTTTGCTGGCCAACTCGGCGGCGCGCTTCTTGGCTGGCGCTTTGACGGCGAGTGGCGGCGTCTGTGCGACCATGGCGGGCATTGCCACGGGCAGCGGCAACACTGGATTGCGCACCTGTGGTATCTTCAGCAGATCCAAATTGGAATAGTAATGCGCTGCAGCTGCTGCTGCGGCAGCCTCGGTGCCACGCACAAGTGGCAATGCCATGGCCAGCGGCAGTTGCTCCAAAGCAGGTGCAGCAGTTGGCGCCGGCGCTGGTGCTGGTGCTGGTGCCGGTGCTGGCGATGATTTGCGTGTGGATTTCTTTGACAAGTCCAGTGGCTGCATCTCGTCCAGCTGCAGCAAGTTGCGCGCCTCAAAGCCGCAAATCGTTTGACGACGCACGGGCATTGCGGAGTTGCGCTGTTGTTGTTGTTGCTGCTGTTGTTGCTGCTGCTGTTGTTGTTGCTGCTGGTGGTGTTGCTGCTGCAGTTGCAGCTGTACTGTTTGCTTTACATGACTCAGATTTAGCGGCTGCTGCGGCTCCAGCACATAATTTGCAGGCACTGGCAGATACATTGGCAACTTCGGCAGCAGCAGTGCTGGTGCTGCTGCTGTTGGTGCTGGTGGTGGTGCTACTGCTGCTGCTGTTGGTGCTGGCGCAGCTACAGCTGCTATTGCTGCTGTTGCTGGTGGCAGCGGCGGTGGCGGCGGCGGCGGTGGCTGAGGAGGTGCAGGCAGCTTAACAGGCACGGGCAGTGGCACGGGCAGTACAGGCAGTGGCAAAGGCAAGGGCAGCGGCAATGGCAGCACAGACAGCGGCAACTGTTGCTGCTGCTGCTGCACTTGGTGTTGCTGCTGTTGCACTAGGTGTTGCTGCTGCTGCACTAGGTGTTGCTGCTGCTGCATTAGGTGTTGCTGCTGCTGTTCATTTACATATGGCTGCATTTGCTTGGTGGCTGCCTTGGTGGGCGTGACACGTCGCATAGCGGGAACAACTGGCACAGGAACAGGCACAGGAACAGGCAAAGGCAAAGGCACAGGCAATGGCACAGGCGCAATTGCTGTTGCTGCAGTTGCAATTACTTTGGTAGCTATTGCTGCTGCTGCTGCTGGTGTTGCTGCTGGAGTTGCTGTTGCTGCCGTTGCTACTGCACCAGCTGTTGCTGCTGTCGTCTCGTTCGTCGGCTTTATAATGCGCCGTGATATGGCTTTCCGTTTCGGCGTCTTTGGCTGCAACTGTTGCTGCTCGGCAGCTATTGTTGCGGATTCAGTTGTCGGCAACGGTTGCTCCTTTTCTGTTGGCTGCTGTTCAGTCTTGAGCTTCTCCTCCAGCTTGCCTGTTAGCATGGCTATGCAGTCGCTAATGCGCTTGCTGCGCTTCACAGGCTGCTGCTGCTGCTGCTGCTGCTGTTGTTTGCTGGCAGCAACTATTGTTGCTGCTGCTGCGGCTGCCGGTGTTGCTGTTGTTGCGGGTAATGCTGTTGCTGTTGCTATTGCTGTCACTGTTGCTGCAGGCGCTGGTGTTGTAGGCGGTGTTGGCATTAGCTGCTGTTTGCTGTTGTGCGTGGGCGAGACAACAGTTGTTGTTGCTGCTGCTGCTGCAACATTTGCTGTTGCTGCTGTGGCGACTGTGCTGGAAGTTCTTGTTGTTGCTGTTGTTGTTATGCTTGTTGTTGAGCTGACTTGTGCATCAGTGGCTGGCAACATTTTCACCTGCTGCTGCTGCTTGCGACGATTTCGCTGTTGCTGCTGCTCGCCAGCAACTGTTGGAGACGTTGCTGCTGTTGTGGCGGCTGCTGCTGCCGGCTTGGCACGCACCAAACGCGACCGCGTATTTCGCAGTGCATGATGATGCAAATGATGATGATGATGATGCAAATGATGATGATGATGATTGTAGAGCTTCTTGGCATTGCGCGACTGCAACTTTTTATTGGGTTTGCCCTGCTTCTTGGATCGCTTCTTGTTGTCCATCGGAAAGATCTTTTTGCACACACGTTTCGCTGGCAAATTCTCAAGCATTTTGCGTATCGATTCAGCTACAAGAGAGGGAGGGAGAGAGAGGAGGAATGAGATAGTGATATAGGAGTTATACATAGGTCTATATAAGACATTGAAGCCTTGCTTCATATGCTCAATTCATTACCCCTCGTTGGTCACACCATAATTCCTCGCAGTTCCTAAGCCCTAGATAATTCGTCGTTCGTCATATGACTGTTTCACTGTAACACTTCAATCAATTCAAAACCTCGCTCATAATTATTATATGCCCGCTCCTAGAGAGCTCTGGCTACACAATAGTTCATCACAGCTATGCTTCACTGTAGCACTTTATATTCCATCAAATCGACCCTCTGAACAGCCTAGTTCTCCCCACCCTTAGCTTTTATATGTCTCTGAAAATAGGTATTTTCAAATTTGTCGTTGCTCATACGACTGTTTCACTGTAGCTCATCAAATAACTTCTCTGAACCACCTGTATCGCCGCTACTACTCATCCAAATATTCATCAGCCCCTTTCTTCCCTTTGTAGCTAATGCACAGTTCATCATACGAATGCTTCACTGTACTAACTAACTCACCATCGCTGGGTCGTTGGCGCGGCGGTGTTTTCGTCTTATTCGAATTGGAATTGGAATTGGAATTCGAATTGGAACTCTCCTCGGACGCATCATTATTATTGCTCGTCTGCGTCTGATCCTGATCCTGGCCAGCTACTGGCATTGGCACCTGTTTCTTAACCTTTTTGTTATTCTTGCGCAGCAGCTGAGCAAAGTGCTTGGCAGGCTTATTGCAGGCAGTGCGTCGCTTCTTCGAGCCGCAATAATAACGGTATTTACGCTTCTTGGCTAACGACCACACGTAATCGCCCGAACAGTCGAGCATATGGCGATAGAGATCCATCAAGCCGCTGCATTTGCGGCCACATTTTGTGCAGCTGCAGCTGTTGCTGCTGCTGTAGCTGCAACTGTTGCTGTTGCTGTTGCTGTTGCTGTTACTGAGGCTGGTCGGTGAGCAGGCGTTCGCTTTGATGTCGCTGCTGTCGTTGTCCTCCACCGAGGTTGAGTTATTGTTGCTGTTGCTGCTGCCGCTAGTGTTGCTGGTATTGCTGTTGCCCGTTGCCGTTGTTGTCGCCGTCGCCGTGGAGCACGGCGATCCACTCACTCTGCCCCTACCAAAGGCAGACGACACAGCCGAACAATTGGAGGAACTGGATATGGATTCGTCCTCAACAATTGCCCGCTCCTGCTTGTGCAGCAGCAACTGTTGCTGCTGTTGCTGCTGCTGCCGATGCTCAGCCGCATAGCGACTGAGCGCACGTTTTGGCATAAACAAATGCCGCAACAAGTTGCCCGCCAGCAGCTCACGTCCAACCAGCTCATAGTGCGTTGCATAGATGTGCGAATGGCGAAATGTTTTGTGCTCTTCGAGCGCTTTGCGCTGCTCAAATTTCGCGCCGCAGCAAATGCATAAATATAAACGAGGACGCGCCCATTCGCCGCTAAGCACAAGTGTTGTTGTTGATGTTGCTGTTGTTGAAAGACGTTGATGCTGATGTTGCTGTTGCTGCTGTCCCCTTGGCTGCAGCTGCAGCAACGTTAAAAAGCTTTGCTCGGCATTTGCTTGCGCTGGCAACAGCTGTTGTTGCTGTTCCAGCAACTGTTGCTGTTGCTCTGGCTGCTCTTCTTTGATAATCGCCTGCTCGTTCTGCTCCAGCATTATGTGCGGCAAGAGACGCCGATCCAGCAGCAAGTGCAGCTGCTGCAAGTGCTGCTGCTCGAGTTGTTGCTCCAATTGCTGTTGCTGCTGGTGCTGCTGCTGCTGCTCTAGATCATGCTTCTGTCGCATGGTCAACTGCGTCCACATATCCAGACGCGACAAATCGCGCAATCCCATAAACGGCTGCTTCAGCTTCTTCACCAGCCGCCCGCCTTCGTTGACGATCGTGAATTTCTTCACATAATCCCATTTCCATTTCCAGCTGTGCTTTGTGTGCGGTCTCCGCGCTGCCTTGGCCAGCGGCAATGTCTCTAGCCCTAGGCCCAAGCCATCGCCAAACTGTTCGGCGGTCAGCAATGTGGGATAGGCAGCGTGGCACAGCGCCAACTGTTGCAGGTTGCTAGCAGCAACAGCATTGGCAGCAGCAACAGCAGCGGGCGGCTGCGGCGGTGCTGGACCGCTGCGCAGACGTCCGTCGAGATAATGCTGCAAATTGTGACGCACATTGAGCACCACGTCCTGATAGAAGTTGTCATCGAAAACGTGGCCATGGCTGGGCATGCGAAAGTGTGTATCATCAGCAACTGTTGTTACTGATGCTGCTGCTGCTGTTGCTGCTGTAAGAGCTGTAGTTGACGTCGCGCTGCTGCTGGCAGCCGTTGTTGCTGTTGTAGCAGCAACATTCGTGGAGTTGCTTAAAGATGTTGCTGTAGTTGCCGCTGCTGCTGCGGTGGCGGCGGCGGCTGCTGCTGCTGCTGCCGCTGCTGCTGCCGCTTGTCGCTGAGCTGCACGACTGCTGCTGCGCTGCTGTTGCTGATGTTGCTGTTTGCCTGCAGCTGTTGCATTGCTGCTGCGATTGCGTTGCCTCTGGCCGGGCAAACGATTCTGTGTGAGACCTAAGCGAAAGAGCACCGGCTCCTCAGCGCCAATCATAGAGGATGATTGTGACTGTGACTGCAACTGTTGCTGCTGCTGCAGCTGCAGTTGTTGTTGCTGCAACTGCTGCTGATGCAGCAATCGCATATGACTGTGCAGCTGGGGTGCATCATTGAAGCGCAGCTGGCATTGTTGGCATCCAAAATATTTGTCCGCATGGCTAGCAATTAGATGGACAAAAAGTTGCTCCAACTGTTTGGCGGGCAGACAAATTGGTGGTTGCAACGTTTGCGATTTGGACTTGTTGCAATGCTGGCAGCCCGGAAAGTGGGCGTGACTGGAACTGTGAGTGTTGCCGCTGCTGTTGCTGTTGTTGTTATTGTTATTGTTGTTATTGGTGGTAGAACGATTGCTACAGCGTCTCTCTTTTCGTTCCGTATGAAATTTATCCACATGCTTGGCCTGCAGCTTGCTGGACGCGAACTTCTTATCACAGTACAAGCATAGAACTTTGATAAAAGCCGTTGCTGAATATTCCTCAAGTTCGCGTTGCTGTTGCTGCTGTTGTTGCAGCAACTGCAGCTTTTCAACGAGACGCGGCAAACGCTCCAGAGGCACGCTGCATACCAGCGAGGGCGACAGTTGCTGTTGCTGTTTCTGTTGCCTGTTCACTTGTTCCAGTTCCGCTTCCGCTTCTATTGGTTCCAATTGCTGCTCCCTAGGCAGGCTGTGATTGCGTTTTTTGCGCGGCGGCGTTGCCAGTTTTTGTGCAGTTGGTCCAATTGGATTGCCATTAGTATTATTATTGTTATTATTATTGTTGTTGTTGTTGCCGTTGACCTGCTGCTGCTCCTCGGAGAATTTGAAGCCACGGCGCAGGCCAAAGCGCGACATGGTCTTCATATGGAAGCTGTTCTATCAAATTGCTGTAAAAGAAAAACAAAAACAACAACAATCAAAATTTCGTATTGCAATGTCTCAAAAAAAATCGTTTGTATGAGTGCGTGCATGCGTGCGTTTGCGTGTGTGTGAATGTGCATGCGTGCGCGTGTGCTTGTGTGCGTTTGACAGTGTGTCCACAACTGCAGCAGCATCTTAAAATCAATAAAGAACAAACAATAAGGCGAATAGAAGCGAATAGGCAAAACGCATTGTTAAAGCCGAGCGCACATTTTGTTGACGAATGTGCGCAAAATGACAAACTAGACAAAAAGAACTAGAAAACGGCATATAAACAAAAACTAAACGGACGCACACACACATGGAATACACATATGCACACACACACATGTAGATTTACATATATATGTGTGTGTGCGTATATGCATGTTGGAGTTGTAATGAAAAATTATACAATAAACATTTTGTACACACTATTTTAGAGATGAATTTCGGTGTTATTTATTTTTTTTTAGTTTACCCCGCTTTTAACACTGCCCAATTTATTTGCCGCCTGCCAGCAGTGCCGCCTCTTTTATAGATTTCTACAACAAAAAATTATTTTTTTTCTTCTTGATTGTTTTCTATCTTATTTGTTGGCCTTTTTGTTTTGCTGCTCGAGTTGCGACCGTGTTGGCGTTTTGTTGTTGTTGTTACTGCTGCTGCTGTTGTTGTTTTTTATTGTTTAGTTCGTTTGTTAATATTGCACTTGAATTTGTTACATTGATTGGGGCATGAATTAATTGAAAAATGCACAGCATTTCTTTCCGTTTCTTTTCCTTTTTTTTATTATTATGTACTTATATATTTTTCCACCCTAACAACTTGCGTTAGGAGGTATCTAACGTTTAGCCCAAATCGATGCGTGCGTAGAGCACAGACAGTGGCAGAGCAGCGGCTGAGACAGAGGGCAGAGGCAGAGGCAGAGGGCAGAGCAGCACCAACTAGAAGCAGCGGCAGGACACTGAGTTAGAGGTGGTGAACGATTTTTCTCTGGCACGAGCGAATGCGGTTTGAAACAGTCCATTTCCATTTCCATTTCACTAGCCGCAATTGAGTTGCTTAACCCATTTTATGCGCGCACAACTAATTCACTAATTGTTGTTGTTTTTTTGTTATTTTTTTGTGTTAAGTATTCTTTTAATTCTTCACGCACACACACGCATACGGCACACACACATATTTAGTTGCTCAAAATAAATGTGTTTTCTTATGAGAAGAATCGAAATCGCCTCAAAAAAATGGTCGTGTTATAGACACAGTGTGTACACACTGTTACAAAATGTGTGGTTTATTATTCTAATTGGGTATCGATACCAAACAGTAGCGATAGTCGCATGTACTACACCAATTTTATTTGCTTATTAAAATTTTTAAAGTTTATTCTATTTACATTAACTGTGTTTGTTTATATAGTTATTGAAATATTTTTATTTATTAACAGTATTTTCCAAATTTATGAAATATCGATACTTGCCAAATTTTTGACAGTCACTGTAGCGCTAATCGATATGTTGACCATCACCATCACTTATTTCAACTTGTTTTTGGCCAGTCATTTACTTTTCTTCCATTCATTTTCAACCGGAACGTTAAAATAAAAAGTACAAAATGGATATATTAATGGCTGAGAGAGTAAGCATTGTGCTAACCCATAGTTTATTATTGATATTATTTTAAATACAATATTATATTGTTTTTAATGTTCCCCTATTGTCAGGATGAAGTTGAATTGAAGCCAAAAGATGCGCACAGCTTGTTGGATGAACTAGACATGGACGACTTATATGTGCGCTATAAGGTAGGCCCTGTTTCTGTTATGCTTAATCTGCAGTTCATTACATTGATCATTATTTCGTTTAGAAATTGCAAAAAACTTTGGAATTCATTGAGGTGCAAGAGGAGTACATCAAGGATGAGCAACGTAATCTAAAAAAGGAATATTTGCATGCACAGGAAGAGGTGAAGCGTATTCAATCGGTACCATTGGTAATTGGACAATTTCTGGAAGCTGTTGATCAGAATACAGGAATTGTTGGTTCCACAACCGGCTCCAATTACTATGTACGCATCCTCTCCACCATCGATCGCGAGCTACTGAAGCCATCCGCTTCGGTTGCCTTGCACAAGCATAGCAATGCTTTAGTTGATGTCCTGCCACCAGAAGCGGATAGCTCCATATCAATGTTGCAGCCAGATGAGAAGCCCGACGTTAGCTATGCCGACATTGGTGGCATGGATATGCAAAAGCAAGAGATTCGCGAAGCTGTCGAACTACCGCTGACACACTTTGAGCTATACAAACAAATTGGCATCGATCCGCCGCGTGGTGTTTTGATGTACGGTCCACCGGGCTGTGGTAAAACTATGTTGGCCAAAGCTGTGGCACATCATACGACAGCCTCGTTCATTCGCGTCGTTGGCTCTGAGTTTGTGCAGAAATATTTGGGTGAGGGTCCTCGAATGGTGCGCGATGTATTTCGCTTGGCCAAGGAAAATGCGCCAGCTATTATCTTCATTGATGAGATCGACGCAATTGCCACTAAACGTTTCGATGCCCAGACGGGCGCTGATCGTGAAGTTCAGCGTATTCTGCTCGAGCTGCTAAATCAAATGGATGGCTTTGATCAAACGACCAATGTAAAGGTGATTATGGCCACGAATCGTGCCGATACATTGGATCCAGCTCTGTTGCGTCCTGGTCGTTTGGATCGTAAGATTGAATTCCCGCTACCGGATCGTAGACAGAAACGTTTGGTCTTCTCCACAATCACATCAAAAATGAACCTCAGCGAAGATGTGGATCTTGAGGAGTTTGTTGCACGTCCCGATAAAATCTCTGGGGCTGATATCAATGCAATCTGCCAGGAGGCGGGCATGCATGCAGTGCGCGAGAATCGTTACATTGTCCTTGCCAAGGACTTCGAGAAGGGCTACAAGAACAACATCAAGAAAGACGAACAGGAGCACGAGTTCTACAAATAGACATCTAAGCTTAAATACATTTTTGTTCTTCATTCACGTTTATCGTAACCCTCAACTACTAAGAATTATAATAATAATATAATAAAACGAAAATATCTTCTTATAAGACTTCTAGACTTCTGCAACTTGGGCTATTTCAAGGCGTTCATTTAGTGAATAGCCTATTTTTCTTATTTCTGATATTTAAAGCAACTTGGAGTTAAATTTCATGATTTCCAAAACTATTTGAACTTTAAAACAAATCTAGACAGACATCTACTATAAGTTGTTTAAATCACAAGCAGCAAATTTATAAAAAATGTGCATTTTATTTGTTGTATAAACACACGCACAGCAAGCAAACATAAATGGAAAATCAAAAATAATAATGAAATAAAAAATAAACAATTATTAAACGAACTGTAAGACAGTTGTTGTTGTTGGTGTTGTTGGTTGTTGTTGTCAGTTGTTGGAACATCGAGCTCATTTGGGGTTTTTAACAATGTGTCCAGGAATTTAGTTTCACATCTACTTAATTGGGCGTGGATACAAGCTCATCGGCATCGACTTTAACATAATCAGTTTAGCGCTAAAGATGTCCCAGTTGTAACTACTTCATCAGTGAGTTAACAACCGCATTCACATTGATGGCCTTGAGGTCTGCATAGGTTTGTCCAGTGCCAACAAATACAATCGGCTGCCCGGTGATATAGGTCATGGAGATGGCGGCGCCCACTTTGTCATCGATGGTATCAAATTTGGTCAAGACAATGCCATCGATAATATGGGGATTCTCATTGGATGAGTAATCCGCCAGAGATTGATTAAATTTGACTAGCTGATCGACAGCCTCGTTGCCAACGAGCGCCTCGCCCACAAACAGAACCAAATCCGGATTGTTGACTTTGATCAGCTTGGAGAGCGAACGCATCAATGGCTCGTTATCCTGCATACGTCCAGCCGTATCCACAAGCACCACATCCACTTTAGTGTCGTGCGCATATTTGATAGCCTCCATTGCAATGCCAGCCGCATCCTTGCCGTAGCCCTTCTCATATAGCTGTACCATGGTCCGTTGCTTATGCTTCTCGGCCGGATGCAGTGCATTCAAGTGTCTTGTGTGTGTGCGCAATTGTTCCACAGCGCCAGCTCGGAACGTATCGCAGGCAGCGATCAACACATTGAAATCATTTTCAATTAGCCAAAAGCAAATTTTGGCCAAATTTGTGGACTTGCCAACGCCATTGACACCGCAAAAGATGATCGTATATGGACGTCCATTGCGCTTCGATTCCAGCGCATCACGTATAATATCGATGCGACGTTTGGGCGAAAGAATTCGCACCAGCGACTGTGTCAGTGCCTCTTTAACCATATTTGCAATGCTATCGAATGTGCCCATTTGCTTGCCATCCAAGGAGGTGGCCACCGAATCGCATAGTTTCGCTGCAATTTCAGAGGCAACATTTTTCGATATTAGATGATCACGCATCTTCTCCAGCGCTGGCTGCAAATCGTTCAGCGTCATCGTCTTGGCACCGACAATGCCCTTGAAATAAGATAGCAGGCCGCCGCTCTTGGCCTTGCGTTGGTTGCGCTGTTGTTGCTGAGTCCGCCTTTGATGTTGCTGCTGCTGTTGTTTCTCTTCCTGTTCGCTGTCGTCACTGGCTTCGCTGTCTGCTCCATCCGAATCGCTTTCCACATCCAAATCCCTTATCCTGCCCTGCATAGTGCCCACCAGCTGCGAAGGGAGTCATTGTTTAGTTGTACTCCAAGTTAAGTTATCTTCCGCCAACTTACCTCATTGTTGATGCTCTGCAGCTGTACATCTTCGGGCGCATCCTTGGAGCGATCGAGTAACACAGCATCCTTGGAATTGCCACCCAAATCCCAAACACGCGGCTTCTTGCCGGCCTTTTCCTTCTCTCTATCCGTGGCACTCTGCTTGGTCGGCTTCACATCTACCGCCGCCTTCTTTGTAGGCGTCAGTTTCTCTCGGAGCTTACGGCGATTTTCCTGTATAATATCCTCATTGGTACGTGGTGGCGATGCAGGTTGGGATTTGCTTGCCGGCGGACTTTCCTGTATATTCACACGCTTCTCAGTTGTGTTGGTCGCCTTCTTATCGTCGTGCATCATGGATGCAACAGTTTTCTTTGATTTCTGCGATTCGTTGTAGGAGCGCATTGCTTTGGGTGCTTTGCCCTGTTTGGCAGATGCCTCCTCAGCGGCGCTAAGCACCATTCGGAACTCTTGCTCGAATTCATAATCAATTGCCAGTCGCTCCTGTGCAGCAATGCCAGAGAATTTCTCCTGAAATGCACTTTGCATATCAGCTAGAAAGTTATCCAAATAGTTAAGCTTGATGACTTTTTGGAAGACGGCAGCATAAACCACATCGAGCTCATTGTCTAGCTTAAATTGCACAGCCAAATGATCCTCTTCAAAATACTTGGACTCTGTATTTCGTTCCTACAACGAGAAATAAAACAAATTAGCATTAACAATAACAATAACAAACAGTTCGATTGACTTGCCTCTAGAATGACGCCACGTATTAAGCTGTTGATGCACGATGCATAGTTCTTGCCGGATTCATTTGAATTCCAGAGCACCACGCCGCCTTTTGTGAATATGACCACAAAGTCTAACATTTTCTATTTACGTACTAATTGGTCAATAAATCGTTTTGTAAAGTAAACGCCAACAAATTCAACTGGAGCCAACCAACTACCTAAACACATTCCACGTCACGAGCTCGATATTTACATCGATAGCTATCGATATATACATATATTTGTACAAATGCAAAACAGTTTTAAACGTAAAACTTTGAAATGTCAAATGATTCCCGAACATGAAATACCCTGTATACTTGTTTTTACTGAATTTTGTATGAGAGTACTCTTAATATGTATAGAAAGTTTTAAATGAAATTTACCATATATCAAAATTTTGTTTCGATGATGGAAAAGTATTTCATTTGTTCAGTTAACTTAGCCAACTTTCTCCTAAGTACAATTTGTAGTATTTTCAAAAACCTGTCGAAACCCCAGCTGCTGTGTTAGTGATGAAAATGTGATCGAAACACAAAATTTAGAAAATATCGCCTAATTCAACATAACACATTTAAAGAAAAAAGAATATTTATAAACATTAAATTAGACGTTTAATACTTTGACCAAAGCTGCCCAAAGATAAGAACATTAATTTAAAATCGTTTTTATTTTTTTTTATTATTATTGACGCTTATTAACTAATGTTCATGGTTTGTGAATGGAATTTTGAACATCGCAAATAATTTCACATACATGAAAAATTTTGTTACAAAAAGTGGACATTCGTTGAATGTAATTCTATACAGAAAAAAAATTAACGTATATATAATGTTGTTTAGACGCGAAAAGAATATGCTACGTAAAATGGATGATTATTATTGTTCATCTCTTCTTGCTGCTTCTTCTCTCGTTCCAAATGCCAAGACTTATGAGCCAACAATAATGTTGTTGATGGGAATATGTATCAGCTTGACAAAGAATCCAATGAAGCCCATGATGCAGAAACCAATAGCTGTGGCAATGGCGATCTTTTGGAACTCCTTGCGATCGGGCTTCGTGCAGCGTTTCACCAGACGAATGGAGTCCTTGGCAAAGGCACGACCAGGCTCAGCAAATTTCACAACTTTATCCATGACTACGTAAAATCTTCGATATTTGAAGAGCTGTAAGCATATTAGAATTGAATACAATTACAATTACTATACGCCACGATATATCGGTTAAAATGAATGTGGGACAGCGCACTTTCTCACACCAAAAAAAAACCAATGACAGCGTCAACGTCACGACGCCGACGACGATGCTGACGACGTGGCAGCCGACGACGTTGGCGACGTCACAGGTGAAATTTATGTTGCTGTATCAACCCGCTGGGAAACTCTGTTGCACGTGTCGCTGCTTTTCCAGTTTATTCATTTATTTCCAAAAAAGTTTTTATTGTCAATATAACTGTCCTTTTAATTGAAATCGAACATTTCGGCAAGCAGCGCCACTCAGTGCTTTTTTTTGTAACTCCAACACAGGTTTTAATACATAGTATTAATTTTACAGCAAACGGTCATTCAAGCTTACACAATTGGTTTATTAATAATAATACTTTATAATTGAATCAAATAAATGTCACGTTCCAGTTGGAAAGCAAAAAAAATATATCTAGAATCCTCAAGCACTTGTGCTTACTTTGAAAATTTCCACACGAATGACCGTTCGCGTAGTTCGTGTAGCCTGCTACGCACGAATTTGTTTTGACAGTTGTCCACGTCTAAATGTCAAAAGCATAGTGTTGCTTTGAAGCTTAGTCGTTGCCAGATGTGCTCAACAACATTAGTGGCAACGCTGCAACAGCAAATCAGCTGTTGCAAAAAAATCTCGTAGCCGACATTTTACTTTTTCGTTCGGCATTTTGCTTTTTGCATTTTACGGCGATTTATTGCTAATACGAATATTAGCAGGTAATTAAAAAACTGTTTCATATTATTAAAACACATTTTGGCGTTACTGCTAATGTAAGATGGTTATCAAGAAAATATAGATACAATTTGTGCGCGCTAATGGATTTTTTTATTTTTTATTATTGCAAATCTAAACTTGTTTTTAAAGTTTATTTCAAACGGTTTATTGCTTGTTTTTACAGAAAGAAAAGGCAAAGATGAGCGCACAGCCAAGCCCTTGCATGAATCCACAACAACAGCCTACAGAGCAAGAAAAGGTAACAACTTTTTATCTTTTTTATTTGTACGTATTGTTTATTATGCATATGCATGTGTGTAATTGCTTTAATATAAAGTGAATATGCATGAATGTGTGTATATATGCATGTATGTTCAATAGATGCGTTTGATATTTTTCTTAAAATTGCTTTTTCAGGTTTATCAATGGATCATTGAGCTGGCTCATCCGGATACCCGTGAAACGGCACTGTTGGAGCTTAGCAAAAAACGAGAAACGGATTTGGCACCGATGCTTTGGAATAGTTTTGGCACCGCATGTGCTTTACTGCAGGAGATCATAAATATATATCCATCGATAGCTCCGCCCACATTGACAGCCCATCAATCGAATCGCGTTTGCAATGCTTTAGCATTGCTGCAATGCGTCGCCTCGCATCCGGAAACACGCACCGCTTTCCTTCAAGCACAAATCCCACTTTATTTGTATCCATTTCTATCGACCGTATCGAAAACGCGACCATTTGAATACTTGCGTTTGACGAGCTTGGGCGTTATTGGTGCCCTGGTCAAGACTGATGAACAGGAGGTAATTACATTTCTGTTAACCACTGAGATTGTGCCGCTATGTCTCACAATCATGGACAGCGGCTCGGAGCTAAGCAAAACTGTGGCCACATTTATAATACAGAAAATATTGCTGGATGAATCGGGATTGTCATATATCTGTCAGACCTATGAACGTTTCTCACACGTAGCCATAACATTGGTGAGTCCAATTTTATATATCCCAATAGTATATATACATGTTTCTGTCTCGCTCTTTCCTGTGCAGGGCAAGATGGTTATACAGCTGTCGAAGGAGCCATGTGCGCGCCTTTTAAAGCACGTCGTACGCTGTTATTTACGACTCTCTGACAATACACGGTATGTATACACATTAACTATAACTGTATTAGCACTACTTATAAATAATTTTCATTAATTGTTCAGCGCTCGCAAGGCCTTGGGACAGTGCCTGCCAGATCAGTTGCGCGACGGCACTTTTACACAATGTTTGCAAGATGATAAATCCACCAAACAATGGCTGCAGATGCTCATTAAAAATTTGGAACCAAATGCGGTACAGCCACCTGGAGCAGATCCTCGACAAATTGGCATGTCACCATCGGGCAGCTAAAACAGCAGCCTCTAAACAAATAGCAATAGCAACAGTAGCCGCAGCAGCAGGAGCAGCCTCCTAATTTGTTAGTTAAGCAACCTTAATTTTGTTAGCTTGTAAGAAACCTTGTTGAATATGGATATGGCCCATGCATTTAGCTGCGTTAACAAAACTATATGCATATATATAATATATATATATATATACATGTACTAGCTGCTTAACTGATGTATTTACACATGTATACTATATGGATACATTATACAAATGATCTATATATACTATTTATATATACACTGTAAAGCTCAACGAACAGCTAATTGGAACGTTTGCAAAGCTAACAAAAGAAAGTTAAACAATAATAAAGTTATAGCTCCTCTCCATATGCACAAGTCATTTAGCTCTAGTTTACTCATCTAATTTCTATATGTATATTATATATATGTATATATTATTAATTGCTGCTAATAAACTCTTTAACTATAAGTAAATGGGTTCTCCTTCCAGTTTTTTCCTTTTTTGTGTTTGTGTTGCAACATTCAAAATGCATTTATTTGACTTTTGTGTGGGTTAATCGTATGTATGCACATATATACAAATATATATCTTTCATATTAATTACAACATACAACAATTAAAGCAAATCGCTGCGAGCACAAAAAATACATTACAAAAAACTTTTACATTTACGTTCGAGTGCATTAAACTACAAATAGTTACATATAAATATACATAATATATATATACACATATATATATATATATAAACATTGATCACAACAAAGATTTAATGATGGCAAAAATCAACCAATACATGTATATATGTATATATATATATATATATATATATATATATATATATATATATATATATATATATATATGTGGATAGTCTGAAGATTTATAACTGATTGTATATATTTTTTGTTTTTGACTACCCACAATATATATATTTTATATTTTATATATATATATATATATATATATATATATATATATATATAAATGTGTGTGTGTGTGTATGTGTATGTTTGTGTATGGGTGTATTATATTTGTTAGACATTTTACTGTTCCGGTGGAGCAGACGAAGCAGCTGTTGCTGCAGTAGATGCACGTCTGGCAATCTCCGTTTCCAAATTATGGGATTCAATTGAGTGTCCCTGGAGCTGTGGCAATGCGCACATTTGCTCGAGCAAATCGAAACCATTTCGCCAGATGAGCAACTGAGCGCGCAACTTCAACTTATTGCGATTCTTTATAAGATGCTTCTCCATGGCGAAACCTTGACGGGCGCAAGCAAAGTCGCAGGCGCGCTGCCTCAAAACGGGACAAATATCGTTGTTGCCATCACCAACGTAAAAGACATGATCGTAGCGTATATTGAAGCGCAGATCCTGCTCAATGACAAAATGCTCCAGCACACGGCCTTTGCACAAATTACTGGCACTTAATTTGCAATCGGTTTGCTGATGATGCGGACGCACCTGGAGCTGGCCATGCTCATCGAAATTAGCGGGATTCGTAAAGATCGCCTTGAAGCTATCGGACAAATTGTGTGCGCGCAGCCATTCATCAATGAAGACGCTATTTGAATCGCTAATGATAATCAAATCGAAGTTGAGACGCTTCTGCAAATGCTTGATCAAACGCACGAATCCAGGTACCTCCGGTATACAGCGTATAACATCGCGAATCCGTGACTCCTGGACTTGTTGCGCATGCAACAAACGAAATATCTCGGCCATATACTCTGTCCAGCATTCGCTTTCCATTAGATCAGTGAGCGCTTTGGAGCTAATCAGCTCATTTGGCAGCATGTCGCGTACCACTGTGTCCGTATTTTGGGATACAATTGTATGATCAAAATCGAAGGCAGCCAAACGACGGCGTTGCTGCTTGCCCAGCCCGCAAGAGATTGCTGGGGCAGACGGTGCTGCTGCTGCCGTAGACATGTTGACTGACTTTTGCAAATGCATATGCAACTGCTGCCTCTTGAATGGGTATTTAATTGCCCACTGGTGGGCAGCACCAGCAACTTAACTTTTGCTTCTGCTTTTGCTGTATGTATGTATTTTGGATTTAGCTTTGGGCAACTTTGACAATAGCTTTATTAGCGTCGGCGTTGCCATCCGACTGGAAGCTTCTGGCATGGCCACCTTAAACGGCAGCGGCAATGGTGTGAAGCGCCCCTTGTTCGATGTTTGAATTCAATTGCAATTTATCGATAAGCATTAAGCTTTAACATTGGGTGTAATTCGATTTAAAAAAATTTACATTCCAAAAATGTTTTCTCAACAACTACAAATTATTATTTTATATAAATCTTTGATACAAACATTAATTTAAATATCCCATTGTTTCTTAATAATTTATCGAATTAATAAATACCAGATAAAAATTCAATGACAATTATCTAATCATATATGTTTTTATTCGCTGCCTCACAACGAAATATTGGATACGTTAAATATGTAATACATTATTTCTTGCAAGATTTATATACAATTTCCAATTCAATTTTAAATATGCAATACATAAATTTTAAGGTATCGCCTGCATTTAAGTCGTACCATTGAAATATCGATGTATCGATACACGGTTAGCAACCCTAAATTTTCATTTCCATTTTGTCGTGACGAGTACGGTAGTGTTATATTCCAAGCGAAAAAGAAAAAACACTGTCAGACAGCGAGCAGAGCATACATTTAATAATGATTTGTTAAAACGATAGGTGCGCGCCGAATTAAAATTGCGTATGTTCGTACGATCAGTTGAAACAGTTAACAATAAACGCTATTTTTTTATAACAAATTTATGCGTCGTCGTCTGCTGCTGTTCAATCGTTAAAAAGTGCGTGGAAAAGTGTACGAAACCAATACACGGAAAGTGGGACAACCGAGCGCTGCGCTTGTTGGTGTAGTGTGCTGTGCGTGTGTGCTGTGTGTGTGTAGTGTGTAGTGTGTATGTTTGTGTGCGGTGTGTGCTGTGTTTGTGTGTGTTCGAGACGAGTACAAGTACGGGTAATTTGTACCGACTACAGTCTCATCAATGTGTACGACAATGTTTTTTTTGTATATTAAATAAATATAACGAAAAAGTGCAACGAAATGTTTACAAATTGTGCAAATAAAAACAAAACATGTTTCATGTCTTAACACACATTGACAAAGACACGCGCACACCAATATACACGCGAATTGCATGCAAAGAGAAGGCGCTCAACTTCTACTCCATCTTCTTTTGTCTGACGTTTTGCCGCATGGTGAGTTTATTGCCTGCCAGCCAGCCTGCTGTTGTTGTTGGGTCAGTTTTCGGCGTCTTTTGCTAGCTAGCTGAGTTTTACTGTTTTTTCTTTCTCTTTTCAACTTTTTCTCGCTGGTTTTATATATTTTTTGGTTTTTTTTGCATTGCCTTAGACGCGTTGTGCTTGAATTTGTTGTTGGCTCTGACGCTGTTAATTTTTGTTGTTGCATAGGCGCCGCTGTCGTCAGTTGCGCGGGGGTCAACGATGCAGATGCATGTATAAAAGTATTACATGTGTGTGTGTGTGCGTAAATGTGTGTGTATGTACATTGTGCACGAGTACTACATGTATATATTTTTCTCCATGCAGCGGCACGGGCGATTGCCTCTCATGCTGGTATTGGTTCGAATGTGTGTGTGTGCGATGTGGTGAATTTCTGTCTCGGGGCCTGGTGAATTTAGCAGTGTTGCCAACACATACACCACTTCGCAGCCGCTGCCATTTGTTGTTGTAATAGTAGTGCGTACCAATGTGGCGCGGTTTTCTCAATTTCTTTCGCTCGCGACGGACAGCTGTGTGCCGCGCATGTTTCCACGCTTACGCACTATATTATTAACAACGTTGGTGTCGTTGGTTTCTTTTCGCAGCTTCCCTTTACCATACTGTTTACGCGGCAATTTCTAAGACTAAATTTCGTAATAAAATTTAAAATCTTGATCATTTATTCAAATATTCCCATCGTCAATTTTTTCTCTTATTTTTATTGCTATAAATAACAAACAATAAGCAAATTGCGTTTACTTTTTACTTTTATGTTTGGTTACCGGCGACTCTGTGTGTGTGCGCTTGATACTTAAGTTACTGTTACTTTGCGTAAATAGCGAGATTGCAAGAGTAAAACGAAAACAAAACAATACATATACGCGTTCAAATGTGTATGTGTATTAGTACATATAATTGCCGCTAGTTGATGTAAAATGTATTTTTTATGGCCAATCATAGAGGCGGTACTTTGAAGTAACGGTGCAACAAACACATATACTTAAAACTTTAGCGGAGGGCAGAAGATTGAGTAAATTTTATAGTTTCGAAATATGCATTATTTAGTTTATTACAATAACTTAAATAATAGCATATAAGCTAGTAAAATTGATCGAAACCCTTGGTCAAATATCAAAAAATTTAGTACTGTGTTGTGTATATATTGTTTGTAAATGAGTGTCTGCGTGTGTGTTTGTTCGCTTACATGTGTGCGCCTTTCGGCGTATGTAAGAGCATGCGGCTGAGTTCGTTCTCCTTTTGTGGTGCAAAAATCCGCTTACTATTATTATTATGCTTATTACTATTACTGTTATTACTTGGTTGTATTCTGTACCCATACACCGCTTTTAATGGATCGTGTGCTCAATGATGTGAGATGCACACACACATGCACGCATATCATTTATCATAATCATTATAAGAACGCATAGCAAGCATACAAACAACTACAAATGCAGACAAAACTGTTAACTCTTGTCTGAATTTGGCTGGAGCTCTTTTATCGGATATTTAGTTGTCGATATATAAGTATATAAATTAATTATTTTCATTGATATCTAAATTTATATGTTTTTTATCGTTGTTGCTATTGCTCTGACCATTATCATCGCTATTGCTCTGACTATCGTCATCGCTATGTTGAATAATATCCTCGTCAGAATCGTCTGAGTATTCATTACCATCGCCTTCATCCTGATCCATACGCAACATTTCTTCCAACTGTAATCGGGTAAATCGAAATATCGGTCCTTGTTTATGTAACCGATGACATCCCCAATAGAATATCGCTTCCGTCTCGTCACCGAACATTGAATCAGTGTCGATCAGCATGTGTTCATCGTTTGTTTCCTCATGTTGATCCGTCGGGCTAGTTGTTGCATCGTCCGTCATTACTGTAGTTATAGTAGTTGTATTATTTGTTGTTGTTGTTGTCGTCGTCGTCGTTTCCGTATCCGTATTCTTTTCATTCCATGCAACGCAGGACACACAATGTTGTCGTTTCGTTGATTTCATATCCTTCAGCTCACAGTAGACAACACGAAACAGTAGCCAAGCGCCAGCTAATGCCATCATAAAATGTTCCATCAATCCGAAACGACATTTACCGGCAGCGACAGGCATCAATATTAGATTTGTGCCCGGTATCCGTCCCCCCGTGGCCAACGCACGGAACAGACTCAATTGGTCTTTCATGGGCTGCCAGAGTGGCCCAAATATTGACTGCAACATCAAAACAATTTTTTGCACCCAAAAAAATCAAAAAAAAAAAAAAAACAAATAACGCCTAACGAAGATTTTTGTTCCCCCTACTATATACCTTAAACACCAATTTTGATCTAATGGCCAGAGTCCGAGCCGGATTTAAATTATTTCTACACTTCACATGAAAAATATAATTACGAACATTTCAAATAAAAATAAATTTATTACAATAATCAGACACATTTTCAAAGGCCGATCAGATTCAAATGTTGTTTGATAATTGATAATTGCTTCTCGATATTTATCAAACGCTACCTATGCATTTTTATCTATCAATAGTATAATCCGAGCAAATACATTTGAGAATCTTATCGATTTAATATTGAAAGAGTCGCTTTGTTTTATCATTTCTATCCTGCAATAGATCGTGTCTACTTGGTTTAGTTTCCCGTCCTTAGTCAATGGTTGCCTTTTGGTTCACATCTCGATTCTATTTTAACGAAGGTTCACTTGGTTTTATTAATAGTTATATTGGCTATTAGAAATGAGCAAAGCTTTCGATAGTTTCGCTTAGAACTTATCGAAAACGATTAATATTATATGCGTGGCTTTGCTTATGAGAACTTTCGCTTCAAATGTGCAAAGGTATCGATGAGCGCGTAGAAACTGACTTAACGCATCTCTTTATATGTCTAGCTTGAATAAGTTTCATGTTAAAGATACGTAACTAATGGAGTTTTTTATACATCTTTTTAGGCAAAAGCAAATTGCGTTTGGTGTGGATAAAGGAATAAAGCAATGAATGATTTACGCCAGCAACAGGTACAGGTAGCAGCAACATCATCTTCAGTTAGTCTGGCAGCAACGCCACCCTGCTCCAGCAACAACTCTACGAGCAGCAGCAACATTAACAGCAACAGCGCCAGCTCCAGTGCCAGCGTTAGTCCACGTTCCAGTTCTAATTCGAATTCTAGCATTGGTTCGAACTCTAAGTCCGGCATAACGACGACAGCTGCAGTAACAACAACAACCAGCAACATCGGCAGCGGCAGCATCATCCAGCGGCAGCAACAGTTGGAAGAGGAGGAGCAGCAGGTAGTTAGCTCTACATCGTCGCAACAACAGCAGCAACATCAATTGAATGTGTCGACAGCAGCAGCAACTCAGCGCCAACAACAGCAACATCATCATCAGCAGCAGCAGCAACATCATCAGCAGCAGCAACAGCAGCCGCAGGAACAGCATCAGCTGGTGGGTCAAATAACCAGCACCACAGCATCGCCGCCGCAGCATAGACTGCGCGACGATGCGCAGCTGCCATATAGCCCCAGCAGCAGCAGCAACAACAGCAGTGGACCAACGGCAGCAGCAGCAGCAGCAACAACAACAATGGCCGCCACAGCTTTAGATGTGAATGGCGAGGAGAACAACAGTAGCAACAACAGCGGCAGTAGTCATAAGCTAATACTTAAGCTCTCCAAACACGGCAGCAACAGCAGCACAAGCGAATCTCAAGCGGGCAACGATGAACGACGCGTCGAGCCGCTGCGCATACAATTGCCTACACAGTTGCCAACAACAACGGCAACAGCATCAGCGGCGGCAGCAATCGTAGCAGCAACAACAACTAATGCAATGGGACAGCAGGGAATTGTGCCTAAGCTAACAATTAGACCGATCAAAGCACAAGATATGTCCAACAATTCGGATGCATCGTCCTCCTGCTCCTCCTCGTCGTGCGCCGATGAGGAACAGCTGCCACACATTGTGCCCAAGCTGACAATACGGGCCGCCAACGAGGAGCGTGACAGCAGTGTGGTGCCGAAGCTAATCATCAAGATGCCCGATGCAGGAGTTGCTGCTGCTGCTGCCGCTGCCGCCGCTGTTGACTCCAGCAATTGTCACAGCCCGTTGAAATCGGTTAATGCAATTGCAGCAGCAGCGGCTGTTGTTGCTGTTGCTGCTGGCGCATTGCCCAAGCTAACCATCAAGACCACCAAATTGGATGGCAGCGAGACGCAGCTCATTAGCTGTCTATCGCCAGCTTCTGCATCTAGCTCATCCGCCAGCTCCTTTTCCTCAGCCAGCGAGCAACAGCATCAGCCCACAGTGCCTAAGCTGATGATCAAGACAACTCATGCGGGCAGTAGCTGCATTAGTAGCGAGGAACAGCAGCAGCAGCAGCAGCAACAACAACAACAACAGCAGCAACAACAACAAATACCAAAGCTAACCATCAAAACGGGCAACCAGGAACAATTGCTGCAGCAGCAACAGTTGCCGCAGCACACGGTTATTATGACGCATGATGCAAAGAATGCTCAATCCATACCCAAGCTAACAATCAAGACCAAGTCCATTGAGCTCGATGATGACGAACAACAGCAGCAACAGTTGGTGCCCAAGCTGACCATTAAAACGGGCAACAGCAACGAACAGCAGCAACAGCCGTTGCTCAAGCTAACCATCAAGAATCTTTGCTCGCCCAAGCACAAGGTGCGCGCTGTTCTCGAAGAGAAGGTGCTAACTTCTAAGCTAACGCTCACCAATGGCGGCGACAGCAATACAGCAACTGCAGCAACAGCAGCATCTATTGCTGATAGCGAAACTGATGAATTGCGTCGCAATTCTGATGATATGGACATTGATGATGCGCTATCCAAGGAGCATGATCCAAAAATGTTTCACAATTTGCCGCCAGCGCCCAGCAGCAATGGCATTGCACCACAGCAACTGCAGCTGCAGCAGCAACAGCAGCAGCAGCAACAGCTATCGAAGCAGCAACAGCAACATAATATTGTGGATATGGTTGATTTGACTTCATCGCCCTCGCCGGGCTCATCGCCAGCGCATGCCAACAACAGCAGCAGTAGCAGCACTCACAGCAACAACTATACGACAGCAACAACTGCTGGCAGAACACAACATCGTTTGCTGGTCGAGTGTTTCCAGATGCAGGGAGCAATAACAGCAGCAGTCACAGCAACTGGCAACGCCACCACCAAGAACAATAACAACAACAATAGCAGCAGCAGTAACAGTGGCAGCAGCAATCCCGCCTCACCTAACTCCAATATATTGCTCAGCCAACTAACAGCGCCGCCCAAGAGCTTCAGCAACAACAATAGCAACAGCAACAATTCAACAGCTGCTGCGAAATATCCGCAGCTAACGGAACGTCTGATGGCGAATGGAGCAGCAGTAACAGCAGCGACAACAACTGCAGCAGCAACAACTACAGCAGCAGCAGCAGCCAGTGTTGCTCGCGTAGCTGAGCCGATAATCGATTCGATTGAGATACTGGACACGCCCGAGGGCAGCCCACATCCGCAATTGACGCCCTCCTATATGCTAAGTGCCTACGAAACGGAGCAGACGCCGCCATCGCCAACGCCGCCACATCAGCAACAGCAACAGCAGCCGCTAAGCAATCATCTGAACCATTTGAATCTAAATCTTAATCTGAATCTAAATCATAAGACCGACAATCAACAACAACAACAGCAACTGCTGCAGCAGCAGCAGCAGCAGCGGCAACAAGTCAACAACAATGAGAATCATTTGAAGCGACAGCAGCAGCAACAGCATCAGCAACACCTACAGACAGAGGCAGAATCTCCCAGTGGCGTAAGTGATCCATAAAAGAAAAAATAAAATATTTATATACCCTGTAGCCATTAACAAATGAAGAGGGGGTTGCTAAGTGTAGCTGTGCATATATAGAGGCGATAGTTAAAAGGCAGCATTTAAGATTTTATAGAGAGATCGATTAATGAGATTCTAGAACATAACGTTCTTTCCATTTACCTACTATCGATAAATATAAATATTATCGATATATTTATATGTCATCGAATTTACTGCATTTTAATGATTATAAATAGTTTAATTTACTTTTGCTAAAATCGATATATTTATCGATAGTTTTATCTCAAATATAGCTAAGTTTGTTATAGTAATATAAATATAAATAATTCGACTTTTAATGTTCGATTTTTCTGGAAATCATATTCGATTTAATCGTTACATGTGCTCAAGATCAATAAGTATCGATTTTCTAACATACATGAGTACATATTTGATTGTCTTTTTCTTGATTGTTGGTTTCTGTAACGCCCAAATGATGACTATCGATATGTATCGATGTTTGGCATTAACTAATACACTTCTAAACAGATTCATAATGTGAACAATTTAAGTAATGTAATTTTTCTTTTAATTTTGTGCTTTTTAGTTGCCGCCAAGTAAACAGCGGCGCCTGGACAACAATGAAAATGATCAACAGACGCACAACTGCAGCAATGACACATTAGCAACAGTTGCTGTCAGCTCAATAGCAGTAGCAGCAGCCACAACAACAGCAACAACAACAACACCACCCGAGCATCAGCACCAACAACAACAGCAGCAGCAACAACAACCAACGCATCGCAGTCGCAAGCAGAAGCACGAGCGCATACTCAATACGGAGCTAGAGGAGGCGCAGCAACAGTTGCCGATGCCAGCGACAACGGCAATTGATCATGCCCACAGCAATGGCAACCTGCAGCTGGCGACGGAATTCCTTGTGACAGCTGCAGCCTGTTGCAAGCAGCTATCGTCGCCGTTGCCAGCGGCTGGTGGCACTGGCAAACGTCGAGGCAGACCCAAGCGCAATGCGAACGAATTAACGCCAGCGGCATCAGCGACAACACCGGGCAAAGCAGCAGCTAATGCTGAGTTGATGGAGGCTAGCAGCAAGTCGAGGCGTGTACAGCTGCTGCACAAGCGTTTGGCCATCGATATGGTTGCCACAGAGAATCATAGTTCAAAGGGGCAACCGCAGCAGCAGCAGGAAGATGATGATATGGATGCCACGCAGCAGCAGCAACAGCTACAGCAGCAACGCTTGTCAGCAATTGCAACGCCGGGACGTTGCATGGAACAACGATTGTTGCGTACCACACGACGTAGTACAGCAGCAGCTGCAACAGCTACTGGAACTGGTGGAACGCCAGCAAAAGCAACGCGCAAGCGTCAAAGCAAAGCAGCAGTAGCTGCAGCAGCAGCAGCAGCGGCAGCCGCAGCAACAGCAGCAGAATATGCAGCTGTTGTTGCTGAGTTAAGCAACAACAGCAAGAGCAATAACAATAGCATGGCTTATGCTTTGGCAGCCCAAATTGATCTAACCATGTGCTCGTCCTCCTCATCCACCAGCAATGGCAGCGCAATTGCGACAGCAACGACAACAACAGCAGCAGCAACTGTTGCTGCTGGAACAGCTGTAAATAGTAGCAACAGCAATAGTTTTGGCAGCAACAACTGCTCTATGTTGCCACCAACAACCATATTATCCTCATCCGATCCGCTGCCGGATGTGATCTTTCAGCCCAACGATTTCTCCTCAATCACTGCCACGCAGCAGCTGCGCAACAACAACAATAATAACAGCAACAGCAACACGAACAGCATCAGTGGTGGCAGCCAACATGATTCACATGATGAGGACAACTACAGCGCACTGGATAACTCTGGAGGTAATGGAACTATCATGTGCCATACCCGAATCTCTGTACTGACAATGGTCTTCATGTATTTCTCTCTTTAGATGAATCCTCGACGCTGTGCAATCCTTTGAGCGCCTTTGGCACCAATCCAGCAGCAGTTGCAGCGCCATCGACGCCAACGCGCGGACGCGGACGTGGACGCGGCTCGAGAGGCGGTGGCGCTGCTGGCGGCTCAGCACGCAGTAACAGCGGCGGCAACTCGGCCAATCGAAATAACGCAAACAGCACGCAGCCTCGAGTGCCGCGCATGAGTCGCGGCGCCAGCGCCGTTGCCAAAGCGATTGCACTCAGTCGGCCACGTTGCGTAGGCGGACTCAAGCATCAGCCGGATCCGGAACGGCTTAAGGGTTTCTTTAGTCCGGTAAGTGTAAAGCAAACTGAGGTAGATAAACCATTGAGAATTAATTATTACCTACAATCAATCAGGGATACTATTGGTATCCAAATGAAAATGGAGAATTTAAGGAATATTTATTACCAAATCAACAAAGAAATTTCTCTTTATATATACCTCGAACGAGGATAGAGGGTATTCAGAATTCATCATAAGACGCACAGCTGAAGATTTTGCATGATTCATTCAAAGGATGCCTCGTTGCCTATGTGTGTGCGTGTGTAAATATATATATATATATATTTATATATATATATAATATATATTATTTCTATAATTTGCTTTTGCTCTTTATGATAAATTTTTCGTTGCAATGCAACTTGTTTATGTTTTATTACGTAAAATGAACTCACACATCCATAGACAAGACTAAACACACCCACACACATACACACATACTGACACACACACGAACATTGTTCTGTGTCGTAATTAAAATCAAAGGCGCGCGCGCGCTGTATTCATTGCCAACTACTACCAAAAATGCATACGATTGCAACAATAACAATAGTAACTACAACAACAAGAGCAGCACCAGTAGCAGCAGCAAGAGCAGCAGCAGCACGCGACCGCAGTTAGCAGCGATGCAACAGCAACGCGTTGTTTGTCTCTTCACCTGTGATTTTAATCAGCTGCAAATTGTTGTTATTTTTCTCTCCGCTTTTTATACGCTCTTGCTTTCTATTGGTGTAGCAATGCTTTGGGCAGAGCGGCAAGTGAAGCAAACTTCACCACACCTGCTGCGTCGCTGTGAGAGCGGGAGAGTGAGAGCAAGCTTAGCATGTGCGCTTCCCCATGCAGACAGTTTGGTTTCATTTTTGATTTTAATGCATGCTGGCAACGCCGTTGAACTTACAAACACGCACACACACACACACACACACACAGCGAAGCGCTCTTCTCAGTGCTGCGCTCTCACGTTGACGCTGGCGCTGGCGCTGCCGGCGGCGCAACAAACAAAATCAATTCAAAAAGCAAAGATAAACAAAATAATGGTGTTTCTTAATGTTAATTGTTGTTTTTGTTCTATGTTTTTGCAGTCACCACAGGTCTTTGAGGAAGACACACGCATGAGCGCCGATCTAAATAACAGTAATCAATCGGTAACGAGCATGGAACCTCCACTGACGCCACAAAAGTAAGTTTACCTCTGAGAGTAATTCTCTCTTCTCATTAACTAACTTAATAATCGTGTTGCAGACAACCAGACTTCCTTAACAACGAGGAATCGCAATCGTCCATGCTGAGCAGCGCTAGCCTAATGGACTCCAATCAAGGCCAATCGGTGGATGCGATAATCGGCTCGGCTCTTAAGCGACCCAAGAAGAAGAAGATGGAAATTTGTGTAGCTGAAGAGTGAGTAGACCGAGATGCGAACGCGAATCTTCAAATTATCATTTAAAATAATCCCTCTTTCTTGCAGTACGGATTTCAATGCGTCAAGTATTGCGGAATATGATTGGCCACCACCGAAGGGCTGTTGCCCATCTAAGAATCGTGACACGTTCATGATCCAGGAACAGGTTGCACTCTACTTGGGCATCACAAGCTTTAAGCGTAAATATCCAGATTTGCCGCGACGAGCTGTTGACATGGAGGAGCGCAATTGGCTGCAGGAGAAGGGTCTGGTCAGCGAGAAGATGTGTGATCTTGGCATTACGGCTGTGTGGGCATCCGATATACTGGACATTATGTATGCCGATTTCTATGACAAGTACGAGGAGTACAAGGAGTATATTAGGCAAAAGCATCTACGTGAAATCGAGGCTAAACAGAAGGCTCTTGGCCTCACCGTTGGCACTGGGCGTGGCCTGCAAGCACGCGATCGCGCAATGCTCTCGGCCAGCAAATGGAATGTGTACTTTAACAAGATGTGAGTGGGGATATTTTTGATTGTGAATTGCAGTGAATTTTAACTACTATTTTGTTGCAGGCGAAAGGAGGAGCGCGTCGCCTGTTTAGATCTGCAAACGTTCACCATGAATTTTCCTGTCCAGCACACAGCAGCCAGCTCCACCGCGTTGCATCGGCCCATTACGGAAGCAGTGTATGCTGCAGCGCAGGCAGAGAATATGCCGACGCCGCCGCAAATGCTCGGGCCGCGTGCCTACGATGAAGCCTTTCAGCAGCTCGACTACGCCTACCCTCTGGCCCTGGTGCCAGGCCAATTTACGTCCAGCTATCGACAGCTAACGCCCGCGGAGCTAAGGTAACAGGAGAAGAGCAGAAAGCAGCATTTAGGCACCTATAATTTAGAGATTTTATTTTGCATGAGAATTGGAAATCTTTCTAGACTAATTTTGTTTACATAAGTGCAACTTTATAACTGATGTGCTTAACTTTTTCCAGAGCTTATCCCTTGAATACTGTCCTGGAGATGCCCCAACAGCAGCCGGACGAGCAACAGCGGGACGAACAACACCTGCTGCAGGATAGTCTTAAAGTGTCGCAAAGCAAGTTGCAGACAGCAGCGGTGCGGCGCAGTCAACGTTCCCGTCAGCAGCAGCGCAGCAATGATCCGACCAAACCAAGCAACCTCTGCTATGCCAGCGCAAGCAGCAGCAGCAGCAGCGACGCCAGCAGTACCGAGTCTGTAAGTAAAAGAGGCAAACATACACATAACAGTTGTATACAGACATATATATGATATATTCATACTAATACACATTTTGCTATTGAACTTTTTGCAGGATAGCGAAGCTGACAGCGACAGCAGCTGCAGCAGCAGCGCCAGCAGTTACAGCAGCCGCTGCAGCAGTTGCAGCAGTAACAGCAGTTCAATAAACACCGCCAGCGAAACTGAACTAATAACGCAGCGCGAAAAGGACGCCAGACTCTCGTCCAACAACTGCGGCGTCTGCCAACGCAGTCAGCACCGGAATGCGCGAAATATGCCCGAAGCCTTTATACGCTGCTACAGCTGTCGGCGTAAAGGCAAGTGTGAGAGTTTTGGGAAAACTTTGAAAATTTTATTAAGTTAGATTATTTTTGCAATTTACAGTGCATCCCAGCTGCATTGAGATGCCGCATCGGATGGTCGGACGCGTGCGCAACTACAATTGGCAGTGTGCTGAATGCAAATGCTGCATTAAATGCCGCAGCAGCCAACAGCCAGGCAAAATGCTCTACTGCGAGCAATGCGATCGCGGCTATCACATTTACTGCCTGGGCATTAAAACGGTGCCAGAGGGTAAGTGGCCGTCATATCTATGTGATATATGCGATAATACTAATATTTTATATATACTTTAGGACGCTGGAGCTGTGAACGCTGCTCGATTTGTATGCGCTGTGGCGCCACACGACCCGAGGGTCTGCCTCAAGTGCAGCAGTCCAGTTTGCTGTCACCCAATGGCAGCGCCAATGGCAGCCAAGCGAAGCCCGCTGTGAAGCACAAAAAGGTGAAATGGCAGAACGAGTATCGCATTGATCACATCACCGTTGCGCCATCACATTGCGCCATGCTCTGCGTGCCATGCGCACGCGCAAAGCCCACCAAAAGGACAACGACGCCCAACAGCAGCAACAATTGTGAACAGTTGCAGCTGCAATTGCAAGCGAATGGTGGAGCTGCAACCATGGAAGCAGCAGTAGCTGCACCAGTTGCAGCGCTTAGCCCCAGCAGCAACAGCAGCAGCGGCAACAACAATAATAATAATAACAATAATATCAATCAGCTGGAGGCTAATCCTGCTAGCAAGCAACGACTGCCACCGCAGCAACAGTTGTTGCTGCACAGAAGCCAGGATATGGCAACAATGCAAAGCAACAGCAATGAAGAAGCAACAGCTGCAACAATTATAACAACAACGCCCGCCAGCAATAGCAACAACTCCAACTCAGCCGCAACAGCAACAATAACAGCAGCACCTGCAACAGCAACAGCAACAGCTACAAGTTCAGCATCAACAGCAGCAGCAGGAGTAACGACAACAGCAACAACAACAACAATTGGCATAGCTCCACCTCCGGTTGTTGCCTGAGTGGGGGTCATACGTTATTGTGCCAAGCGCACTTTAACGGACTTGTAGTAAAGCGCGGGTCGCAGCAGACCACTCGACCCACCCAATCCCCACCAACCCCTTCCCACTCCAACTCCCCCGCCACACACACACACACACACACTCACACGTGCATAGTATTAAAAAAGTAATAAGCTAATTTTGTACATGTCTGCGGGCGTATGTTTATATTACACATCTATATATATATTTATATATATTAATTAAAACTTTTTTTTTTGTTATTTTTAATTGTTTTTATATATGCATTAAAATAAGTTGATTTAAATATGCCCACAATTATGTTACTTAAGCAAGAGAAGAAAATATGTTATACACACATACATACACACATGCACACACCCACACACACATGACAAGAAAAATGATCAAGATCAATGTATGTTTATGCCTAAGTTGAGTTTTGTTTAAATTAGCCAATAAGTCACAATACATACGAACACATCAATACACCTATTACACATATTAATTAGCTGCATTTTAGTTAATTGTATTTTATTATTAATTTTAAAATGCGTGTGGCACAATTTTACACACAGTGCAGCACTGCGCGCATCGTATTTACCGTTGCATATACTTTATTTTAACGTCTCTCTCGCTCTCACTTTCTCTGTGTTCCTCATTCATCACACACACACACACACCCACACACACAGCAGCCTTTAAAGTTAGGACAACGGATATTGTGTATTTTTTTTATAATTTGTGTTTGTGTTTCGTTGAGATATGCAGAAATATATATATAGATATATCTATATGTATCGAAACAAAAACAACTAAAAGAAAAAACAATTATGTCTTTATGTACGTCGTAAGCCTAAAACAAATGTACTATACAACTAAATAAGCTACAATTAAAAATAATAATAATAATAAAAAAGAAAAAACATAACAAATATGTAATAAATGAATTGGGCCGAAACTACATTTTTTATTGGTTTGTTTAAATTTTGTATGTATATGTAATTCGAAAATACTAACTGTCTAAGCTGTAAGTTAGCCATGTAAATTAGTTAAGCGCAGAATACAAATGCATATGTATGTATGTGAGAGCGTGAGTGCGTGCGTGCGTACATATGCAGTTATGTATGTGTGTACATATAAGTAGTGTCTTCTTACATATGAACATATATAAATACATATATTTAATTTTTTTTGTTTGGCGGCAACAACAAACACAACAATTTACTATTTAAATAGGCCTAAGATTGTATTATACATGTAATTTATGCTAAAGTGCACCCACACACACACAAACACCCATATAGATATATTAAAAAAAAAAACAAGAAAAAGAAACGAGAAAGGTTAAGCACAAGCAACGACAGAATGAATTATTATTTAAGTAATTGTAAAACAGGAATTTAAACAAAAAACGTGGTGGCAACGCTAACAGGAAAAAATTGAAAACTAACATTACCGTACCGCTCTCTTACGTAGCGCAACGTAACACATAGCAATTTCGTCTACTTAAACGAATCAGAAAGAAAATTTGGTAAAAATCTAATTTTCCATTGAATTTTATGCAATAAGTCCCTAATAAGTGAATTACTATACAAATACATAGTTATACAATTACACACCCACATATATATATATATATATATATATATATATATATATACATTAATAATTTTGTATATATATATATAGATATATATATATATTGTACGAATATATATATGCATACAAAACATATTTATAAGTCGAATAAAACAGCAGCATTAATAATTTTGCCTTACCAACAAGAATTTCTCTCCATTTACAAATGCAACTGATGGTGCATGGCCAGGAGCTGCTCCTCCAGCTCGTAACCATCCCGCCAATGGATTAGCTGGCACTTAAGCTCTTTGCGATAAACCGACAGGTTGTCGTGCAGCTCCTCGCCCCACCGTACGCACGCAATATCCGACGTACCCAAACGCCGTATAGCACACAAATCATTGCAGCTGTCACCCACGTAAATGAAGCTGCTATATGTTTTGTCTCCATTACTCTTCGACATGATGAGCATATCCATCACGCCTCCTTTACACAGATTTTCTGGACAATAGTCGCAGTGCGTTTGGTGTTCGTATGGCATTACGACCAAATGCTGACTCTCCGGATGCACGCAGACAGGATTTGTATAGACGCCCGCTTGAAAGGTGCAATCCAAGTCGTACGCTGCCAGCCATTCCGTAATGAAAAAGCTATTCGCATCGCTCAATATGCACATGTCCACGACTTTATTATGTTCCAGGCGACGCAGCAGATTTAATATTCCTGGCACCGGCTTCAATTTTCTTACCGATTTCGCGATTTGTGCGGCCGAGAGATGTTGCTTCCTCTGCAAGAGATGGAGCACACGCTCTAAATATTCTAACCAGCGGCTATCGTTTATTAGCGACTGCAGCTGCTTCTTGCGGTGGTACTCGGGTGCCAGCAGGCGAAGAAGCGCTACGTAGGAGTCCTCGTCAATGATTGTCTTGTCGAAGTCAAATGTGACCAACACACGATGCTTGCTGCGGCTGCCAAAGCATCGCCAGAGAGTTGGTGAACGTATTAAAGAGCCAAATAGCATACTTTTGTGTATTGAAAAATATGTTATATATTTATGTATGTATTTATGTACATAAATATATTGAACTGAGCAAATGAAAGCAAAGCTAAAGGTAGAACAAAACAGAATTTAGAAGAGTGTCATGCATCGTTCTGTTTCACTCATTCTTGTGATTGGCTATGTTTGTTTGTCTGTCTCTCTCTGGCAACAGCTATGCTATTGTACATTGTCCATATGGAAGCTAAGAAATTTAATATATATGAAGATCAATGCATATCTACCTAACATATTTATACTATATATATATATATATATATATGGTGTGGAATACTTTACTTGCTTTAAATAATTGAGCCTCAACGAAGAAATGTATTGGAATTCCACCACAGCATCTTTTGCAACGGCAGCAGCAGCTTCTACTGACCATATTCAACTGCAAAAGTATGCACTGGAAATTCACCATGTTGAAAAACGAATTCCAGTTAGCGCAGTTGCTCAACATCATTTGCCCCTGGAAGCCGGCAACAGAATGAATAATTTTCTTTTTTTTTTATCAATCTGTTGCGTTTTGCTGTTTGCCTGATATACCGACGGAAGATTCAATCAAAAAGTCGTTTTTGTTGTTTATTATTGGCGTACATACATTTATTTAGCTTTTTGCTTGTTCTTTTTTTTTATTTGGGAAAACGTACAATTAAAATATTTACAATAGCATTTAAATGTATTTATTATTCGGTTTTAAATTGTTTTGTTGTCTAAGCGCGAATTCGTAGCGAATTTTAATTTTTTGTATGTTTTTACTGCTTTTCTTATTATTCAAAATTGTTTTGGTGTTTCTTGTTGTTGTTGTCATTTACAATAACGGTAATTAATATAACCATTTCTTGCCCTTGCCTAAACTACATATAAAAAAAAATAATAACTGTTTTTTTGTTTTTGTTTTTTTTTGGTCTAACACAAAACTCTATAAATAATAATTGTCGCGTTAGTTGGACACATGTTAAATAATTTGAATTTGTGATTGCGCTATTTTCCGCATTTATTCAAATTTTTTTTTCAGTTAAAAAATAATTTTTTTTATAAAATATAAAAATAATAATTAACATAAAAACGTTCTGAACTGGTTTGGTTTTTGTGTTTGTTTTTGTTTTGCGATTGTTGATTTCTTTCCTTCATTTATAATCTTCATTTTACAGTTGTCGATTAGTACTGCTGTCGCTTGCAATCCACCTCACTCACTCTCACACATCCAGTCAACAGCTAGACTTTTGTTTACTTTGCCGCTGTCGTTGCATCGGTCGTGTGATTATTGGCATTGCTATTATTGCCTCGCTTGCGCTGGTTAACTGCACCACCACCGCTCGTTGCTGTTGTAGTTGTTGCTGCTAACGCAGAGTTGCCAGATTTGGCTTTTGTACGCGTCGAGCCGTTAGCAACGCGCACATTGCCTGAACTATCTGTGAGATCCTCACTATCACTGGAACGTATGTCGCCGGACATCTGCAGTAGCACAGAAATAGAAAATAAAATAAATTAATTAATACCCAGCAATTCTTGAATTGGAAGTCTTAAGCTCTCGACTCTCTCTCTTATTCTCTTATTCCACTCTTTAGACTCATTTTCCAAGATGTCCAAAGATGTTGATATTCTCTCTTAACATTTGTTGGTGCTCGCTTTCTTAAAACTAATCTCTGCGTTAGTCAACACTGCAATTGCAATCAGAATGGTATTATGAACGTCGCAACTCTAACTCAACGTAATAAGTTGACGTCACAACTGCAACATAACTCGAATTGCAGTGAACGGCTAATAGCGGTTACCATATAAAGGGACGAATAGATTAAATGACGACCCAATTACTAGCAAGATCTATTTCTAACTGTAATGTAATATGTAAGAATATTACCCATTAAATCATTCACTATTACATGCTCTGCTAATTGGAATGGATTTGAAATGCATATTACTTACCAGACCCTTCTGCAGGGAATCGACCACAATCTTCAGAATCATATAGGTCCAGATGACGTGCAGCACCAGCAGCATCAATAGCAGCGAGTTAAATATATAATATGCTGGAAACATAGGCAGAATTCGTGGTGCCTCCACGGATGAGCTGTCATTAAGGATAAAATAAAAAGAAACGATAGGCGATAAGCAATATTTCTTTATCGATCAGAACATTAATAGTTACCTATAGATAATACGCGGATAGAAGCCCAAGCGCGTGACAATCCAGACAACTGTGAAGATGGCAAAAATCGCATCACAGACCTTCTGATAGTTGGCATATTTGGTCAATTTGGCCGCCTCTAGAAATATATCGGCACAGTCGTGCACGACCAGCACCAGGGAGCCAACGCGATGCAGATTGCACACCCAGCTAAGAGACATAAGCAACAGTGTGACCATGTGATGTATGAACATTTGCCAGAAATCCTTGCGCTTCACATCAAAGAACTGTGTAGCCGTCAATGACCAATAGAACGACATCGATATCATATAGTACCACCAGATATCGTTGCTGACCGACTGCAAAATATAGTGAACATGATTCCGGATTCAGGAGTAAGTGGAATTTCTATCAAATCATGATCATGCAACACTCACCTGATGAGGATAGCCATACCAGCAGCTCTTCACATCCCAGAACCATGGCTTATCCCACAGCACAATCACCCCGAATATAAAGCTATATAGATAATAGATGCATCGCCATGTATTCTCGCAGAACTTGACTAATGTCGAAGGCTTATCCTGTGCCCGACGCAGGCGCCACCAGCGCTCGATCTGACGCTCGGTCATGTCCGTCTGCTTGGCCAGTGGTGCCAGCTGTTAGAAGAAGCAGAGCAAGACATCTTAACTGTTAAACTGTTGCCTCTGATTAATGATCAGTGCTAGTTCATATCTATGAATGAACTAGCTCTAGCTCTCGATTGATGATGAATGGAAAAACCAAAACAGTAAAACACATGTACTTGATTGACTGAACCCTGATTAATTGATTAGCGACAGATTGACAGATTGATGGTGAATGCTTAGTTTAAACTACTGATGGTATTCTAGAAAGAATGATTCATGGATTGATTGCTGATCAATGTACGGTAAAGCTTTTCTTTTGAATGACTGACTGATTGACCGATATATCTTAACCTTCACGAACTAGCCACTCACCCATTTATGATCCAAGTGCGATGATTTGGCATATGCTGACTCTAATGTAGGAACATTTGCTGCTTTCTTAGGTCTAGAGCTTCGTATGCCCAACGATTTTCCAATGGGTGATATCCAAAAGCTGTAACATATATAGAAATATATATTGATTATAGATAAATGAGTTAATTGTTATGCGCAAATTGATTATGAATATGATTCTCAATCGAGAACAGTAAGCGATTATCCTAACCGGCCTAACGGGATGGACTAATGCTTATCCTCATCTCTTCTAATCCTCATATTTTTGGCATAGGGAAATAAATTGATTGTTTTCTCGATAAAATTAGCTCATTTATGAACATGAAAAGCCTTTCGAAGAATGGAGAAAATAAACTAATCAACGATGATTGAATGACAAAGGCAAATAATTCTGATGAGCGTACAATCGAGTATATACAATCCGGTCGAAATTCAAACTGTGAAGTTTGGCAACGACGCGTCACCTATTTCAGTTTGTATGCGCAATGGACGCAGCTAGACGAAGATAATGAAGAAGTAAAACAATTGAAATTTAATTTGGAAATTCCAGACGTAGTTCTTCTATTCAGCATTTAGCTGCCATTTCATTTATATGCGCAAAAGCAGAAGCAGTGAAAGAACTTCGTTTTGGCTATGGCTTATAGAACGCGGAAATTTTTCGCCATCTATTTGAAATTCCATATCGAAATACATCTACATATGGGAAGGGCCGGGAATTGTCATCGGTCCTGTCTGTTTGTCTGGCACGTGTGAAGCATGGCAACACTGCATGAAGCCAATAGTTGTCCCAGGCATCCCATGCATAAGCAATTGGCCTAGCAGCATAGGCGCAGCTCATGGCTTACGCTTATCGGAAGTTAATTTGCTAAATGAAATCGAAAATATGGCCGAGACCGCCCCTTCACCCCTCTCTTTTTGTCTCTCTCTCTCTCGTTCTTTGGCTCTCTCTCTCCCCTTCTGTCAGAGCGCGCGCGTCTGGCATTTTAAATCAATTGAATTCTTGATGTCTGTGTGCAAAGCACATGCCCAAAAAAAGAATCAAATTAAGGAAGCTATATATATACAACTATATACATGCATATATATATACATATATTGTTACATTCTTTTCGACAATCAACCAATAGGTCATCACTTTGATTACACCCTAAGAAAATTGGTGTTAATTATAATGATAAATGTAATTTGATTTCATTTGACATAATCAAACCTGAAAGTAGAGAAAGAAAACGTTTTAAGAGCGACTTTATAATACTCGTTCACACTCCAAACACAGATTTATTCAAATTTATTCCATTATTTATATTCTTAAATTCATGGTTAATAAAGAAAATCGACTAATTGCCCCAAACTCTGAGGTTTTTGGCCCCTCATTAATGTTGCTCTGTAACCTATGCTTTTATGTTACGTTATACGAATATTCATATATATATAATTTTCGATTAGCCACGACTTTCAGTGGACGTAGCCATAAAATCGTAACGCTCGCTTAGATATATATATAGTATATTCAAACCAATATACTCAGATGTCACATTGTGAACGAGTATATATGAAAAAAATATAGCGAATTGAATGCGTCCTAGTCGACTTAGGAATACGGTACTCTGTTTGAACTAACTGAACTAGTGATCCATACAATGTACGACTTTAGTTCGGAACTTATTCAAAGCCGATTGAAGATGTTGACGTTGCCAGCTGTCGTAGATTTGGCATGAGGAGTAGCCATATGCCCGATCGATTTGTATTTTTATTTTGTTTTCCATTAATTTGAGCCCGCATAAATAAGTGATTTATATGTATGTACGCGGCTCTACTATATATATATATATATATATATATATATATATATATATATATATATAAATATTATTCAATGTGACAAGCTTAGAATTTGTAATGCCTACATATAGGAAACGCACCCGAAACGCGTGTCGCAGCCCATCAATAATACATATAGAGCCACACCAAAATATAGAAACCATAAGAATAATAATAGTAGAAAAGGAAAGGAACGAAAACAAAATCAAGTCACAAATTGTCAATTGAAAGCAAAAGCAAAATTAAGAAAGAAGAAAAACAGTAGCTCGCCCATCCGCTCCGATGCCCATGAAAATAACCACGAGCGACAGATGGCGCCATTGTTTCGCTCTGCACGATCCATAATTTGAATCTGCATTGCAATACATTACAAGCAACAACTGGATAATAACTGTTGTGTTCCAACGCCTTGACAGCTTGCTAAGTTCGCATAGATCATGGTTAGGCTTAGACAATTATGATGTGATTCCTAATGTCTTGATTCTCTATATTAATATTGCAAAGCATCAGGTGAACAAGGAGCCAGCAGTGTGAAAGTAACAGCAGTATTGGTTCCAATAACGGCTTACGCAGTAATTCGAGTGCATGAGCCCACTTGCACTTAAATTAGAAACCAAAAAAACATTTATAATTTGGCATCGATAGCAATTTGTAACGAAAATAGTGTCGGGCGATATGCGTGCATGTAATTACAGTTAAGTACACTGCACGTGCGTGTGTGCATATATCGTAAGTGTTGCCCATTTAGCCTTTTTGCGTAGTTAGCAGTTACCTCCGTTTCGACGATAAAAATAGAATTTAATATAACCGTTTTCTAGCTTTTAATAATTTGCGACAAACTTTATAGTATATTAATCATATTTTCATCATACCTGTAAATTACTTTACTTAGATCAATTTAAACGCTTTTCAGACAATTTAAATGCTAGTATCTTTAGCAGTTTTTAGCTTCTCTTGTTTATCGATAGTTAACAGCGCTGCTGCTCGAGTGCAAACACTCGATTAACAAATTACGATAAACGCTAATTATAAAAGCAATTTAATGACAAACGCAATACACAAGACGCAAGACTCGCATGCATGTCTATATACATATACATTATATATACATTTCTGTATGTGTAAATTTATACTTGTATAAAGTTACGTCCAAAAATTAATAGCTGCAGTAATTGCCGCTGTTATCAGCGCACATCAAATGTGCGCCTGAATTTGAGTGTGTGTAAGAGTGTTGCCATTTCGGCAAATTACAGTATGTGTCCAAATGCCGACTGAGAGTGAGTGAGTGAGAGAGGAAAAGTACAAACAACAAATTCTCTCGTTGATGATAATTCAACACGCAAACGATTGGACGATATTGTAAAAAATAAACACATGCACATTCAGGCAACATATACATGTACGTATATACATTTATATACACACTTGTGCATGTATTAAGCGATGACTCATGCTCTTTAACATAAGCCTTGGGCAGTGTCATTCGAGCAGCTAAGCGAGCGATAACAAGATCATTACTGCAAAAAGTTCTCATCTGTTATCGCTTGTTGTCAAACAGCTGATTTCAAAGCTGAATAGCGACAACAACAACAATAATAGCAACGGCGTTAATTGGCTATTTAACATACACACATATATTGCATTTAAAAGCGAGCCATGCTAAATAAAAATTCATATGTGAGTCTATATATGTGTGTGTTTGCGTGTGCGTATGCCGGCGGCCTTCTGTGTGCGTAATGCACGTGCACTTTTTTGGCCTTTCGCTTTGGGCAAACGGTCGACGCCAGTAACAGCGATAAACCAATAAAAAAAACTAGTTTGGATTTAGATTAACAGCAACAAACAATACAATAGCAACTGAAAACGTATGTGTATGTGTGTCTTCATTCTTGGCAGTGCGCAAAATAAATATGGAAAAACTGCAATTCACACACATATACACGGGCAATTGTTGCCAGCACGACGACCCGGCTCTGATTAGATTTAACCATTTAGTTGAATGTGTGTGTGGCAAAAAATTAAAATAAACTTTAAATTTTATATTGCTTGGCTGGCCGCACACTCTGAGGGTCGACTGATACGTAATCAGAAGAAATATATATATATATAAGTCTATATAAAAACATACATATATGCACATGTATATGTATATATATGCATTCATAATTTTTATATGCTCCCACATTTGGACATATGTATGTAGATAATAATCGCATATATATGTGTGCATGCTGCTTGGTGTGGAATTGTTGTTATTGTTGGTCTTTTCTCATAACATTCCAGTAAGTGGCTACTTTTGGAAAACCTAGTTAGACTTGCCAGGAATGAAACGGAACTGAGTCACAGTCGTTCCACATCACACTGACTCAAGCGTGTGTCACACATACCCACACACACATTCCCACCCACACGCATGTTTGCATGTATGTATGTATTTATAACGTAATTGCGATAACGCCGCGCATTATCAAATTTGTATTTTATTTTTACGTAAATCTTGCGCACAAATCTTATCAACAAATGCTCAAGTTGAGTGCAGAAGTGGAAAAGGTGTTCTTGTTTTTGTTTTTGTTGTTTCCGACGATGCCATACACAAATGCCACATACAAACACACTTGCTTAATTTGTTGGCGACCATGAAAGCCAATTCTAGTTTCAGATACTCTAAAAATTCGAAAAAATAAAAACCAGTCAACTTAACAACCCTGACAAATATTTAAGTCTTATGCGGTTAGAGTTCAACAGAAACGTCCAAACAATATTTCACAACGTGAAGTTGGCCGCTTAACATTTACTGCAGGCCAAACCAACAAAAAAAGCTAACTACAAATTTTGGAATTGTGGAATAGGACACATTGCAGGTGCGCCTGGCCTCATTTACATACACAAATGTACATCTTCACATGCACGTGTGTGCGTGCAAAGTTTGTTAGCGCAAATTCACATGAACATTGGTAATTATGTTAATTACAACATGCAAAATGCACGCAACTCACGCGCACATACACATACGAGCGCACACATGTTGCTAGTATGAGAGCAAATATAAGGTTAATTGGCCCCAAAAAGCGTCAAATGCTTTTCTGCACAGTGGGTCGAGTGATACAATAAATGCTATGAGAAAAAAAAGAAAAGAAGAAATGAAAGCGAATAAAGAAATGCTAAAAACACCCTTATCAAAGGTGTACAAGAAAATTATTCATATAATTGGAATTCGATTGATTCATATTTCAATTCAAATTTAAGTTGTAATCTGATTATATTTGCTGGTTATTTATTGCTAATGACTAATGTTCTAAGTACATTGTAATGATAGTAAATGAGTAGTTCGTGTCACGTTAACGTCAACAATCGTTATTTTCCATAGCACAATCAAAAATAAGATTGCACACAAACTCCATATCCACTACCAATTGCTAGCACGCCAGCTAAATTATTTTAATTATAGAATCAATTGGCTTTCAGTTTACTTTCCTAGCAAATCGAAAATTATTGAAGTTTTTTTGCTACACTACAAACCATTAGGTATGGTTAGACTTTAATGTCAAATATTATGAGTTTTTCCTAGTTATTTTATCAACGACTACAAGCCACTGTGCAGTACGTTGGTGTTTACAATTGTAAATGTGTGTGTTTATGTATACAAGTAAAAAGGAAATGCATGGCGCGCCGTTATTGCTATGCTTGTATTTGTTTAGTGCATACAAGTATAAACAAATAGTATTTATTTTTTATTTCTTTGTTAACTAAACAATTAGTAAGCGCTGTGCGCGGTACGAACACCACAGAACGCTCTCATATTTATGGGAAATTGAGATTCCAATGGAACGCGACGCCAATGCCGCCGCCGCTGCCACCCGCCGCTGCTTTTGAAATTGAAGAAGTGGATGAAGGAAAACATAAAGTTGCAAGGCGTTGGCAAAGGGAAGGCAACAACAAACACGCATACTCAGGCACACACACAAACATTTACACAGTTATATGAATACATACAATATGTTGGGCGTTTCCACGTGAGGTTATGTTTGGCTTAAAAGAGCAAAAATGTATACATATTTATATACATAAATGTATGTGTCTGTACGTGTTGTAGCGGCGTGCGGCAGCGTCAGCTTACTGTACATTGCACAGCATGCACACGCACACAAGCAAACAAACAGAGCGTGCGCCTGTGTAGGTGTGTCTGTGTCTGCACAATGCCAGTGCTTGAAAGCGAAGCGGTCAATGGGAACATTTACAGTAAAATAAACCAGCACACACACACACACAAAACGCCGCATAAGTTTAATGAATTGCGGCGACGCTGGAAAAACACTAAAAAGGGCGTATATATATATACATACATGTTTGTAGATAATAACTGTAAGTTGAAACATGTTTGCATGTATGTATGTTGGGATAATTTTTTCTTTTACTCACCGCTCCAATGTGTAACGCACCAGCATAACGACAGCAGCTAATGGAATGGGCCAAATTAAATCCCGATAATCGGCGTGCACAACATCTGGACGAGAGCCGGGCGCAATGTCCGCCCATGTTGTATTTGGCGGTAGCCAAATGTGCGTACTCCAAAATGCATTGGTGAATTTATTGATTATGTCCATACTTAAGATTCTTTGCGTTTTCTTCCTGCTGCTGTTTCTTCTTCTTATGTCTTTTTACTGCTGCTGCTGCTGACTCCTCCTGTCTTCTCCTTATATTTGTTTTCGCCGTAGTTGAACAGGAATTTATATTTGAGTATAGACGAAGCGGCTTGCTCCGTTGGGCTTTTTTTTATTTATCTTTTTTCTATCTTTTTTTTTGGGATTTTTGGCTTGACTTCTGATTGGTGTTTGTTGCTGTATTTTTGTTTAGTGTTTTTTCATGCTCTTTTCTGTGGTGTCGTCGTTGTCAGTTATATATCTATATCTATATATATTTTACATAGACTTTGCTATATATATGTATGTGTGTATATTGCATTGCGGAGCAAACATAAAAAAAAATTAAATAAAATATACCACGCGTTGTGAGTAGCAACACACGAACACACATACGCACACCAGCGCGCACTGAGAACTAACCGCCGAAAATGACAAGCGAAGTAGCCGATGCCGGACTCACAGTAAACTGGAACTGGAACTTCGTGTAGAACACAGTTACAAAATATCGACAGAGATAAACGAACTGGGATCGAGTTTATCTAAAGCGTATTAATAAAATTTAGTAATTATTTTAATAATACACGTATATATATGTTAATATATATATATATGTAAGAAGCACGCACACACGAACCGCTTATTTATATTATTATTGAGTGTGATGGTTCGTTCTTGCTACCCGCTTGACAGCATTGCCAACACTGTGGTTTATGTTTCCAGCACTTGAGGGCACATGACGACTTTTTATGAGCAAGTAACTCTGTTGTGCTTAACATGAGAATAGCGATGTGTTAAATGCAATTTCTTATATGTCTATCGTCATATCGATAGCAGATAATGCAGCCCTCAACTCATTGACATGGACTGCATGCATTTAACAACACTGCTACATACTGTTTTTTTTTTTGACATTTGTGCTGCTTTTTCGTCTGCGTTTTTTTTATTGTGACACTGCAAGCGACGTTTATTGTGTGTTAATTTTAGTTAAATTCATTTTTAGCATATAATTTAGTTATTTAATTTATTACAATGGCTGAATTCTTGGACTCCGAAGCCGCCGAATCGGAGGTATGATTCTCTTGATCATTTTGCACGCGCGCTAAATGCGATTTCCTTACATTGCTACGCGTTCTATGTTGTAGGCGCGCGTGTGTGTATATATACATTTACACTAATATATAATATATATTTTTAATATATATTATATATGTATGTATATATGCATATGTATGTATGTATATATGTAAATATATGTATTGCATTTTTTTTTTCATTTGGCTGCAGGATGAGGAAGAATTAGATGTGCATGAAAGGAAAAAACTAAAGAAACTAAAAGCCGCCGTCTCCGACAGCAGCGAAGAAGAAGAAGGTGCGTATACAGTCCATAAAAGCCCGCTCAATTTATACATATTAGCTATTAATGTACACAAATTTGTTTGTCCCTTCAAAAATCAACCAAATTTCTGTACTGTTGTGTATGTATGCATATGTATGCATGTATTATATGTGTCATAGCCTGGACAATTGTAGCCGCCCCAATCGCTCTGCCTCCCCCTAAGGGCAGGTGTCTACGTTTTTGTTTACAACATTGAGGTTATGTTTAATGTTATTTATAACCTTTAGTGAAAAAAGTAATTTTTTTTTCATCATTGAGTGCGTTATGCATGAAATGTGATATAAAACTACAGGAACATACAAATATTGTAGATATTAAAAAAAAATGGGAACTAGGAACTTCTATATGTTAAATGGAAATGGAAATGGGAACTTCTATATATTAAATATTCCTTTCTTATAACCTTTCTAGATGACGAGGAGCGTTTGCGTGAGGAGCTTAAGGATCTAATTGATGACAATCCCATTGAAGAGGATGATGGCAGCGAAAATGATTCTGATACTGGCAGTGGAGGCGATGACGATGGTGGCAGTGGCAAGAAGCGTAAAAAGCACGAAGATGATGATCTAGATGATCGCTTAGAGGACGATGATTACGATCTGATTGAGGAGAATTTGGGCGTCAAGGTCGAAAGACGCGTAAGCCAGCTTTATTGATACCCAGAAATAATATAAATAAATTGATAACTGTTATGCTTTTCGACCATATTAGAAACGTTTTAAACGCCTGCGACGCATTCATGACAACGAAAGCGATGGCGAGGAGCAGCACGTGGATGAAGGACTTGCACGCGAGCAAATTGCCGAGCAGTTATTCGATGAGAATGATGATGTATGCATTTCAAACAATATATATATTTATATAATATAGAATTATATTTTTATAATTATGCTATATTCAAATGAATTCTTCGATTTATTGCCTTTTGCAGCAAAGCATTGAGCGACGCAGCGAGCGCAGCATTCGAGAGGCGGACACCTTTGATGATGAGGACAGCGAATCGGATGCTGATGATTTTATAGTGGATGACAATGGTCGCCCTATAGCCGAAAAGAAAAAGAAGCGTCGACCCATATTTACAGATGCGTAAGTATATATAGATGAACACATGCAACATGCATATCTGCATATCTGCTGGTTACGTTTGCAAAAAAGTCTAAAATATCTTGATCAGATTTAAGATTTTTGTTGAGTATTGAGCAAAAGTACCGATAAAAATCGATTTTAAGTGGTTTGATTTACTACTTACTTAAAATGTGATTACGATTATACAGATTAACTAGATATATATTGTTGGTATATACTTTAGACTCGATATATTTTATGTAAGATTTGATACACAGAACTTTTAGGATACGTTAGACTAGGTACTATATATATATTTATTATATATACATCCGCTTTGATTGACTGTTAAATTAAAAAAATGTCTTTCGCACAGCTCTCTGCAGGAGGGTCAAGACATCTTTGGAGTTGATTTTGACTACGATGATTTCTATAAGCCCGAAGAAGATGAATACGAGGAAGAATCCGAGGGTGATGAGTATGATGAGGATCTGCTTGGTGGCGATGATTTTCGTGCGGCCAAAAAGAAGAAGTCACCGAAAAAGAAGGCAATCAAAAAGACCATCTTCGATATATACGAGCCAAGTGAATTGAAACGTGGCCATTTCACTGACTTGGACAATGAGATACGAAAAACGGATATACCGGAACGGATGCAATTGCGTCAGGTGCCGGTAACAGCGGTGCCCGAAGGATCCCATGAACTGGACGACGAGGCCGATTGGATATATCGGTTCGCGTTCTGCAAACAGACGGTGTCCGAGCAGGAGAAGGCGGACAACCGAGAGAAGATGCGTAAACCGCCAACGGCTGTGAATAAAATCAAACAGACTTTAGAATTCATACGTAATCAACAGTTGGAGGTGCCATTTATAGCATTCTATCGCAAAGAGTACGTTAAGCCGGAGCTAAACATTGATGATCTATGGAAGGTTTACTACTATGATGAGCGTTGGTGCCAGCTAAACGATCGGAAAAGGAAGCTGAAGCAACTGTTTGAGAAGATGCGACAATTTCAATTGGAAACTCTTTGTGATGATCCAGATAAACCGTTGCCGGATGATGTACGCCTGATGCTCGATAGCGATTTTGAACGCTTGAGCGATGTGCAATCGATGGAGGAGCTGAAGGATGTCCATATGTATTTTCTGCTCAATTATTCACATGAATTGCCCAAAATGCAGGCCGAACAGCGACGCAAACAGCTGCAAGAGCGACGAGAGGCGAGGGCACGCAAACAAGCAACAGCTGCAGCAGCTGCCGCTGGCAGTGATGGCGAATCTGGCGTTGATCTTACTGAAAAACTTGATATGGTAGAGCTCGATGAGGCCGAGGAGTTGGAGTTGGCAGCTGAAGAGCAATTGAAACAGGCACCAAATAGCAGTCCCTATGCTGTATTTCGTAAAGCCGGCATTTGTGGCTTTGCTAAACATTTCGGCCTGACGCCCGAACAGTTTGCCGAAAATCTACGGGACAATTATCAAAGGAATGAAGTTAACCAGGAGAGCTTAAGTCCCACAGAGATGGCCAAGCAGTATTTGTCGCCGCGATTCATGACCGTCGATGAAGTGCTGCATGCTGCCAAATACGTTGTGGCCAGGCAGCTGGCACAGGAGCCCCTGTTGCGTAAAACAATGCGTGAGGTATACTTTGACCGGGCACGCATTAATATACGACCCACAAAGAATGGCATGGTCCTAATCGATGAGAACTCCCCAGTCTATTCGATGAAATATGTTGCCAAGAAACCGGTCGGTGATCTATTCGGTGATCAATTCATAAAGCTTCTGATGGCCGAGGAGGAGAAACTGTTGGAGATCAAGTTCCTCGATGAATTCGAGGGCAATGCGAACGCAAACGGTCCGCCTGGTGACTATGTTACAGAGGCCACACAGCTCTATCATCTGGATCAGTTTGCCAAAAATGTGCTTGAGTGGAACGCACTGCGTGCTGAATGCGTTCAGTTGGCGTTGAAGAAATGGGTCATACCCGATCTAATCAAAGAGCTGCGTGCAACGTTGCACGAGGAGGCGCAACAATTTGTTCTACGCTCGTGCATAGCCAAGTTATATAAATGGCTAAAGGTGGCGCCGTATAAGCCCGAGATGCCGCAGCATCATAATTTCGAAGAGTGGAGCACATTGAGGGGCATACGAGCCATGGGTTTGGCCTACGATCCGGACCAATCGGTGGCTGCCTTCTGTGCCATAGCCAGTCCGGAAGGCGATATCTCTGACTACTTACGATTGCCTAGCATACTCAAACGTAAGAATTCCTACAATAACGAAGAAAAGGCACAAAAATTGGCCGATTTGCGTAAATTGAGCGATTTCATCAAGATGAAGAAGCCACACATTGTGGTAATTGGCGCCGAGTCGCGAGATGCACAGATGATCCAAACGGACATACGTGAGATACTCAAAGACTTGGAAGCCAATGAACAATTCCCGCCCATTGAGGTGGAGATCATTGACAATGAACTGGCCAAGATCTATGCCAACTCGAAGAAGGGCGAAACTGACTTTAAGGAATATCCACCTTTGCTTAAGCAAGCTGCCTCGTTGGCGCGCAAAATGCAGGATCCATTGGTTGAGTACTCGCAATTGTGCGATGCCGACGACGAGATACTCTGCCTGCGCTATCATCCACTGCAGGAGCGTGTGCCGCGCGAGCTACTGCTGGAGCAATTGAGCTTGGAGTTCATCAATCGCACCAGCGAAGTGGGCTTGGATATCAATTTAATGGTACAGAATTCACGTACTGTCAACCTACTTCAATATATTTGTGGACTGGGTCCTAGAAAGGGTCAGGCGTTGCTCAAGCTGCTCAAGCAGAGCAACCAGCGGCTCGAGAATCGTACGCAATTGGTAACGGTTTGTCATCTGGGCCCAAAGGTCTTCATCAATTGCAGTGGCTTCATCAAGATCGATACCAGTTCACTGGGCGATAGCACGGAGGCGTATGTGGAGGTGCTGGATGGGTCGCGTGTCCATCCGGAAACATATGAATGGGCGCGCAAGATGGCCATCGATGCCATGGAATATGATGATGAGGAAACAAATCCAGCTGGGGCCCTCGAGGAGATCCTTGAATCACCAGAAAGACTCAAAGATTTGGACCTGGATGCATTTGCCGTCGAGCTGGAACGTCAGGGATTTGGCAGCAAAAGCATTACGCTCTATGACATACGCAATGAGCTCAGCTGCTTGTACAAGGATTACCGATCTAGCTACCAGAAGCCCAGCTCCGAGGAGCTCTTCGATATGCTAACGAAAGAGACACCGGACTCATTTTATGTGGGCAAATGCGTGACGGCTATGGTGACAGGATTTACGTATCGGCGTCCACAAGGCGAGCAGCTGGATAATGCAAATCCTGTGCGCATCGACGATTCCGATAGCTGGCAATGTCCATTCTGCCACAAGGATGATTTTCCGGAACTCTCCGATGTCTGGAATCACTTCGATGATAACAATTGTCCAGGCCAGGCGTCCGGAGTGCGTGTTCGCCTAGAGAATGGCTTGCCTGGCTTCATACACATCAAGAATCTGTCCGACAAACAGGTGCGCAATCCGGAGGAACGTGTCCGAGTCGCACAGACAATCCATGTCCGCATCATTAAGATCGATATTGATCGCTTCTCTGTCGACTGCAGTTCCAAATCGGCTGATCTTAAGGATGTCAACAATGAGTGGCGACCCAGGCGCGATGCCTTCTACGATTTCGTCACCGAGGAGCTGGACAATCGCAAAGTGACGGATGCCAAGGCGAAAGCGATGAAACGTAAAACCTATGCCAGACGTGTCATAGCACATCCGAGTTTCTTCAACAAGTCCTATGCGGAGGTCATTGCTATGCTCGCCGAGGCGGATCAGGGCGAGGTGGCTCTGCGGCCCAGCAGCAAGTCCAAGGATCATTTGACAGCCACGTGGAAGGTGACCGACGACATCTTCCAGCACATCGATGTGCGCGAGGAGGGCAAAGAGAACGAGTATAGCCTGGGACGCAGTCTGTGGATTGGCACCGAAGAGTTCGAGGATCTCGATGAAATCATCGCACGGCACATCAATCCCATGGCTCTGGCTGCCCGGGAGCTAATACAATACAAATACTATAAGCCGAATACGGCGCCAGCGAATGTGAATGAGCGCGATTTCATGGAGCAGCTGTTGCGCGATGAGAAGGCGCGTGATCCGAAGAAAATCCATTACTTCTTCACTGCCTCGAAGAGTATGCCAGGCAAGTTTCTATTGTCTTACCTGCCCAAGACGAAGGTGCGGCATGAATATGTCACCGTTATGCCGGAGGGCTACCGGTTTCGTGGCCAAATCTTTGACACAGTCAGCAGCTTACTGCGCTGGTTCAAGGAGCATTGGCTAGATCCAACTGCAGCCATGTCCAGTTCGATGAGTGCCACGCCCGCCAGTAATACGCCCACAAATGCGCACAATATGATGCGTCCGCCGCCCACATCGGCGCTCAGCTCAATTGGCGGCGGTGGTGGCAGCAGCGGAGGAGCTGCTGGATTCAGTAGCTCGGGCAGCATGACTGGTGGTACACCACGCAGCGGCATTAGCAGCAGCGATATGCGCACCTCCAGCGCCTACTCAGTAACGCATTCCATTGGAGGATCAGGTGGTGGTGGCGCTGGAGCTGGTGGCTATAGCAGCGGTAGCGGCAGCAGCTCCAACTTGGGCCTCATCAATACCGCTGGCCTGGGTCACTTCGGCAGCGGCACGCCCACCTTTGGCGCGCACATCAATACGCCGTATACTCCGAGCGGTCAAACACCATTTATGACGCCCTATACGCCGCATGCAACACAAACGCCACGCTATGGCCATAATGTTCCAAGTCCCAGCTCCCAGTCGAGCAGCAGTCAGCGGCATGGCCATTATGGTGGCACGCCACGCTACTATGACAATGTCTATAACAGCGGCAATCTGTCGCAGCAGCAACAGCATTCACATTCACAGCAGCAACATCCTCATTTGCAGCAGCATCAGCATCAGCAGCATCATCATCATCTGCATCAGCAGCAACGTGCCAAGGAGAATCTGGACTGGCAGCTGGCGAACGATTCGTGGGCGCGTCGTAAGCCCCAACATCAGCATCAGCACCAACACCAACACCAGCATCAACATCAACAGCAGCAACAGTCACAGCAGCAGCAACAACTCGGCTTGGCCATGACCATGGGTCTTGGCTATGGCAGCGGCGGTGGAGGCAGCGGCAGTGGCGCCGGCTCCACGCCCACCAATGAGTATCATACGAGCAGCAGCTCGAGTCGCAGTTCTGCTGCAGCTGCCGCTGCTGCTGCTGCTGCTGCTATTTCTGGTGGTGCTGGTGGTGGTATCTCTTCCAAGTCTTCGGTGCGCAGCACGCCGCGCACAAACACCTCACCGCACTCCATGAACTTGGGCGACTCGACGCCCCTCTATGATGAGAACTAGGACTCGGTGCTTCTGTGTTTGTGTGGGTGCGTGTTTGTCTGTGTATTTGATCTGGATTTAATTATATATGTATACATAAGTAATAAGTATATTACTCTGTACACTCACAAATTAAGCAAAAATGGAAACTCAACGCAAAAACAACCCTAAGCATTAAAAAAGCATTAAATAAATAACTACACAACAAAAGAGAAAAATATTTCAAATGCGATAAGTTTTTTCAACTGATTATAAATTTAAAATCGATTACCGATGTCATCGATGGCGATTGCCAAATGTTGCCAATTGCATAAAGCTGAGATAACAAAAGCCCAAATGTTGCAAGCCGACCGCAGCTCAATTGACAAATGTTGCCAGGCGTGCACAGCTTAGATGTTGCTATTGAAATTGTTTTCTTTATGCATCGGCCAATGTTGCCTTTCAAATTTCCTTTTGGGGCAATTTAAATCAGAAAGAGATAGAAATAACAGAGGCTTTAAGCATTTGCTGTTGATGTAGATATTTTAGTGCTGCAAGTAAGATTCTTTGCTTTTAAAAATAATGTTTTAAATTTAAATTTAAAATATATATTTATATCTATGTTTTGCCCATCAAACGTAGTTCTAATAAAAAAATCCTTCATCTTTCAAATTGCTAAATGGCCCCTTGAAAATACCTTTGGCTTGGTACATTTTGAAGTCTTGAATTAGAAAGAGATGGAAATAGCAGAAACAAAAAGGCAACATTATTATAAACCGTTATTGTTAATCGACCAATAATTACAAAAATTGTGGATTTTTTACAAATTGATTTATTAAAGGCATAATTTAAACATCATCAATATCAACGAGTTGTACAAAAAACATTATATAAAAAGGACACAAAGTTCTATTCTGCCCCTCTTCTTCTGTACGGAATGAAAGTTCAGTGTTGTGCAACGTGGCAACAATGTGTGCTCGTCCTTAGATCTAGTTCTTGGCCATGCCTCGCTTGATCGCATAGACCAGCGCCATTCCCAGTATTATGGCGCCCACAGCCAAACCGATTTCCCTGCAACTGTTGCAACAAATAAGAATAGAGTTAAATAGATATGTATATGTGTGTGTGTGTGTGTGTGTGCATATTAAGTTAGGCTAATCGAAAATAAGGCAAAATTAAGTTGGGATTTCAATTGGAATTTGCGCTCAGTGCAAAATGCAACATTGTTTGGGCGTGGCAATCGCAATCGCATTCGCATTCCCAGTGCCAGTGTCATCAGCTGTGGGCGTGGCACTAATTAATTAAACCAAAAAGAGTATAAAAAACGAGAAAATAAAAGCGAAACAGGCAAAAAATAACATTTTTGTTTTTGCTTAACTATTTATATGTATATATATATAATTTAGACACACAAATATATATATATATGAATTCTGTAATGAAATCAGTTAAAAGGAAATTCGTACCAATTTGGTTTGTTTGTGATCTAAATTCAAAATTAAACAAGATAAACAATTTAAAATTTAAAGAATTTAAAATATTAAATAAATTAACTAAAGCTTGAGATAAAATTAGCAAAGCTTTGTTAACTATTAATTAATATATTAGACAATTTTGAAACTCACAAATTTGTTAAATTTTATTTTTTATTTTTTTGTAATTTGCTTTGAGGTGTGCTTAACTTTTGTAGAATTGAACTTTGGTGCTAGCGAATGATTGGAAGCTTGAAGAAATAATATAGGAATATATATATACATATGCAGATACCTATATACATGTATGTAATGTGTGTAGACGACTATCCAATTATTTAAGTCATGCTATAAGCACGACATTGCGAATGCGATTCGAACTTGATTCCAATTTGAGCTCCTTGACTTCAGCTTTCTTCCCTTTTGACTGCCATATGGCGGCAGTAGTTTGTTAAGGGAAATAAGCTAGATTCCCCTTGGTGAATCTTATTGGATGAACAGTATTCTCAGATAGTTTTCAGTACATCTTATTGGGCGACATCCTAGTCGTTTATAACTCTTATGGGATATTAAATGCAATCAGTTTCCAACTAGCAATCATACAAAATATACACTGCGCATATTGAATCACAGAATCAAGTGGAATCGTTTCGCCTTCTGAAATGTGCTAATTAGATGACGCTGCCAATCAATGATGACGATGATGATGCTCTGATTGCTCATAATGAAGTTAGCTGAAATCTCATGCTCATGCTCATGCTCATGCTCATACTCATTTTCCTCCACTGAGTTGAATGTGTTTCAATAACAATTACTAAAAAATAAGAAAAACTGAAAAATCTTACCCGACCGATGGCTTTTTAATGTCGCTGGCTGCCAAATTGCCAATTAGAAATTTCTTCATAATCTCACTGGAAGCAATGAGAGCGACGAAGAGAAAGAGAGAGGGCAATATGAATAAAAGTCTTGGCTGCTGTGTCAACGGACACTTACCGAGCCTCCTGGCTGTGGCCCACATCGACGAATTCCCGTGTCCCATTGCGACCAGCAACAGATATAAGCGAGTCCTCTCCGCCAGGATGCTAAGCAGGTACATGAACAACAGAAATTCCAATTTGTTATCTACAAAAAACAGGAGTAACTTACCTCATGCAGAAACTTGGTCAGATCGTAAACCTTGTCCTCAATCACTACCCACAAATCTTCCGACTTGTTGTGCTTTTTGACCTCGGCTAAACTAATTTCCTTGCTCATTCTGTAAAGTTAAGCAACACCACAATTATAATCCCAATTAATTACAAAATATTTTCCTGAACAAAGTGTCTGAAGTGTGTCAGTGTGTGTGGAATTTTCTTACGACTACAGCTGTTCTTAGAGATGGTAACAACACAGTAGCGATTATTCGTAATATCGATATTCCGAGCATGTTGCTGGCAGTCTTTCTTCATATAAGCACATGATTGGAAACATGTTGCTAAATAAGCAATGTGTTTGCCATTGCCTGCATTACTCTTCCGATACATGTTGCTAGGGGCTGTCATGCTATCATCTACTTTACAGAAAGGCCCCACAATTAATCAAATAGCTACTCTAAGTGAAACGCTACAATATATTAAACGATCCTCCGTTAATAAGATTCTGCAAAACGAAAATTCACAAAAAACGCAATATCCAATTATTGAACGCACACGATGAAACTTTATTGAATATTTAAATATTTTAAGATTTTACGAAACATTTACTGCCAATTAAACATTAAATGGAATACATTTTTGTTATCTGAGTACATACATATATCGTTTCCAATATTTATATCATATAGCTGATTTTATAATTTTTAAATTTAATTTCCGCCACGCAGACGGAGCACCAAGTGCAAAGTTGACTCCTTCTGGATGTTGTAGTCGGACAGAGTGCGTCCATCTTCCAGCTGCTTGCCAGCAAAGATCAAACGTTGCTGATCTGGAGGAATGCCCTCCTTGTCTTGGATCTTGGCCTTGACATTCTCAATGGTGTCCGAAGGCTCCACCTCCAAGGTAATGGTCTTGCCAGTCAAGGTCTTGACGAAGATCTGCATGCCACCACGCAGACGGAGCACCAAGTGCAAGGTTGACTCCTTCTGGATGTTGTAGTCGGACAGAGTGCGTCCATCTTCCAGCTGCTTGCCAGCAAAGATCAAACGTTGCTGATCTGGAGGAATGCCCTCCTTGTCTTGGATCTTGGCCTTGACATTCTCAATGGTGTCCGAAGGCTCCACCTCCAAGGTAATGGTCTTGCCAGTCAAGGTCTTGACGAAGATCTGCATGCCACCACGCAGACGGAGCACCAAGTGCAAGGTTGACTCCTTCTGGATGTTGTAGTCGGACAGAGTGCGTCCATCTTCCAGCTGCTTGCCAGCAAAGATCAAACGTTGCTGATCTGGAGGAATGCCCTCCTTGTCTTGGATCTTGGCCTTGACATTCTCAATGGTGTCCGAAGGCTCCACCTCCAAGGTAATGGTCTTGCCAGTCAAAGTCTTGACGAAGATCTGCATATTCCCTTTCTAATTAAAATAAAAAGTAAAAAAATAAATGAAGAAATTTAGTTGTACGTATTCGTGAGGAAATTGACAAATTGATTAAATGCTAAACTGGGGTCACACTGACACATGCAACCCTGCAAGACTTGATTTGAACACCCTGCTCAAAGAAAGTGCGCAGAAAAGTTTATATTTTCTGCGTCGTGACCTCGTTTCATAAATTGGAGCAAATGACTGCAAGCACTAAAATAGTTTAGTCAGCTATGTATACATATGTACTTATGTATGCTTGCACTACATTGGTTCATTTCACCACTTCAAATTAGAATGACTAAGCCGTTTTCTCTCTTATAATCACATACAAAAATGCACGACTGTAGACACATACAGACATATATATAAATAGATGTATGTACATGTTCACTAAATGCACTTGTTCTTTGTGCGACGCCATTTTGAAGTGTGGAAACAATAAAATGGCGTTTGTAACTACGCACTTACGATGTGTGTACTTATATACAGTCTGTCAAGAAACACTTTACACAGTGGAAAAAATCTCAATTTTTTGACTTTATGTAAAAAAATAAAGAGTTTTTGTTTAATTTAACTAATTTTTTTTAATGGTTAACTGTTTAATAGGTATTTTTAAATCAAATTATAGAAAACAGAAACAAAAACAATAATGGTGAAACTTAAAAAACAACAAAAACTTAGATTACTCATATTTTACACTGTCAAGAAACTCTTTACACATTTTGTTCTCTTCATCTGTTTTGCTCTGATTCTAAGAAATAACGGGGCTTTACCGTTAACTATGCCTTTAGAATCTGTCTATGCATCTCTATTTTTGTGTTTATTTTTCACTTTGTGCGAAATTTGGCTGAGTACACATATAAAAGCAATACAAATTTTGATTAATAATGCCCGGAAAGAGATTAAGCTTCGATGTTGTCCAATTGATCTTCTACAATCGGCAGTTGGGCAAATCAGTTCCAGAATTAGTGGAAATGTTTTCTGTGTCAAGAAAAACCATATACAACGTTCTCAGTCGCGCGGAAAATGAGGGAAGACTTGAGGCAAAGGGTGTGGGTGGCCGAAAAAAAAAGATATCTGATCGGGCAAGCCGCCTTATGATGCGAAAGATCAAATCAAATCCCCAAATCTCGACCAGAACTCTTGCCAAGGAGCTCAAAGAAGAGTGTGGTGTGGATGTGTCCCACGAAACGATCCGTCAGGCTATTCTACGGCATGGGTATTCTTCGAAAGTGGCACGTAAGAAACCCTTGCTGTCGTCGACAAATGTGGAAAAGCGCTTCTGTTTTGCTCTTACTATGCTTAGGCACCCAGAGGAGTATTGGAAGGACGTTATATTTTGCGACGAGACCAAAATAATGTTGTATTACAACGAAGGTCCGCCCAAAGTATGGCGAAAGGTCTCTAAAGCTTACGACAAAGCGAATATCATTCCAACAGTCAAATTTGGAAAGCTGTCGGTTATGGTTTGGGCCTGCATTTCCAGCCAAGGAGTCGGTGATTTGGTATTCATTGAAAACACAATGAATGCCGAGCAATATTTTCAAATTTTGAAGACAAATTTACACCAAAGCGCAACCAAATTTGGCTTTATTAGTGAAAATCGGCCAACTTTTAAATTTTACCAAGACAACGATCCAAAACATAAGGAGTATAATGTACGTAATTGGTTGCTTTACAACTGCGGAAAGGTCTTGGATACACCACCCCAAAGCCCAGATCTCAACCCAATCGAACATGCGTGGTCTTATTTAAAGAAAAAGGTTGGAAAAAGGAATCCAACCAACCGTGGACAGCTAAAAGCTTTCGTACTGGAAGAGTGGCAGAAGATACCCCTAGAGTATATTCAAAACTTGGTCAACTCAATGAAAAGAAGACTCCAACATGTACAGAATGCTAAGGGGGGCCATACTAAATATTAAGTATTTCAAAATTAGTTATAATTAGTTTTACATTTTAAATTTAGAACAATATATAAGAAGTGTGTAAAGAGTTTCTTGACAGTGTAAAATATGAGTAATCTAAGTTTTTGTTGTTTTTTAAGTTTCACCATTATTGTTTTTGTTTCTGTTTTCTATAATTTGATTTAAAAATACCTATTAAACAGTTAACCATTAAAAAAAATTAGTTAAATTAAACAAAAACTCTTTATTTTTTTACATAAAGTCAAAAAATTGAGATTTTTTCCACTGTGTAAAGTGTTTCTTGACAGACTGTATATTACATAGAACTTGAACACTTTAGAATTAAAATGAAAAGAAATAATGAAGGAACTAAAATTCGTAAATTTAAAATAAAATACATTTTATTAGCTATACGTTTCCTTAACTGCATGCGTATGCATGAACGTATCGCTTTATATATGTGTGTATATGTATGTGGGTGTGTGTGTATTACATGCATAATTTTCTTTGTTCCCAAATGCAATTCTTATTTTCAACGCTGACTCGCAAAATATAGATTTTTTCAATCAACTCGAAGACTAATGTTTTAATATCTGAATTTACATACCTTTTTATTTGCGTAAGTTTACTATAATTTTAATCAAGTATTGAAATAAATTTTTTCTTGCACTTTTTGATTCTGGAATATATGCACTATAATACGCCCGCTCTGGCTGAGTACTGAAATACGATTGCGGAGAACTATGTCCTACCAAGATAACTATAGCTCACAATGGAATTACAGCTTATCGATTTTCTCAATTATTTAAACACCATTGGTGTATCGCAGCAGCGTTGCTAGACAAAAATTATCGGACCTGTTGGTGGATTAACGCTGTTAAACGCGGTTGTCCGGTAATGTTATGCTTTATGATTATTTTATTAATATTGCAGTATATGTGAGCGTACGAATTACCTGTAGTCATTAATAAAAATAGTAAAATAATTGATACAACATTTACGCCATTACTTTTGCAATAATGGCGCTAAATGGAAGATATCGATATATAATATAGCAATTGTAAATAAATTTAAAATCTTAAAAATAAATGCAATTATTGTTGTAGGACTAGATTCTTAAAACTTTTATATTAAATATGAGGAATAAATTTTTTGAATATTTTCTTAATTATTCCAGTCGATAATGGAAAGTGCGTGATTTCATTTATTATCTTCCCTGGCGGACCATTTCGATAATAAGGAGCCACAGAAAAGTATTTGTCATCGAATAATCAGAAGCAAAAACAAAGCCAAAAGGGGCGGACGTAAAGCGCTCGGTACGCGTAATTTTTTTGTAATTACTCATTGTCGCCTTTAGAAATTTTTCGGAAGTTGTGTCAACCGTTGACGACAGCAATTAACAATTTTTGCCCACCTTGCCAAACAATACATTTCGTTAGTTGAATTTTTTTTTTGCCAAGCGAGCAACTCCTTTCTTTGTGTGTGTATGCGTGTGTGCATGCAATTGTACATTTTGGTATTATATTTTGCTCTTTTCTTTTTCATTCTTGAAAGTTCTAAGTGCCTATAAATATGTGAATTTTATTTTGTCTATGTGTCTGAAATCAAAAATAATAAATTTAAGTTTTTAGTCTATCGGTATCGGTTAGCTGAAATTCGCTGTATAATTTTCTGATAAACAACAAAAACAACCCTGCGCGCACATACAAAAAAATCATATGCAAGAGCGCAGCAACATTAAAACCCGCCCCAACGCGTCGCTGTCGCCGTCGTCGTCGTCGTCATCATCAGCAGCGCAGCCACTGCCATAGACGACAGAAGCAAAGGCAAAGGCACGCTTACGTTACGCGCTCGCTTGTGGCGTATCGATGCCGTCGAGTTAACGTGTCGTCTCTGTGTGTGCGTGTGTGTACTTGGTGCCTGTGCTGGATTCTTATAACAAAATTTTTGCCGATTTTTTTCAAGAGTGTGCTAATTTTTTTGTGGTGTTTATTGTAATTTGTTGTTTGTTTACGCAGTTAATTTTGTATTTTTTTTCTTTAACAACAACAGCAGCAGCAACAACAACTAAAACACAAGTGGCAGTGTTTGTTGGTGTCGGCAGAGAGGAAGATAGCGTTCGCATATATATATACAATATATCAATATATATGTATACGCGTGTGTGTGCGAGAGAGAGTGAGAGAAAAACATTAAAAACCAATTTGATAACTAACTAAAAAAGAAAGAAAAGAACTTAACAGAAGTCGCAGCCAGTAGCAGCAGCAGAGTGCAGCCAACATCGAGCAGCGGCCAGTAGCAGAATCAGTGACAGAGACTGAGGCGTCTTCGTACCTAAGTGCTGTTCACGCAGCAACAGTAATTAACTGTAAAACGTAACGAGAATCAACAACAAAAACTAAACTCGATCGTGTTTAAAAGAGAGCGGAAAAGCACGAGAGAGTGAGTGAACGAGAGATTCAAAATCCAGTATCAGCAAATTTGCCGTCTTCGTTTACGTCTTCATCAACGTCTACGTCACCATGGACAACTTAATTCCGATCGTCAATAAGCTGCAGGATGCATTCACATCGCTGGGTGTGCACATGCAATTGGACTTGCCACAAATTGCCGTTGTTGGTGGACAGTCGGCTGGCAAGAGTTCGGTGCTGGAGAATTTCGTGGGCAAGTAAGTGTGTTGGTCAAGCCAAAAAAATATTGTTTGTTTCTTCGCTATCAACAAATACAGACAATGAGAAAATCCATATTTTTGCGCGAAAGCAGTGCTGTCTCTGTGTGTAAGAGAGTTCTGAGAGCGGGCGTGTGTGAAAGACTCGCGCTCTCACGGTTTGCGCATACATAAGCACATATAAATGTATGTGTGCGTGCGCGTGAATTTTGGTGAATAATCAATGAAGCAGCATTCCTGGTTTTTGTTGTTTTCTTTCTCGTTCTGTTCTGCCAGTGGGTGTTTCGCTAGAAACAGGAGGTGGCTATCAATAATTTCCCCCTATCCAAGTCATATACATACACTTGTGCGTGTATGTGTGTGTATATACAATCAAGTAAATGCGCATCCAGTTGTACATGGTCAGCGTTCTGTTAGCAGTGGTCGCAACAGCATAACAACCACCTTACACAAAAACTGTTGTACACATACATATATAAATATCTACACATACGCAAGCACGAAGAGCGTAATATAAAACAGTGGGTGTCACTTGCATAGAATCATCGCCGCTAATGAATGTTAAGCAAACTTTCTAAGCATCTTTCACATATTACGCATGTACACATAGACAAATATGCATATTTATGCTGGAACTTAAGTATCGTAGAGTACCATAAATTCGCTTCCAATAAAAAGGCACAATAACAGTTATAAAAGAAAAAAGCATTTATATCAACGATACTATGTTCTCTCTTCCATTATGCCTCTCTCTCCCTCTTTCTCTTACACAAACACACTGACTTCGCTCACACACTCAAACCGTTTTATTTGGGGGCCTTTTTCACTGGCTGCGCGGCACTCATTGCGCTTCGTTCGTTTTTATCTATCATCGTTTGTCGCCCGCCCCCTGAAAATGCGATGACAAAAACAAATACAATAACCCACAAAATACGTACGCCCCGAAAAAGAAAGAAAAAAAAGCGGACAATGGGCAAACTGAAAAAGAAGAAAGAAAAAAATCAATGCATGCTGACATTTCCTTTTGCAGCGCGCTGCTCAAATGGTTTTGTTTCCTTTTTCTTATGCTTGGTTCTTACTTAGCCCAACACGGCCCACTGCGCATACCCTACACACACACACCAGCGCTCGCTCCACTTTGCTATACTTCACTTTGACATTTATGCAATGCTGTCGCTGTCGACGTCGACGCTCACGCTAGCCTACATTTGTGTAGTTGCTGCTTTAGACACCCACCCCCTCTACTTACATTTGCCTCTGCCTACTGTTGTAACTTTTGTAACTGTTAATGAATGGAACGTGAGCTCTCTGCTTTTCAACCATACGTATACACACACACACACACAAACTTATACCCATTTACTTCTGTGTGTGGGTGTTTGTTCTATGCAAAATTGCAAAATTACATAATATTCTGCTACTGTTCTACGCGATAAAATCCTTTTTTGAGTTTGGCTCCACCTACAGCATACCGCCTACACACATATATATATATATATATATATATATATATATATATATATATATATATATATATATTTATATTTATGTTTAAAGCTAAATCTTTTTGCATATGTATATAAGACTGTGCATGTGGGTGTGTGTAACGGAATCTAACTATCTTATGTAGCTTTTCTATTTATACTTTGTGTGTGCGAGTCCTTGCCAAGCAGACACATATACTACGATACAAGTTGTGTATGTATTGGAATAGAACGTGGGTGTTTTTGATACTGTTGGCAACCATAAGCGCAATACCTATGTACTTAGAGTCCGTCTTCGCATATACAGCTTGACATGCAGTTTTTCTTATGTAAGCTGGCGTGCAGTCAATAGCAACAACAGCAACAGCAGCAGCAGCAGCAGATTGGCCAAGCGCAGTTCATTTGCTGCTGAGCCGTTAGTTTTCGCATGCGCCGGCCACACACATACATGTATACAGGCATATGTATATATATATATCTATATATATATATATATATCTATATACATATATATATATCTATATCTATATCTATATCTATAGATAAACATACCTGTATATATATGGTTATGTATGTACATGTGTGCGTTAATGACCTAGTTTTCTTCTATTTGTTGCCACTTATGCTGATGCAGCTCTTTTGTTGTTCCCATCAATGTCAGTTAAATGATGCTGCAGAGACTGCATGTCAGTCTTTAACTTTAAGAGTCATTGGAAGAGAGAGAGAGAACAAGAGGCCGAGTGTCTGTTCAATGTCAACTCAATAGCATCAGCCGCATAAGCTCAGCTCGAAATGTCAATAGTTCATGGTATTTGCTGTTTCTCTGGCACTTTCATAGATGTATATGAGTGTATGCAATATATACACACACATACTTATATATGTATGTGTAAATAGTGTTACTTAACATTATCGCTAATTGGGATCATTTTATGGAGTTCATGAACACACATAAATAGAAAACAAAAAAGAAGGGCAACAACCTATTTAAATTGAAAAAAAAATGAAGTAGAAAATACATCAACATAAATTTGCAAAAAAGTGAAGCGACAGCGAAAGAATGCGCAGCAGCTGATCTCATAAATTCATGCGTATGCGTTTGTGTTTGCCTGTGTTGTTGAGTATGTGTGCTTGCGTGAGATAATATTTTGCTTGCGATTGCAGAAGTAGCAGAAAGAGAGCGATCGATTGCTGCTCTCTGCAGTTTACGCAGCCGGCGTATTGCATTACAAGCGCATATACATATGTATGTGTGCGTACTCAACTTTAGCTGCTGTTTGTGCTTTATAGATAATTTTGCTGTTGTTATTTTTGAACTCTGCGAATTGTTTTAGGCAAAACAATTAAAAAAGTTTGCAAATCAAATTTTAATGGGAATTCATCAGGGAAAATATTTCAACACACAAGTGTACTTACAATATTTCCACACGCACACATTCACAGAATAGAGTTACTCATCACAAGTAATTGATAACATTGCATTTTTATGTACACTTGAATAATTTCTTTTATGTGTGTGTATGTGTAAATTGTTAATGTTGTGCACACACATTTGTATATGGGAATTTATTTAGAACTTATGTTTATACTTACATATGTATATATGCATGTACTGTGGGCTTTTGTGCTATGCTGATAAGATAAGCTATCAAAATTCACTCCCCTCGTCCCGTTCCTTTCCACTTGCTTACCAAAATATATTTTCCTCGTATTGAATAGTGTTTTTATCGAATAAATTTTTAGTGTGTTTTTGCAATTCAGGTTGCTGCTAATGCTCATTTCGGGCGTCGGCCGCAGTTTTTACTGATGAATCATGTTCTGTCATTATAATTGATATTGCTTGCATTATCGATAAGGGGTTTACTATCATTAATTCTGCAGCTGTTTGTTAATAATTTATTATGTATGTTTGTGCCATGGCTTTTATTGACTTTGGTGGATTTGTTTACCATAATAAAACAGGTCACAGCATATTCATAAGCTCAGAATAGGCTGCATGCTAAAAGTACACACTAGTACATTCATATATACATACATATATACGTTTGTACATACATGTTGAAATTGCCTTGAAGCTGTGGTCGCTGGTAGCGAATTTCTCAGTCAATTAATCACATACGTTGCTCGTTGTTTGCTTACATTAATCAGTTTTCCCACAACTTCAAAAATAAAAAATAAAAATATTAACAACAGTAATAATAATTCTAATAATCTTTCAACTAATCAAAGCAATTGAGATCTATGGAACAATTGAGTGACACGATAATTATGCCGTTAACACTGTGACTCATTTTCATCACTGTTGCTGTTATTGTTGTTGTGGTTGTTGTTGTGGTTGTTGTTCATAATACTCTCGCTGAAATATTGGAAATGAATAGCACAAGCTGTTTGCGTTGATAAATATCATATTAATTCCCTATATTATTGCAACTGTGCAATTTTTTTGCAGCTGTCTCTCTCGCTCCCAGGAGAGCTTTAGAAATGCCTGTTATTATGTAACACTCGATTGTGTATTGTAAATTAATTTCCTTTCAGTTTGGGAAATTTGTGAGCGTGCCGAGCATTGTTCCCAAAGCTAGCCACAAATGCAAATTTTGGCTGCGTTACAAATTTCATGCTTGGATTTTAAAGGACTTTGGAACGTTACACATGCAGTGAACTCGATTTAAAGTTAATGTTTATTTAGTTTAATTTCTGCTTTCCATGTTGGGTAATTTCTTGAGTTACAAGCTTGTATTCTTATCAATGAAATTTCTATTTGTTTTCTATTAAGTTCTCTGGCAATCTTAAGGGTATATATATAAGAAAGAAAGCTGTGTTAGCGGCAAGAATTTGTTTATCAACTTCCCAAAATGTTCTTAAAAGTAAATATGTGAATGCAGGAAATTTGATTGTTGCTTTTGCATTGCTCATCAAATTCAAAACAGCAAATGCATTATCAAGTTTATTGTTCGTTAGGAATTGTTTACTGCATTTGAAGAGGCAGCTCACTTAGCTTGTCAAACACTTGTGGAGCACACTTATCGCAATATCAATTCAGTTGAGAAATACAGAAAATAAAGCCTGCAAAATTCGAATGCAAGAACAACTCAAAGAACTACAATTAACTGTTATTCTGTTTTCTCTCTTTTTTGATTATCTTCACAGAGACTTTCTGCCTCGTGGTTCGGGCATTGTGACACGCAGACCTTTAATTTTGCAGCTGATCAACGGAATAACTGGTGAGTAGTTACTCTATCTAGCTATATATAAATATATATATTTATAAATATATATAGATTATGTATGCTGATGGGTGTTTCTTTTATTTTAGAGCATGGCGAATTTCTGCACTGTAAGGGCAAAAAGTTCTCGAGCTTCGATGAGATACGCAAAGAGATCGAAGATGAAACGGATCGTGTGACTGGCAGCAACAAGGGCATCTCAAACATTCCGATTAATTTGCGCGTCTACTCGCCGCACGTTTTAAATTTGACGCTGATCGATTTGCCGGGTCTAACTAAAGTGGCAATCGGCGATCAGCCCGTTGATATTGAGCAGCAGATTAAGCAAATGATATTCCAATTTATACGCAAGGAGACTTGCCTTATATTGGCCGTGACGCCGGCCAATACCGATCTGGCCAATTCGGATGCCCTCAAGCTGGCCAAGGAAGTTGATCCGCAGGGCGTGCGAACAATTGGCGTTATTACCAAATTGGATCTCATGGACGAAGGCACCGATGCACGTGATATACTCGAGAATAAGCTGTTGCCATTGCGTCGCGGCTATATTGGTGTTGTGAATCGTTCGCAAAAGGATATTGAGGGACGCAAGGATATCCATATGGCATTGGCCGCTGAGCGCAAATTCTTCCTCAGCCATCCATCGTATCGCCATATGGCCGATCGTCTGGGCACACCATATTTGCAGCGTGTCCTCAATCAGCAGCTAACCAATCACATTCGGGACACGTTGCCAGGATTGCGCGATAAACTGCAGAAGCAGATGCTCACCCTTGAGAAGGAGGTCGAAGAGTTTAAGCATTTTCAGCCAGGCGATGCCAGCATCAAGACAAAGGCTATGCTCCAGTAAGTAGACAAAGCGACTGACTTGAGATGATATTCAAACTGTGTGTAGATGGAGATGGAGCTGTATTTTGATGGGATATATCTGATAGATTTGTTTGTACCAATGAAACTATGTGAGAAGAACAACTCAAAACCAATCAGATTTGATATGTATCCTTATACTTATATAACTTATCTACATCTTCTTAAATCTCAATTACAGAATGATACAGCAACTGCAGTCGGACTTTGAGCGTACCATCGAGGGCAGTGGCTCCGCTTTGGTCAATACAAATGAGTTGTCTGGCGGTGCTAAGATCAATCGCATATTCCACGAGCGGTAAGCTTAAAGAGAGCCTTTACTATGAGTTATATGAGATTTGATAAGCAATATCTTTTTCCTAGTCTTCGCTTTGAGATTGTGAAAATGGCGTGCGATGAGAAGGAGCTGCGACGTGAGATCTCGTTTGCCATACGCAACATACACGGTATTCGTGTTGGTCTCTTCACGCCGGACATGGCGTTCGAGGCGATCGTTAAGCGGCAGATTGCGCTGCTCAAGGAGCCGGTCATTAAGTGTGTGGATCTAGTCGTACAGGAATTGTCGGTGGTCGTGCGCATGTGCACAGATAAGGTGGAGCATCTGAATCCTAAGCGAAATCTTTCTACTATTCTAATTTCAATTTAATTTGCATTCTTTTAAAGATGAACCGCTATCCACGCTTACGCGAGGAAACGGAACGCATCATAACCACGCACGTCCGCCAGCGTGAGCAGCGCTGCAAGGAGCAAATCCTTTTGCTAATTGACTTCGAGCTCGCCTACATGAATACCAATCACGAGGATTTCATTGGCTTCGCCAAGTATGTCGCTATTATGGCTCACAATAAGTTCGCTTAAGAGAAGGATACGCTTTAGTCATGCAATCGTTCATGATCGTTCGCTACTCATATATTTATATATATATATATATATATATATATATATATATATATATATACTATATGTACTAGTCTGACAAATTGAACTAAAATATCCAACTCATACTTATCCTTTCTTTACACTTTTTCAGTGCTCAGAACAAATCTGAGAATGCAAACAAGACCGGAACCCGACAGCTGGGCAATCAGGTCATACGCAAGGGTCATATGGTCATTCAAAATTTGGGCATTATGAAAGGTATGTGCACACACATTGATTTATTTCAGCTGAATGTCTGTCTATGCCATATTCAAACTCTATAAATAACCAACAACAACAGCAACAACAACAGTCGCAACACCTAGTTTCACTACTCTAAACGTTCAACTACTCCTAACCACTAAAATACATAGATATATATATAGAAGTATATAAATTATTAACATGGCAACAGTTCAGTTATCGAAAAATTGACATATCAACCAGAAACTTGTAGCTTTAAGCCCATAGATCGATAGACAGCGTTAAAGCCTATGCGAATAATGGATTCTTTAAGTAAATTAATCATCAAGAGTGTTACTCTTATCTTTACTTATCGACTAATCGATTTTTCAGCAAATATACAAATATTTTGGACATATTCCAGTTGCCTATTGAATTATGGCTTTTACTTTCATATGAGATTGTAATATTTATTATTTTATCACTTTTTCTGTATTATGCATAACTGATATGTTTATCGACTCATCAAACATGCTGTTGTCTATTGTTGTCGACTGTCTATCGATTTGTTGCTTGGCATATAGTTTCGATAGCTATTCAATTGCACTGTGCTCACAAATGCTTATCGATTTAATGGCATGCATAAGAATCGATTGCGATAACGATCTTTGATCGATCACTCGTAGTACTATCTGAATTACACACATATATATATATATATATATATATATGCATATATATATATATCACTTGAACTATCAGTTTTGAAGCACTTTCCAAGTATTATCACTTAATCTAGTTTATTTCTCGAGCTCTTAGCATTTTTATGTTTGTTTTTTGTCTTCTGCTTCCTCTTCTGTTTTTGCTGTATTTTCGTTCATCTGTTTTTGGTTTTTCTTTTTGAACTTTTCTTGGTGTTTTTCTTTTCGGTACTGTACTTTTATTTTCCTCACTTTAAAACTTGTGGAATAATCGCAAAGCTTTGCTGAGGTTTTTGCCACGCCTACTTGGTTTGTATTCAACGATCTTTAACTATTTCATTTCTAATACACATTTTGCTTTGAAGCTAGATCTATATACAACATCTATTATATACAGTAAAGCCCATTCATAGACCCACCCACCCATCCATCCACACTATGTTACGTATCTATATAATACCAGTTATCTATGTGATATACTATATCTTAAGGCTATATGTATGTTTGTACTGGCTACATAGTACTGTTAGATTGTTAACATAGATCTGTAGACTATCATATACGAGGGCTGTTCTATAAGACACTGGAATGTCTCATCTGTTGGATGTAGGTTTATCCAATTTGTGCATTCTGTTTAGCAAAACAATCTGTTGGTATTAACTTCGACGAAGTGTTTGTGAAAGCCCAGATGAATGTATCATTCACAACGATTGATTGGGAACAGGAGGGAATGATTACTGGATGCATCTTGTTTAGAGCTTTTGGATAGAGAACATACGCCACTTAGAAATCATAATCATATCGGGATTTCCTAAAAGACATAAGCCTGGGACGTATCTCTTGCAAATACGTGCATCAAGCCAAAGAACACGCTTATCAAGCTTATCAAACAGCCCTCGTATAGCAGCAGAGTCTGTCGCCATAACTCTATTGTATATACATAATGATGTATATGCTTATGATTTATATTTATTTGATTGCTTTATTTTGACTGCGTTCGGCTTCTTCTATGATGCTGTGTTCTCTGTTGCAGGTGGCTCGCGTCCCTATTGGTTTGTTTTGACCTCGGAGAGCATTTCGTGGTACAAGGACGAGGATGAGAAGGAGAAGAAATTCATGTTGCCGTTGGATGGTTTGAAATTGCGCGATATTGAGCAGGGCTTTATGTCAATGTCTAGACGTGTTACATTTGCTTTATTCAGTCCCGACGGACGTAATGTTTATAAGGTTAGTAATTTTTGTTAGCATACAAAAAAATGAATTTTCGTTTCGAAATGAAACCACAAAAAAAAAAACAAAACAAAAAATATTCCAAAAGTCTATCCCAATTAGATGAACAAAAAAACGAAACGAAAAAAATAACATTTTCAATTAGTTTTTGCAACTACAACAAATGATATATGTCATATATTATTTGTTCTAGTTCTTCAATTCAAATACAAAGCATTCAAATTAATTAAAAAAAAAAAAGAATTTAATTCATATTAAAAATATTTTGTTTCTTTTGTTGCAAACAAAAAAATAATTTTTTGCGTTCAAGTCCCAGAAATAAAAGAAAAACAACTAAAATTTGAGACTCGAAACTAGTTTCTAAAATAATGAAAAACAGTTAATTAATTTTTTTGTATAAGATAAAAATTACTATGTTTTTATCAACATTTGTGTTCTAATCGAGGCCAAAAAGAATGAGAATTTCGAATTCTATTTTTTTGGCCATTGATTTGTGAGCATGAGAATAACAAGATACGATAAACCACCTATTAGATATCGAGATATATGCATATATTTACTATAGCTATAGCTATATAGTATAGCATATATATACATATGTGCCGTTACGCCACCGATATACCAAACACTAACTCTGAACTCTGGTCCAGCTGCCAACTCAACTCAACCAACTTAAATAGAAAGCTAACCACAAACAGAAAACTAAACTATACTCAAAAAGAACCCGACAATAACCAACCAATGCCACCAACCCGTCCAAGTACTCAATCGTAATATCGTTATCGTAATATCGTTATCGTAATCGTAATACAGTTGTCCCATATGCTAAATGCTTGACGAAAAATACCTATCCATTTTGTTCTCTTTGCGCTTGGACGCTTTTCTCTCTCTCTTTCTCCTGCACACACACACACACACACACGACACACATATATATACAAATGTTGTGCATTTAGGATTACAAACAATTGGAGTTGTCCTGTGAGACGGTGGAGGATGTTGAATCATGGAAGGCATCATTCTTACGCGCAGGCGTCTATCCCGAAAAGCAGGAGACCCAGGAGAATGGCGACGAGGTACGTTTGCATACTACATGTATATATATATCTATAACTTATATATTATTTACCCTGTATTATGTTAAGTCAGTCCTAAGTCATCATCTAATCTATTAGCTTATAGACCAGCTCCGCAGCAGATGTTAATTAACATTTGCTTGCTTTAATATGTCAAGTGACATCAGACCCTATACGCATAGCTCTACCACGACTATATATCTGTACTATAACCATTTATCTGCATTTCTATCGCCTCCTGCGCATCCCGATAATACCCTATTCATACAAATGTACTCAGCAGCTGTAAACATCTACATTAAACTGTATGATTTGATGTTTAGCTACATAAAATGTTAACACGCTGTTAGCTCGCATTGCTTTTGCCAACAGTTGGCTTTAACATGATGCTTTGCCTTACAGCTGCTCAACGATGAGAGCAACAGCTAAAACTACTGATGTCCATGCTATTTAATAATATCGTCTGCTAATAACAGTCCCCTAACCTCATTTGGTAACAGCTGTTAACTTACAACAACAACTGCTATGTAATGGCTGTACTTAACATAATGTTAAGACAAACTCTTATTAGAAACTTGCTCTTAACATTATGTTTGGCCTACACTGAGTAATAACATTATGTTACATCTTTACCATAACTTAAAATAATGTTAACATAATACCATACTAACAGTTCGTGTGTCGTTTAACTGAACATATATGATCAAGTCCTCCTCCCTTTTCTCTCAGTGTATCATGTAACAGCAGCATTCGACGATCTATGTTAACTAACATACAATTAACATAACTCTTTTAATATTTTTATACATAAATATCTAGTTGTAAACAATTGAACTCTTTGATGAAGCAATAACTTATTAAATGTTTCTTTATTTATTTATTTTTGACAAACGAAAAACAAAAATCAATTTATATATATCGAAATATATGAAATGCGTTTTATAATGAATATGTGATATATATAAATATACATATTTATATATATGCAGGAAGGACAAGAGGTTTGTTTCTTTCCATCATCATTTTTACCGTATACTTTGCGCTCTCTCTCTTTCGCTCTCGCCCTGTCTCTAATTCTCTTTTTATTTTTCATTTTTTCATAGATTTTTATTTTTTATTTCAAAAATTGGGGTCTGAAATTCGAGTTAACCTTTTCTATTTTATTTATACTACTTGTTTATATTCTTGTTCACGTAATGAAATTGGTTGTGTGCCACGTTTGTCTGTGATAAGATTTCCCGAATATAATCTTAAAACTTAAGTGGACCTATTGAAGCTAATCACTGGAAGTTTGTTATATCGAGAATCAAACTTCCCACCTGGATTTCGTAACGTGAACAAGTATTATGCAGTCGGTCAGGTACGACTGAATTGTTCTTATTTGTCTTACACTAATTAACAAAATTGTTGTTTGGGCCACACAAAATCGGGTTTTTCAATTTGGAATTTCCTTACACTCGCCTTTCACCCTAAAAACCCCCATTTGTGTTCTTAAAGGTGTGTGCTATTTGTAATAGATGCATATTTCAAATATAACTCTTAATATATATCTACACACATATATCTAAATATATATCAAATATATATAAAATTTTAATTTACAATATTTTTTATCAATTATTTTCTTCTATTTTTCCCCCTTTCACGTACCAAACGAATCGAAATGACTCAACACACACAAAAACACATGCATATATATCAAATATATATGTATCAAATGTTTCAAATATATATATATGTATTCTCTCACATATATATACAAAAATTACAAACAATATTTGTAATGCGAAATATCTATAACAATGCCCATAACCAACCGTTAACCGTTAACCGTTAACAGCAAAAAGTATGTTCAAAGTTTTTTTCGTTTAATTTTTTTCTCTTTTATAAATTTTTACGTATTTCACTTATTCTTGTTGCATTTGTATTGTAAACCCAATTAACATTGGCATTGTTTATCGATTTACGTTGATTTTTTCTAATTATTACAATTAACACACGGCAATTACACGATTCGAAGCTTCATACATACAGTCGAAATAGTAATATCCGTAATACTTATTCTATCGTACTATTATTATATATTATAAATGCTTTCACACACATTTGCTTATTTTACAACAAAAAAGAGCACAAGGCGTTGACAGCAACACCGGGTATCGACTGCAGCAGCTACAATTATCGACTACCAGTTACAGTTATCGATAATAAATAGCAGCTTCAGTTATCGATAATCATAAGCCTCTTCAGCTGTCGATTTTCGGATCACTCATCGACTATCTGAAGCAGCAACAGCTCTTTAGTACAGTACTCGAATATTAAACTAAATAACAGGGTTGTCAAGTACATTTTTTCATTGTTGTTAACTTTTTGTAATTTTGCCTCGAACAAATTAGTTTTCACACCGATAATAATTGGAGAGCTCAATAAATTCAGAATTACTGGAAATTTGTCTTTGTTTAAGCTAAATTTAACATATAATGAAACCAATTGAAATAGTTATTCAGGTTTGGGAGTTAAACTCTGGAGGTTTCTGTACATCTGATGCACACACACACTAATATTTTATTATCTAAAATCTGTATTTGTAGTATTCCGAAATAGTATTTTTTGCTTTCGTATTATGTATTTTTCCATTTGGTATTTTTCTACTTTTGTTTTCCTAAGCACTTAAAATCTTCGAAATAAAAAAGTTTTGTAAAAAAAAAAAATTACCATTAAGTACTGTACTGTAAAGTTTGGCTTCTTGTGTTTTGTTTTCCTCTACTAATCAAATTTTCTATTTAGTTTTCAAGTTAAACTAACAAAACATTAAAAAAACAGAAAAATTCTTAATAGATTTGGAAATCAAAAGATGATATACATATATTTGTTGAATTTGTAATATATAATGCTTTACTTTATCGGCTGCACCTTTTGGCATTTGTTTCGATTGTGTAAAACACAAAAAAAACCAAAAACCTCAACAGAAATTTTTCATTTTATTGATTGTTTCTTCGTTTGTTTTTTCCATTACTTTTTGCCCCACTTTCCCCAATCAACCAAACAACCAACAACTAATCAAATGAAACGAACAAAAATCTCAACAACAAATAAAAAAACAAAAAATATGTATCACCCATCGATCGATAAATCGATAACACAACAGTCGGCCAACGAGGAAAGCTCCTCGGATCCACAATTGGAGCGTCAAGTGGAGACAATTCGCAATCTAGTCGACTCCTACATGAAGATCGTCACAAAGACCACACGGGACATGGTTCCCAAGGCAATTATGATGCTGATCATCAATAATGCCAAGGACTTTATCAATGGAGAGCTGTTGGCACATCTGTATGCCTCCGGCGATCAGGTGTGTATCCAATCTAGATAAACGCAAAGTCGCCAGAATATCAATCTGAACTGATTGATTGCTAAACCATATTGACTTCTTGAACTGTCTGTCAATCAACCTGTTTATCATTCCTAATCTGTATTTTCCATTTGCCAGGCACAAATGATGGAAGAGTCCGCCGAGTCGGCAACCCGGCGTGAGGAAATGTTGCGCATGTATCGCGCGTGCAAGGATGCCTTGCAGATCATTGGTAAGTGATATAGATTTCCCATTTTATCCAGACCTGATTATCATTAATCATGCTTAAATCACAGGTGACGTATCGATGGCAACTGTATCATCGCCATTGCCGCCGCCAGTGAAGAACGATTGGCTACCAAGTGGCTTGGAAAATCCGGGTCTATCGCCGCCCAGTCCCGGCGGACCACGCAAGCCCGCACCCACCGCACAGGTGAGAGCAATCCATCACTATCAATCTGTCAATCAAGCATGAATATTTGGTTTTGTATGTTGCAGGGCTCGTTGGGTGGCCGCAATCCACCTTTGCCCCCGGCAACAGGACGTCCAGCGCCCGCTATTCCCAGCCGCCCAGGAGGCGGGGCACCGCCCCTGCCAGGCGGCCGGCCAGGCGGAGCTCTGCCACCTCCATTGCTGCCATCGTAAGTAGAGCACATTAACTTATATATTTTATTGCTTTCAACTCGGCTGTTGTACCTAGTGCGTCCTGTACAGTATATACATACAGTATTCCCAGTATTTATTTAGTTTTAATTATTGGTTTTTTTTTATCGACGATTGGGACCTCTTTTTATATGCAGCCAAAAAAAAAATCAACACACACACATTGATCACACAAACATACACACACTCACGCGCATACACATAAATATATATATTCATAATTTTTCTATATATATAACTTCGTTTATATAACATATGTTCATATATATTAATGTGTATGCATTCAAACAAAGCGCTGCAAATGCCTTAAGTATTTTTTTTTTTTGTTAAATACCTTTTTTCTTTTGTAACTAACTCGTATATATATTCTTGCAGTTTGGCATTTCTTGGTATGAAATATTTAAATTCCTAAGAACATTTGTTCTTATATAAATCCCAATAAATTGAATCATTTTATGTAATTTTATTGGGATATTTCAAATTAAAAATACCAAATGTCCATAAAGTCCACATTTATGAGCATCGCTCTAGGGAAATTTTGTGTAAAATATCCCACTCAGCAATCGTCTCCTGCAAGAGTATTTTATCTTCGTCAGCTCAAATATAACTTATTTATATAGTTTTTATTTTGTTGTTTTCATTTTTTTGCCCTTAGAAGGCAGCTTGTCCTTTTCAAAATTGCCAATTACTTTTATGAGGCAATCAGTCTAAAAATTGATCACAGCTAATAGTAAAATTTTCATATAAGTAAATTAGCATAATCTACAATATACATATGCACATATGTGACTCCTTTAGTCTATTAGTTGTGTTTGTTTTAGGTGATGGCAAGCTGTCTGAATTGGCATATAAAAAACACGTTTTTTTTCTGTTTTTGTTGTGTGCGCTGTGTACCCGTTTTGCATTTGTAAAATAAAAATAAAAACAAAATTAATAGAAGATTCTCAAAAAGTTTACAAAATATAACAAAACCAAATTGTTTGTTTCTTCCTCTCTCTTTTTCTCTCTCTTTCTCTCACACATTTGAAAATTTGCAAATCAAATGCGATAAACCAACAACAAATACCAAACGAATAACCACTAACACTAATACTCACACACTCGCACAACGCCTACATGTCCAACGCTTACATTGCTTAATTGTAAATTCAACGCTGCAGACGTCGCTAAGCTGTCAGCCACAGTCCCGCAGGCATTTACACACACACACACTTTCCAACTCTCTCTCGATCTCAAATTAACTAACCAAAAAATTACAAAAATAAGAAAACGCTTCAGCTTAAATCAACCAAAACAACCAACCGAAAAAACTAAACCCAAATTCTTTGAGTTCAGGCTCAAGCGCTCAGCGTTCGCTCTTGCGCTCTCGCTCTTTTTAGCAAATATATTACAGTTATACATGCAAAAGTTCGCTCAGCAGCTACTAAAAGAATAATATTAACAACAACAACAACGATGTCATCCGTTAAAATTTATATATTTAATAGCTGATGCGTTTGTTTAAATTTCTTTTGGTAATAAATATATGCATATATCTATATATCTATATATGTGTATACACATATATATTTCAACACACACAACTTAAGTATAAAGCACAGAGTATATATATATATGTATATATATAGCGATATAAGAGTACTTTCTGTCAGAATTGTACACGCTCTTTATATTTCTTCATTAGTGTTGTTAAAAAAAAAATTGAAAAATATCCTAGAGAGCAGAGCCTTGGAAATTCCCATTGTTAAGAGAGTGCAGGGTGCACACATACAAACAACTTACACATACATATATACAAACATATTAAAATACGTTATGAAAAGTAAATTGAAAAAATATATGCTTAAGTTAACTAAAGTACCTTTTTTGTGTTGTTGTTGTTATATAAAACTAAAGCATAAAAAAGCAAGAAAGAAAAAAGATACTATAATATATATATATATATATATATATATATATATATAATGGGCTAAAAGTTACAAATTTAATGTTCAGTGTGTGTACTACATAAAAACAAAAACAAGAATTAAATAAATATATAGTTTAATTAAAATAAAATTAAATTCAAAATTACATTTATATATGTATACATCTACTCTATATATATACATATATTAACAGACTGACAAGACATGTTCGATTATTTTGGCTGGCATTGTGGCTGGTCGCTGCTTCCAATTCGCTTCCCTCTCTCCATTTTGAAAGCCTGTGTCTTAGAGTTCCGTTTCCGTTATGTGCTCTCAGCTATGTATGTTATTCGTAGTGGACTTGTGTCTCTTGTGGGATGGCATCTTGAAAAGTGTTGGCAAAGCGCGACAAGTGGCAGTTGTTTGGTGCCTAACAACTTGTTTGCTTTTTGTTTAAATTGTAATTGCTTTCATTTGGCTTAATTTATTAACATTGTTGTGATCTCTATTTTGCTTGTTTTTTGTTTTTTTTTTTGTGCTGTGCTCTACTTGTGTACATATATTTATGTATATATATATATATATGTGTGTGTCTCATATTTATGTGTATTTTGATTTTGATTTTAATTCTTGCTATGTTTTGTTGTTCTTTCGTTCGTTGCGTTTTATTATTTTTTTTTTAAATATTATCCTTTATAATTTGTGATTAAATTAAATAAACATTACACATACACGAACACTCCCACAAACCTACACACACACACACATCACAGCGCCCGAAGCAGCGAAACAAACAAATCGATAAAAAGGGGTTTCAAGCGTTCCGATACATGTTTGATCACATAGCCAAGCGCCTCTTTAGTTTAGCATTTGTGTTTCTCTCTATTGCAAGCCAAACAAAAAAAAAAGAAAAAACTAGCTCAAAAAAAAAACCAAGCAACAGCCAACCAACAAGAGTACAAAATCCCTTTTCCAACTTTCAAGTCGCGTCACTGGAGCTGTCGGCGGTGCCATAACACAGCAGGCTGGCGCCAACCGCTACATCCCGGAGAGCATGCGCGGACAAGTGAATCAGGCTGTGGGCCAGGCGGCCATGAATGAACTCTCCAATGTCTTTGCCACACGGTTCAAGTAAAGCAAATTGTGCAACAAGTGCAAGTGCAAGTGCAAACGCGAGCGCGAGCCGAGAGCAAGCCTAGCAATCATGCGTGCAAGCGAGCAGGCACATTAACCAGCAATAACGAAAGAGCACACAGAACGAAACAAAATACAAACGCACACGCAAGCTCAGTTATAAGAGAGCAAGTGGGTGCTCTGCGCTTGCGTCTGCGCCTGCTGCTCTTCTCATTCCAATTTCCTTCTCTCATCAGCCAACCAATCAACCACCCCATTCACATATATATTATGTTATTTATGAACGTCGCTCACATTCTTATTCTACTCATTTTGTGCTTTTATATATAAATATTCTCTCTTTTTTTTGTATATATGTATATGTGTCTCCTGTATGTGTACATGACTGCATGCATACATGCCTAGCTATGTATGTGTGTGTGCTAACTAAATTTTTGCCTAAAGATTTTCCGAAACATCAACAAAAATTTGTTTTTATTTTGAATGGGAAAAAATTGTTGTTTCTTTTTGTTATTTATTTATTGCATATGCATTTCCTGACATTCCGTGCGCTCGAGCAGGCACAAAACTATCGATTATATATTTTTTTTCGCCTTGCAAATGTTGCAACCTGAATTTGTTGATATTTGATGTTCATCGATAGTTTTACTGCCAAACACATACACAAACACACACTCATATAATATATATATATATGTATTCAGCAAGTGTTTGCTTTCGATAAATTATAAATATTAAAAGAGAAAACCTCTTAGAACTAAATTGTTGCGATTAAATTAACTGCATACATATACATAGTCTTTCTCTCTCTCTCTCTATTTCACTTTAGCTAACTCTAGCTCTCACTCTGTGACAGTTAAATACAGAATTGTAATTGTTGCTAATTGTGTTTATTGTTTTATATATATATATATATATACAAATCATATATATATGGACTATATATAGAGGGAAAGAGAGGAACATAGTTAGAGTTAGTGAGAGTTATATACATTATTATTATTATTATATATATATATATATATATATATAAAAGCTATATGTATATGTATGTGCATTCGTATGTATGTAAATGTTTGTTAAACTAAGCACAAAATGACAACATTTAATGTAGTTCAACTAAATGCCATATTTAGCTTGTTTATGAACAACAACAACAAAGGAAAAGAAAGAAAAAGGACAAAAAAAATGTATGGAACTATTTTATTTCTAAATTTAAGCTGTTCATGAACAGCTGTGAAGTGCATCGTTCTTTTACGCTTAACAGCTGATTGACTGCTTCTGCTTAACAGCTGTTACATAACACAGTGTAGCTTAGCTTATGTTCAAGCAATATTCAGTATTCAGCATTTGATGTGTTATCGAGATAATAAATCGAAAATCGATCTCGATTTCGTTTTGATTTGGGTAAACGAATTGAGAACAATTGTTAAAAATATGCTGAACATAGCCTCGAAGCATATATATATATATATATATATATATATTTGACCGAAAGGAAGAATTTATCGATAATTTCAGCATTTCGCAAAATTTTCATTTAAGTGTAATTTTAGCCAGTTGTTATCGTAGTTAAAGCGCGAATCGAAATCGAAAGCAATAAAAGCATACAAACAAAGCGAACGAATAAACTAAAGAAGCTATCGATACATGTAATAGTAAATATTATATATATATATATATATATATATATATATATATATATATATATATATATTTCAATATAGATACATATGTATATTATTCGCGTATGTTTATTAAATGTGTATGTTCTATAAATTAGATAACCATATGAGTTATGCGTAGCACTAATCAATTAATCGATAACATGCAAAGAAAAAACCCAGTTAAATCCACAGATAACCGTATAATTAAATTGATAACTAATCGATTGTTACTATTTTCATCTCGCGTCACGATAATGGATATATATATATAAATTTATATACTTATATATATATATGTATATATATATATATATATATATATATATATATATATATATATATATATATATATATATATATTTATTTATATTTATCCCTATACATAGAAATATCACAAGTATTTAGCTCCTCTCTATGTTTGTTTAAGTAACGCACACTAACATACAGCTCATATATACACACATATAAATATATACATATAAATATATATATACATATAAATATATATATACATATATATTTATTTATATATATGTATATACATATATATTGTGTGTGCCCCTATCCTTATCCTTCGAAAAGGAATACCCTCAACCAAAATGTAGTCTATCAATTGCTGTTTCTTGAATTGAAAGTTAGAATGAAAAACAGTTACATAATAATAAACAAAGAGAAAGAGTATTAAGTTAGTATGCAAAGCGCATGTCACGATTAAATGCATACAAAAATCGATTAATCGATAACATGTACATGAAAGAAAGAATGCAAATGTGAGACGAGCGTGTAACTACAATGTTATAAATAAAAGCAAATTATATATATACATAAATATATATATACATATATATTAAAAAAAAAATAGAGTGTATAGCTGCTTGATTATTTGTTTTGGTTTTATTTTACTGTAAAAAGTAACAAAAGTTTATTAAAAAATTTCCAATAAGATTGGGACTTACTGCAAGGGGAAATGTGTTTAATAAAGCTGCTGTTAGCTAACAACGCTGTTAACAACACCGCTGCTGTTAATCATATGTCTATCATTTGCATTTCCCATTAATTTACCAACTCTTGGAATCTACATACGCTGATAAATGCTTAAATGCTTAAGTGCAGCTACGTTCTATTAGCTAACAGTGCTATTGAACCACACTTTCAATTTCAAGCGAAGCTCAAGAAGAGAAAGCGAGACAGCTGCTCCGTTTCAAATTAACATGAATGACATATTTCGCAATTAAGAAGGATGAGCCTCTCTCTATCTTTACATTGTCCTCGCTGTTGTATGTGCATATGAATGTATGTATGTTGTTAACATCACGCTTATTCGTTGTATGTCTACTGGTGTTGGTTTTCGCTTTGGCCATGCTCTTTTTATATACAAAAAAGCCATGAACTAACATTAATATGCTGTCCTGCTGGTGAGTTGATCATTGACTATCTATCTAACTAAAATACATTATTTCTCTTTCTTCCTCTCTATCTATTTATGTGTAATTCTTAAATTTTATTTGTTGCCTATGAATATTTGTTTGATTGATTAATATGACTTTGTATTCACAGTCGGCCGGGCATGAATGCGCCGCCAAGGCTACCTGAACGTCCTTCCTACTATGGCAACACGACCAATGGCAGGCCCTACTGAGCGAGAGTGTAAGTGAGCGAGCCAGCGAGTTAACGCTATTTAGATGGATCGAACAGTTACAGTGCGAGCGTGGGCGTCAGTGCGAGCGAGATGGCGCGCGCATACGGAATAGTACTGTTTACTGTAATTCAATTTGTATTATTATGTATGTATGTGTGTGTGTGAGTGTGTGACTGAGTGAGTGCGCCTGGCTGTGTGTGTGTATTTGGTTATTTTTATAATTTCCCATTTTTTTTATATTAATATACATATATATAAATATATATACATATAGTATATTGATTGTTGTGAAACTCTGTACTAAAGTGTGTAGTAGAACACTTTCGACTGGACCCTAGTAAAGCTAGATATAACTTAGTTAACATATACACAATTTATGTATAGTTATACACAGACACCCACACACGCACACACACATGCACATTCACAAGCATACATATATATATATTTGTAATTAGAGTTAAGCAACGTGAAGTTTTAAAAAGCAGCCTCAACTGTCATACAGTCATACAGTTAAAACCGTTATACAGTCATACAAATTTAGCACGCTAAAACTTTTATATAGATACATATCTATATATATGCATATAAATAACAGATATTGTTAAAGTTCAGCAAATTAAAAGAAAACCATTTCTCCTGTGCATTGTAAATATTTCAAATAATTGTTATACAAATAATGCTAAAACATAAACAAAAATATGAATAAAAACATGAAACGCTTTAAATTCACAATATTTTCCAAAATGTATATACATATATGTATGTATATATATATTAAATACCATATAGAGTGGGAATTGCCCTCACTTTTATATAAATATACAACATATATATATATATATATATATATATATATATATATATATATATATATATATATATATATATATATATATATATATATATATATATATATAGATGTATATATATATAATAAATTAATCATTTAATTTTACATAATTTTTTTTATATAATTTATATATGTATGTATATTTATATAAATATATAATACAAATGCAACCAATTATATAATTTAATTAAACATTTAAGCTTAAGCAACAAAAACACTGTAAGCATTAAATTAATGTTATTTAAAGCAGACGCAAAATAAAATTGAAAAATTGATAAACATTGTATACTTTTATTTAATTTATATAAGAATAAACAGATATATTCTGTATACCAAATTGCCGTGTTTTACCAGTTTACAGGATATAAACAAGCTGATGTGGTATAAGAGTCTGCAAGTGGCATACGAACTGTAACTTCAACATTTAGCTAAGTTACAAACCAGTCACGGTATTTCCCATTATTCTATGCGTTACTCCAGTGCATTGTATTTCCCACTTTCATCGTGTTGAAGCCTGGTGGGAATCCAGAGGCAATTCATCGAGCCGGGCTTTCCACCTGTTATTAGGGCTAAAAATTTCAATTCTTTTCTTGTTGGGAAATTGAAGTATTCTAATGAACGTAAAGCAAACAAAAGTTTGGTTGTTTTTTAGCTTTGCAACGCAAAGTAATAATTTTATTGGTTGCACTGTTATAATTCCTTTTTCATAATGAAGTTTAATTTGTAATTAGACTGTTATTTGATTTAAGATTGTTTTTGTTTCTAATTGGAATGAATGCTTGCATTTAGTTAAAGTTCATTTAAAACGTTTTCTAGTTGAATGTGATTATAGTTTAGTATATAGTATTAACTAACTTTTTGCTGCTTTAGCTATGAAATTGTTAATTTTCTTCCTCCAAAATCGTTTTCCAACTTTGGTTTTTTTTCTTATAGCGCGTCGCATGGTCTAAATTTGTGATTCGATTTTTTTCGTTTTCGTTAAACTCCTTTATTTTGAATTAATTAATTTTCAATCTTTCTACTAGTTAAGTAATTTAATTTTATAATTGTTTATTACGTTTTAAGAAATTGACAGCAATTCTTAAGTATTTGTATAATTTATAATTATTCATTTCCATTTTAAAATAGTTGTATATAAATTTTGATGTCATGTAAATTTCCGAAAATTTCTTCCTCGCCTTGTTTTTATTTTTTAATATTTATAATAAATTTTGTACTAAAAAAAGGAGTTATTTCGTCTGTATTTTTGCTTGTAACCTAAGCGGGTTAAACAACGTCCCAACTATATCCAACTAGACTTTTCATTCCAATATGTATTGTGGAAATTTACAATTTTTTTATTCTCACATTGCGTACGGTTTGCGCCCGTTTAGGTTGGATTTTGGAATTGATTTTATAATAATGCATTGAATACTGGCTTACGATTATATTATTATATATTTGTATAAACAACGGTCCTTCAAAATATTTTCTACTTAGCTACAATTGTTGCTATAATTAATTTGTTTCCACAAGCAATAAACATTTAAACGTGAATTCAGAACATTCTCTTGGCGCCTCTGTCAAACTCACCACGCACAGACACACACAAGCAGATGCTTTTTAACACTGACACGCACTTGCACGCCTGGCAGTCCGCGCACATGCTCACAGCGACGCCCCGACAATTCACCAGTGTGATCCTGTCTCGATGTTGCTGAGCTTTTTACGGAGGTGGGCGCGAATTGTCGTGCGTCGCAGCTCTGGTTGGTTGGGCTTGGTTGGCTTGATCTTCGTGTGTTGGGCGCCAACTGTGAGCATGTGTGCGTCCTAGCCAGGCGCATGTGCGTGTCTGTGTCTCACTCTCCATTGATGTGAAATTGGTGTATTCCGGTCGGACAACAACAGCAAACGTTGCTTGAAGTGAGCGTTGAATCTTTTCATTTCACCATACTAACTACAATAGTCATATCAACAAATAGGAGAGCTAACGAGCGAGCATATTCTTGCGCACAATCATATATGCTCGCTTGCTCACACTCTCACTTGATGCACTGCATATTGCACCAACTATGGTGAAAATATCGAAATACACACACTCGCTCGTGACTTCGTATGCAATATGTTGAATACAACAGTAATTCGATTAGTGAGCGCTTGATTGCCTGCATGTGTGTGTGTGTGTGTTTATGTGTTGAGGCGCCAACTAGAACTAATTAATGCATAAATATATATTATATATTTGAATTAAGTGTAAATATTTGTTTTATATAGGTATAAATATTATAGAGAGAAAATTGGGGTTTTGGAAAACTTACTTAGCTAGATCTTAGAACATTTTCATTTTCATTTTTATTATAATTTTTTTTTAAATTTGTTTAAGTAAATTTGCCATTAAAAAAAGATAAAAATATTTGTAAACAATTTTGTTGTTTTTCTTTTTTATTATATTATAACAATTGTTTTAAAGGTTAAGAAAGTTAATGAGAGAAAACTAGAAAAGGATAATACTTTATTATAATTAAAATAATTTATAAAAAATTACACAAAACCATAAACAAAGGAAGAAAATCAAACATAAAATGCATTTGGTTAGAAATTGCATTCACGCTCACATACAAGCATACATATATAGTGTATATGTATATATATATGTATATATATATATATATATACATGTTTTACAGTGTTTTGTTATTGTGTTATTGTTGTATGGAACAACAGTAAATGCAACCTTTCGCTACTTTGCCAATAATAATCGGATTATGCCTGGATATTGTTATTATAATCATATATATATGCATATATATATATTGTTATACGTATATATGTTTTATATAAATATATGTATATATATATATATATCGTTAACATTGCCTTCGTTTCAGTTACATATGTATATAAATATCTATTTTGTTATTTAAAGCTTTTTGCAAAGTAGTTCTTCAAAAATTGTTCTTTGCTTACATTTTGTTTCAATTTATTTTGTTTCTTTGCATTTGATTTGGAATACACGTAGTTGAGTTATGTGGAAGGCGCATAATGTTGGTTTTCAATTGTTAATATTATATATAGATATATATATATATATATATACATACATATATATATATATATATATATATATATATTATATATAATTGTGTAACTGCAAGATTAAATATTGCTTTTCAATGCTATTTTTTCATGTATTCCTTAACACGCATACAAATTTGAATCACAAATTTCACCACAACGGCGCGCTTTGCGTTGTATCTGAGCCAAGTCTGTGTCTGTCTGTTTGTCGGTCTGGTGTGGTGTGTTCCTGTTCTGTGGTATATATGTGGCTGATAAGTTGTATAAATTGTAATTACAATTTGATAAATCGTTACGCGATTAACTGTTTTCTGTTAACTTTTGCTTAACATTTTGCTGTCATGCGAGCAGAAAGGTATTAATAGTGGGCAATTTTTGAAGAAACTGTATATAATAAATATATGTATATATATTTTTGAATTCATAACTGAATTTTCGCAAGTACATTATACTAACTGTCCAAAAATGTTGTGTTTAAAGTTTCTTTTGGTATATAATTGAGTTTCGATTGAACTATTAGAAATGAATAAACATTGTGTACACACATAAATATATAGTTGAAAAATAAATATATATATAATATATATGTATATGTATAATATGTTAATTTTCATAGGGTTTTCATACATGTATAATCGGTTTAACGAACTTTTGGGTATATAGTGTGGTAATACATAAAACGCTTTTCCATTACATATCGGACTGCACATATATAGATAAACATATATGTATATATTCATTATATATTTGTGGTGTATTGTTCTTTCGATTCGTGGGTTGGTTAGTTAAGTGGTGCACATAATGTATGTCTACTGTACGGTGAACAATGAACAAATCGCCTCAACGAATATATATATATATATATATATATATATATATATATATTATATATATATATATTATATATATATATATATATGTATGTATGTATATATGTGTATGCAGATATATATCAAATAACAAATTACAGATCCGGCTAAGAGATGTTAGAAGCATAAATGTGTGTATTTCTGCTTTAGCGCGTGCTTCACTGTACTTAATCCTCCTTAGAGAGGCTGCCCAGGTCGCTGAGAAAGATCTCCGGGGACAGGACATGGGAGGAGCCGACTATCACCTCCCAGTTGCGCACCGAATTGGTCACCTCGTAGGCGCATCTCATCTCCGACATACTCACGCCGCCCACTATGAAGATGACGAGGCGTGGCACATTCTTAACCTGCGTCTGTGCCTTATCCTTATGCCAATGACCGTAGCGAGCGCTAGTCGGTGCATGATAGTTGGTATTCTGTGCACGCCCCTCAAGGAACGGGAAATGACGCTGATCCAACTTATCCTCGATGCAATCCTCCATAATGTCCTTGATCACTGGTGTCCAGCGAGACATTTGGTAGGTGCTCTCGGTGATTCGCTCCTTGCGTGGTACCGAATAGATCTTCTTGCGTGACTGTAAAGCAATGCGAAACAAGTCAACGATTTGCCAAGAAAATATTTCCCTTCATTTCCACTCACATCTGCAATAACATTGATGCCCAGATAGCTGAGATTGCGAACCATATCCTGATCCTTAGTCGACAATTGAGCGTGTGTAAAGAGCTTAGTCAGATTCTCCTCGGAGATACCGTTCTTGATCATCACATAGAGAGAAATGATGCGCACCTTATCGTAGTTGGAAACATTCTGAAAATGGGAAATCCGATTCGGAATTAGACAGTTCAAAGGATTTTTGCGGCTTTCCTTACCGCATCCAACAAAATGGGTACTATGTTGCGCATATGATCCTTGATCTTCTCGCCTTCGGCATCGGTGCCCATGGCCAGATCCTGTTCAACACGGCACAGCTTATCGACGTAGTTCTGATACGATTTCATGCAATCCTCAGCCAAATGCAAATGGGTGGAATATTTGGATAGCTCCTTCTGGTACTGCGGCATCTTCTTGATCATTTGCGAGAGATCGCGCATCGACGACTTATCAGCTATAAATTGGATTAGGATCAGCTATATTGGCAACTAATTAGTGTGGGACGAGATGGGGGCTTACTGGAGCTCATGCGCTTGGAATCGGTAAACTTCTTCAGGTTCTGTGTGACCTGTGTGGAGACAACGGCAATATGCTCGTGACGCAACTCCACCCACAGATCATCGTTCTCATCGAGCAGCACCTCCTTGTCCGGCTGATTGGGACCCGGACAATAGCGGTACACGTCATTCACAATGGGCAACAGATCGTAGGCCATCGCCTGCAATGTTAGCTCGTGCAGCAGCGGCGATACGCAATCGAAACCACGATCGAGAATCAGCAGCTGGGAGCGCGCCTTTTCCGGACCCTCGCCCATAGTTGGCTCATCGGCCTTATAGGCATCCAATTTCTGCTGCACCGAGGCAGCCAAATCAATATTCCGATCCCAGTCGCTGCGATACCGAACATTCGGATATTCGCCCAATGTGGCGCACAGCGTGGCAATCTGCTCGGCGATCCGTTCAATATGCTTGCCGCGTATCGAGGCGAACGCCGGCGAGTACAGACATTGGAAAGTGTCCGGCGAGTCCAGCGAGAAGACCTACGACGAATATGGAAAGAGGAAAAAGAAAGAAAGGCAAGGGCGAACAGGCCGAGGCGGTTCGTTTAACCCACGCACCCAGGAATTCTCTATTAATTGGGCGAACTTGTGACCTTTTTGTCGAATTCTTACGAATTTATCGAATGCGTTATCGAATGTACATTTATGCATGTGTGAGAAGCTGGTTTTCGTTTAGCTAAGCTACGTTTGACTGTGTATACGAGTATGTGTGTGTATGTGCAGTACAGCGAGCAAATGTTTATCGATTTATTCAATTTCGAAATCGATTAGACGATAGATCAATCAAAGCTAACTGTATGTCTATTAAAGGTAATGTGTTAAAGAATTATCTTATTATTCACTTATCCAATTGGAATTTAATCGATAAATCAAATATTTAGAGTTTTTTATTAAAAATTGTAATAAGAATTAGTTAATCGATAGTTACTCGACTTATACAAGTTGAAAAGTCTTTCGATGTTTCGATTATTTGACTATTTTGAAGCTCCATTTGCTTGCTGTTAATCGATGTTCAACACTGTAACACGAATAAGCGAGACCGAAAAACACACATAGAGAGACAGAGAGAGCGACATGCGATGCTCAGCATGCTCAATGTTAGGCAAATGAGAGCGAGCGCCTCTTTTGCAATGTGAGCGAGAGAGTGAGAGTGTACTTAAAAGCTAATGAGATACATATTTACATAGAATGGGCAAGAGAGCGAGACAAATAGACAGAGAACACGCAACCAATTGACAAACAATTACATTTACAGATTATGCTAATTATAGATATATATATAGAATTCTTTCTTTTTTTTTAGTATTTGTGGTATTTTCTTGTGTGTAATACGTTTTTTGAGCCCTGGGAGTTGTACTCGCCGCATCACAAAATGACGAATAACGAATAAGCGAACGAGTGCCGCTTAAACGTGCCTGGTCACATTGTGAGTGGGTCGGCGAGTAAGTTTTTCATATTCATTAGGTTTATTGTTATTGATTATTGTGATCTGTTGTTAAGTTGGTTATTATTAGTTGATATTGAGTGTTTGGTTAGGCACGATTTGCTTTTCTGTATACAATTCACATACATTAAATTGAACACTACAAAACAAGTTTAACAAAACTTAAGGAGATTCAAGTTAGGAGTTTACGCTCAGAAGAGTTTTTTACAGAGCGACAGTGAGAGTGTGTGTGTCTGTGTGTTTGTAAAAGAGAGAGGGAAAGACAGAGACGCTTTGGCTTGGATAGTGTTGGTAAGCGAGCTTGTGTTTTAGTTAGTTGATGTGTCAGTAATTAGAACAACAACAAAAGTACAACACTTATGGTACATATACAGCAAGACAAAGAGAGGGAGAGAGACAGAAGGGAAATATAGAGGCTTTGAAACATTAAGCAACACTGCTTAGTGCTGCACAGTAGGCAGAGCAAGATAGAGGAAGATAATGAGAGACTGAGATAGTTAGACTTGGGCTTAGTTTAACTAAGACTTAAATTAGGTTAGGATCTTATATAACGCCGTTTGGTTATATAAAGGCGAAATGCGACTTTGGCTTATGTACAAGAGATAGGCATAGAGAGACAGTGATAGAGAGAGAGAGAGAGTTTCAATGCAACCAAGACTTGACTTGGAATTAACTTTAAGATAAAGCTCTTGATTAAGTCATATGCTTCTATGTGTATAGATAGAGACGAGAGGGTGAGAAGCCGCTAGATTATTAGTAGAATTAGTAGTAATACTTTAAGTTTTAGTTAACGCTCTTGCTAAATGCCTTTATATAGCGGGAAATTTGACTTCGTCCAATATACAAGAGACAGAGAGAGATAGATAGGTAGATAGAGAGAGAAAGATTGGGTAGAGTAATTGTATATTGTACACGCTTAAATTTTATTGTAACAAATATTTTTAGATATATTTTTTTTGTATTTTGTTTTAGTTTTTTTTTTGTTTAGCGCACCTGGCATTCATATGGAAGAAATGCAATATTAATCTCCTTTAGAGTTTTGATCTTTCTTGCAGCGCACGATTTACACAAATCGTTAAATAATTCCTCTGGGCAAACTATAATTATAATTTTTATACGCACATCAAATTTAGCTCAACTTTACGATATTCTCTTTTCTTTTTTTTTTTTAATATTTGTCTACTTTGGCTACAAAATATGTATATGGTATTTATTATGTAAGTGTAATGCATGTTTGTTTCATAATATTTGCTTTATAGGTATAGATGTTTTGGATATATAGTTTGTTACCCTTTGCTTAGTTATAGGCTCTGAAAAGTAAACTAAATTCAATCAAGTTTCGAGTTCAAATTAAGCAATAAAACGTGGACGATAAAAAACAAGAGGCTGTGAGATGTGTAACAAAATGATAAAGCATATACAATATAGCCTGCCTAAGGCGATATTCTTTTATAAATTTGGGAAACTTTCCTTAGAACTAAAGAGAAGTAATGAGAAAATGTGATTCGTTTTAGGCAGGTCACACTGTAGACTGTGTGTTGTTTGTTTGCAACCCAGCTTGACAGTTAGTTGTATAAAGTATTCGCTTAAAAATAGTTGTTTCGTGTGGCACAAAACACGTTTTACAGCACGGTTGAATTAGTAGTAGAAAGAGAGACGAGTAACTGCAACGTGTAACGAGTAACGAGTAACGATTAGCGAGAGTGTTAAATGTTTCGTTAAATAAGTTTTTCGAACAGAGATAGATAGATAGAGAGAGAGAGGGAAGTATACCTGCGCTTCATAGGCCAAAAAGGCAATATTGATCTCTTTGCAGGTGCGCACATAGCGTCGACAAATGTCTTTGTGCGATTGCAGCATTTCGAATATGCGGGGTGGTATCGCTACACGATATACAGATATATATATACATACATATATGTATATATGTTCACAATATATATTGTATTCAAGGTTGCATAGAGGTGCGGGTGTATAATTTAAACGGGGTTTCATGGAAAAATTTCAAAATATAAATCAATAAATCAAATGGAAATCAAAACAAATAAAAAGTATCATGAATATATATACTAGTTAGCCAGACAGTCAATTATTATATATCAGTTATCTATAGCTTATGGTCTGGCTGAACGACTGGCACATACCCTCGGTAAAGAAGACGTGCGCATAGCGATACATCGGACGTGCCGGATTCTCGAAGTCGCGTATGAGTGAGCGCACAGACTCATCCGATGGCGTTATCAGATAGATGGCATCCATTGTCGGCAGCGGTTCGCGCTTCTTGTTGATGTCCTCCACCACTACCGAAGGAAGTTCAAGAAATTGTTAAAATCATGATGTCATTTGTTTAGCTTGTCTTCGACACTCACATGTTATGCCCTCGGCGCTAATCTCATGCATCTTGGTGCAGGCAGAGACCATGCGCATGCCCAGCTTGTCGACCACCAAAACACGCCACTCAATGCCACCGGCGCCGGCTGCCTTGGCAGCACCTGGTGCGCCCGCCTTCTTTGGTGGCGGCGGCTTATACTTCACCACCTCATTCATGATCTCTGTAAGAAGAGACGCATGAAATATGTATATAATATTAATCTATATATTTCTGAATCTGTCGGTAGAGACCGAACAGCGCTAGGGACGAACAGTGTTGTTGTTTTAGCTTGTAAATATGGCTTTTTACGTAAGCCATATATATATATCTATATATATATATATAACAATGTTAAGAAGTTGACAGTAATAAAATTAATTTCTTTTAATTTCTTAAAAATATGGAACATCGAAGAAATAACTAAAGTATCCTTTAATAACCTTAATACCCGCTAAAAATAGCCATTTTAGCGGATGTCCAAGATTGGACAGCAATGATGCAAGTTTAAGATGATATCAAATTGATGTTTAATTGTATTTACACGTTGACGCATAAATCTTACGGGCTATTACTCATAACGCTGATGACTCAACCAGCAGAAACAACAAAAATAATAACAAGAAAGTTAAGCACAAACAACATCAATAACAAGAAAAGAGTGCATGGAATAAGCCATTTAGCGTTGGCGTTGCCTGATTGATTTTATGCCTGTATGACATTCAAGTTGAATGCTTATTAATAGCAATTGCCATTTGCATAGCGAAAGGGCTGCCAGATAGCCGCAATCATGGCATCTAACTAAGGTATGGGCAAGGCTAAAGGGAAGCGCAGTGGGCGGTCGCTATTGGAAATGCTTATCCTGCGGCAAAGGTCACCGTAAAAACAGCCCGTGCCTTGGAAAAGGCGTTGCGCGTGGGCGCTGCCTGTGGGTGGTTGGGTGTTTGTTTGTTGAGTGGGTGCCGAAAATTGTGTTGGAAAAATCGATAAGGGCTGCGGGTCTGGGGTTGTGGCTGCAGTCTCGTTTGATAAGAATATAAAAATGGTAATTTTTACTTTTTTTTGCATATCAGCACATGCCAATTAGACAGGTACATAAATAAATAAATAATTAGGTGTATCTCATGCTCAAAGGGGGCGTCATATTTATCACAACCTTGTCGACACACTTCTGCGTGTGTGTGTCTGTTTATATGCTTGTGTGTGTATGTTAGTCACAACATAAGTAAAAAGTACGTCTCTATTGGAATGTTTGTCCATTGCACTTACTCTGACCGACCAAAACCTTTAACGCCATGTTTTCTGGTTTTCGTTGAATGCACTGACCCGGCTATTAATCAATAAACAATTTATTCTGTTTTTTTTTTGTATTTTAGTGCGATCGTCGCACAATACGCAATAACCAAAACACCGTTTCACAATAATGAATCACGAAAAATTTGCCACCATTGGGAACACAAAACACAAAAAAAATAATAACTTAGCCACCAAACGTTGTTGGAAACGCGGCTAATATTTTAATTGTTTATTTGAAATCGATGCGTATTCTCTTTGTATATAATTGTATGAACGGAACTTCCAACTTTTTGCTTTGCAGGGCTGGCTTAAAATATCGACATATTTGAGAAATCGATCTGTGGTTAACATTACCGATAGTCGTGATATAGAGATGGCGGTAATATATCGATACTTGGCGGCGCATATGGTCTGACTGAAATATTGGTTTTCCATAGACATAATTAAAAATAATGTACGTATTGGTTTTTATTCAATACGTACAGTAATTTTCTGAACACAAATGTATCAATTCTTTCAAATATAACTGTTTTTCCACTGCTTTGAATCAAATCAAATATGATTTTGATTGCACTTGCATTATCTGGCAACACTATGGCAACAGGGTGGCATCTCAATAAGAAATAACGCACAAATTTGTATTTTTAACGTGCATATTATTATTTAGACTAAAAAACAGAAACAGCTTATCACAATATGTAATATAGGGGGTCGAAAAAAAGATAAATTATGCTAAGATTTAAACTACAAAGGCATCAACTCCGCTAACGATTCGGCAATTGTGCTATCACGGAAGCGTCCAATACGTAGCGCATAGGAAATAACGTGCGCCACATAACTTTGTTCATGCACGCCGTGAAACAGATACGACATGGCACCTACAACAAAACCAAAGAAAATAACATATTAATATATTAAATATTTATAGATAGTGACTACTTACCACGCGCATGTATAGTCACATCGGAACCGCCGTGCAGATTCTCATTTGTATTGATGGCCGCCTGCTGCGTGTATTCCCAATCTCTCGTATCGCTGAGCGCAGGATTCTGGCGCATCATACGCTGCGGATCTACCTGAAAGCCCTGGTAACTGGTGCCATATGTGAGCGTTGTATAGGGCGTCTCCTCCGTCTTCGAATTACCAGCAAGGCCCAATATATCAGCGCCTCGTTCTGGATGCCCATTGATAGTCAAACTGTGCGAATGATCGGCAGTCACGATCATCAGCGTCTCGTCCAGTTGATCCCTGGATCAGGTTATTAATTAATAATTCTTTAACCGGTTAATGCAGTCTCACTCACTTGGCTTTTAGATGCGCCTGCACCGCTTGCACGGCTTCGTTTAGGGCCAGCACTTCACTCAGAGCCTTGCGCGCATTCCCACGATGGTGCGCCTGATCGATCATGCCGGCCTCCACAACAAGCAGATATCCTTTATCACTGTTTCCTAACACCTCGAGCGCCTTGAGCGTCATATTCGTCAAGGATGGCATTCCTGCATCGCTGGCATCCCGTTCATGATCGTACTTGAGGTGCCCATTGGCAAAGATGCCCAGCACATAGTCTACGTTGGCCGTATCCAAATATCTAAGCTCGCCGTTGTTTTGGATCACCGCATGCGATTGGCCCTGATCGAATTTGTGCTGTGCCCAGTCTTGCATAAGGTTGCGCCCATCGGCTGAGTGGCCTGCCCACGTGTCCAGCGGATCCCTGTCTGTGCCGGTTACATTCGAGATGAGCATCTGGCGCCCGCCACCCATGATGACCTGTGAGGCGATTAAGATGTTCAATTAATTTGGACTCTAAAGTATAATCTTTGAAGAGCAGCATACAGCAATCGGTAAGCATAACCGATAATAATCCTTATTGCTGTCATTGGGCTACTCACATTGATCTGTTGTCCCGTTTTCGTCTCCACCAGCTGCCTGGCAATATCCATGCAGCCCTGCTGCTGCGCCTCCGCTGGCATGACTGACTCACATTCCCAGCGACGATCCGGCACATGGGCGTAGAGCGCAGCGGGCGTAGCATGCGTGACACGTGTCGTCGTCACAAAACCTGTGCGCATGCCATCCGCTTGAGCCCAGTTGAGAATATTCTGGACATGGTGCGCTTCCTGCAACGAGGCACTGCAGTTGCCCAATGGTACTGTGGCATCAACGCCGCCTGTCTCATAGTTGACCTTGACGCCGCCAAAGAGAGCGGTGGCCGTGGAAAAGGAATCGGGCACCTGTTTATTCGCACAATAGGTCTTCAGCAGACCCATATGTGGAAAACGCTCCCAACTGAGTAGACCTTCCTCTTTGTAGCCATAGATCCGCGATGCTGTCACCGTATTCGGGCCCATGCCATCGCCCACAAAGAGAATCACATTCTTGGCCCGCCGTCGATTCAGCTCCCGATTTAAGGCGACCTTTAGCTCATTGATGCCACGATCGTACCACTCTTGCTGCTCCTTGGGCAAGGTAACATGCCAATATGAAACCGTTTCCATGTCGCTAACATCGCCAGCAAACTCGTAATGAACCAGAAAGCCAATGCACATGGCAATCATTAGCACCGCGGAGAAGCTAACGGCTATGATGAACACTTTGGATTTGAAGACATTCTTTTGCTGTTGCCGCTGGAGTTGCTGTTGCTCTGGCAGCGTTTTGGTCCTGGGTGTGCCGCCATTCGAATTGGCGAAATTGTGACTCGAGTCGAGGCTATCCAGCTGCACCTCAATCAGGCCCACATCGCCCAGCTTGGTGCTGTCGGTGCCCGTGGATGACATAGCAAATGCTATGGAATCTGTATCTAAATCTGAGTCTCTGTTGACTCACGTCTGGTGCGGATTGGAACGCTGTATTAAGTTTTATGGGACCTGTAAATATGAAATATATGACAGCGACTACAATCTCAAGAGCCCAACCAGATAATAATTAGATGAGATAAAAAATCCGTTCGGTTCCGTTTCGTTCCGTTCCGCTACATGCCCACTTACAACGACGTCTGCTAAATACTCAAATAGATTACACTTTGCTAGAACTGCGCGCCGTTAAACAAGCGCGTCTCCACGTCACGGGGCCCTAATTAATAAATAGACATCAAATTCCCCGTTAGCCACTTGAATGCCTCGTCTACTGCTCCTGCTTCACCTCCTCGCCAGAGGGTTTTCGATGAAGGCGTTAAGTGTCTGCCGAGCAGCCGTGGGCCGTGTGCTATTCGCCTCTATCCGCGTATATTTTGCCATATTGGCTGACATTTTTCTGATATTTACTCAAAGTATACCCTAGCCAGTTGAAAGGTATATGCACTGTATCATATGTTACATATAACTCGTTCGTTTCAATATTAGTTCTCTTTCAACAAATTTCAGGCAAATTTCTAAGCACTGAGTTTTCCCTCCACGACACGATTATATTCGCTACGGATATCATATAAAATTTGACTTAAACATAGCTAAAAGATATCATTTTCAATGGGTATATTTGATATATATTAGTTACAAACTTTTCCTTGTAAACAAAAAGCAAAAAACGAAAACTTGAAATGAAAAGCAGAAGTTTGCTTAGCAATTAGACTTTGCCGAGTTTCTTAATAATTGATTTTCTGTCCTTTCTCTTTCCGTAGGGTATTTTTGGGCACTATGACGCACAAAATATGAAGTAAAAATAAAAATTAATTCATGCGAGCTTTACACGTTTCTTACAGCTTCATCAACTGGTTACCTCATCAAAAGTAACTCTTCGGCACACCTGTTTACGTGGTTAGCTCTGATTTCAAGCAACTTCTGAATACCCTTTGCGACCTATCTCAAAAGTTGTTGTTGAATCTTAGAGGCACATCATAATTACCTAAGCCTTAGCCCCGATAAGACTGATTGCAGATTTATGGCTATTTATGACCATTTCAATTTGGCTGAACGTGTGGAATAATGTGTACTAAAAATATGTGGCTTTATGTATGTATATACTCATATATAGTCGCTTGCTGATAGGGTAATTTGATTCTTATCAATAGACCCAGATGTGTCATTAAGTAAAAAAGTGAAAACACGAGACAATCTCAATACTTCAATTGGGTCTGACGTAAATCGGATTTTACTTTATGATAGCATAAGATTGGATGAACGCGTATTGCAAGCAAGAACGACAGTGATATTTGAAAGTTAACAATAATAAATAAATACATATATATGCATAGATGTATTAAGGGATAAAGGCTCGACTCAACAATTGATGCATGGATAAAGGTCTAACTGACATTTGGATATATCACACTCTGATGGATGAGTGGCTATAATCAAGACAATCCAACGTCGGTTAAATGCTTAATACTGGCTCTAAGCTATGATGGATGGATGAAGATAGATATTTGCAAGATATATGGATACGAACTTAAATCTGTTGTAGATGAATCTTATGTCTCTCTGATAATCAGCACTATCTCACTTGCATATAGCGCATCAGCATTTGCATAGATCGTCATTAAAATAGGATTCATAATGAAGTTAGCGAGGCATAAAAACTTAAGGTCGAATCGTGAAGAGCAAGAAACAAAACGGCGCTGCTCACAGCCTACAATAGGCCTCTTGAATAGATATGATATAATCTAAATGATGCACAGTTTATAAAGCTATATGATACTATATATAGATGTATATATGTATGCAAACATAATACTAGATATCATCTGTAAGTAAAATAAACGGAATTCTAGACGCTTTTTACTGTGGAAATCTGATGGGCAAATAATACTCAGAAATGGAGCCTATTACGGTTTGCTAACGGTAAACAAATCACTTGTTTCATTTAATTAGATACTAATTGTACTATGGGAGCGGCATACATAGATATATATGTGCACCTAAATACCTTTATACACTATTATTAACTGAGCACAACTAATTGATTTATAACAAAAAAAATCAAAACGAGCAAACAACAAAAAGAGAGCAGGATGAGAGTCTTTTCTACCAATCCCTTGCCTCTGCCCATCTCTCCATCTCACTCTCGCCCGTTGCCCACTTAAAATAATGGAAAGATTTTACAATTTAATATAAACACTCTTAATTGATTAATGTTTCGGCTATATACATATATTACTTACTTGACATAAGGCACTTGCATATATATTTATAAATGTACATATATATATTATTAATTTTTAATATATATTTTTATAACAAATTCAATGCATTGTTTTATGCCAAACAATTACACTATGTAAGTGCGCATTTATTAACAATAAAAAATACAAATTTCATTTAGCTTTCGAAATATTTGGTATTGTTTAACACTAAAAAAAAACAAAAGCGCGCACTATAAAGTCTCGTCCGCTCACAGCAAAAGTTTTTGCTGTTTTGCGGGCCGAAATAAACGGTATGAAAACAAGAAAACTAGATGTAAGCAAATCACGCCGAAACGCGTTTACCCTAACCGAATAGAATGGTGCAAATTGCGCTTGTGCTAGATGCGAACGGTGTAAGAAATTTGCTTATGATAATGATAAGGTGATTGTACATTTCCCTTCTAATAAATCATAATAATGATGCTACATATTTTGAAATTTTGCACAGACATTATGCTTTAGCTGATAAGTCTATGCAGTTTCATTCAGGAACTATAGAGACAACAACAATAACAAAAAATCTGCTGGCCATAGAAACATGGGTGAGAGTGGTAGAGAGAGAAAAAGAGAGACAGAGAATTGTCAAGAGCATGCGCTCCCTGCGTTTACATTTGGGCATCAGCTGTTAAGCAGGTGGTATCGATATGATGTCTAGTCGAAAAAATATATCGCACGACTGGCATTAAGTAGCTGCTATCGATATAAAGTAGGCCAGCAGTACACACAATATATCGCACGATTGTAATCGTTTGCAACTGCTTAAAATTTAAAATAAAATTCAAATTATGTGGTTTTTGTTAAAGTAGGCGTGTAAGTCGTTAGATATTCGAATGTGTGCGAGAACAGGCTCAGTATTGGGCGTGTTACACAATCAGTCGCACGAAACAAATACGTTGATTCGTAAATATATTTTATATATACACAAGTGAAAAAGTCTATTGACAAGGTCCATACATAGTAAAAATTAATCAAAATGTTGCGCATACCAGGCATGCCCCTCTTGCCAGGGACGCTCTTTCGTGAAGTGAGTAACCAATAAAGATTATATTTACATTGATATTTACAGGCTTTTGTGCACCTTGTTTGATTAGGTTAGTAAAGTTTATTATCCCAAATCACAAACGTTGCTCAACTTTCGTGGTATACCGATGCTCAACGATCGGCAAAACTCGATTCCCGTGGATCCCGCCGGTATTGTGGTCGACATCAGCTGCCCGCCAGCGAATGCTCAAGCACTATATCCCCCACGATCGGGCCCGCGGCTACCTCCATGGTTGGCGTATGACAAGAAGGTTCTTAGTTTTAAAGCCTATTTCAAACAGACACTGCAGGAGAATTTTCATGCCCCCTATATGGTCAGGCATGTGAAGGTCTATTACTATCTGGAAGATGGCACTTTGGAAATTCACGAGCCAAAGGTCCAGAATTCGGGCATTGTGCAGGGCTGTGTTCTGCACCGACAGCGGGTGCCGAAGCCACCGCCATGTGATAACGAGTTTCTATCGATTACTGATCTCAATGTGGATACAACGGTGCAGATCTTCGATCGATTCTATCACATCGTCGACTGCGATACTTTCACACGAACTTTTCTCAATAAGCGCGGCATTGTGGTGCCCGATCCGGTGATGGCTGCAGTGTGAGCTCAGATAACCAATCTTATATCTTCTATATATATCCATCTATGTATATTTTAAATATTCTAGTGATCCTGCCGAGGCTGTTCGCAACCGTGTCGTGGCACGAGCCAGCAATCCGGCTGAAAAACGGCATCCGTTTGCCCAGTTCCTCAAGTATGATCGTCAGGTACTTAAATTTCAAGCCTATTGGGACGATCGCACTGATATGGGTGATGTGCGCAAGCTGGAGGTCTGCTACTACCTGGCCGATGATACCATCGAGGTGAAGGAAGCTCACATACGAAACTCGGGACGCGACGGTCCGAGCGTGTTTCTCAAGCGCGGAAAATTGCAGCGCGTAAGTAAGATCATTTGATTACTGATCGACGATTACGAGATCCTTGCCACGTATCATTGATTACTAATCTATGAAACCAGTTACTGATGAGTGATTCCTGCTCAAAGGTACTCAATTACTACTATTGATCTGATTCTTTTGCAGGAATTTGATGGAATGATGCTGCCAGGTCAACAGACGCCGGTAACCCTGTTGAATGTGCTTGGATCCAATCGGAACGTTCGTTACTGTGTCGATCCGCTCAATATTGGTAACAAGGAGATTCTCTACTACACTCAACGCGATCTGCAGATCGGCAGTGTAGTCAACGTTTATGGCCGAGCCGTAGTTATCACGGACATGGATCCGTTCACCCGGCAGTACTATCGCGACCACTATGGCATCGAGCAGTTCACACCATTGTCCATGCCAACTCGATCGGATGTCTGCAAGCCGTATGACAAGTCTGGACGCATGTTGCCGCCGTTCAATGGCTGGGGCACTTACGAGGACTCGGCAGGCAATTGCATGTCGATCGTGATCAAGAGGCCGAAAACAGATTTTAGGAAGTTCATCAAATTCGATCGTTATGTCCTCCGTTTCGGTGCAAAGATGCTTTCGACCATACGAGAGAATTGTGAACGGATCTTTGTGATCAGCTACTATATGAGCGATGATACGATGCAGGTGCAGGAGGTAGCAGTACGCAATTCGGGCTTCCTTGGCGGTGTATTTATGAAGCGCACCCGAGTTTTGATGCCCGGCCAGGAAAAGTTTTCGTGCAAGCAGCCCCAGTACTATAGGCCGTGCAACTTCTACATAGGTGGCACAATGTCCATTAAGGATTTCCTATTCCATTTGGTGTCGGCAGATGAGTTCACATTGATGTATATGGAGCATCATCCGGATCAGTTTACTCATAGCAATATAGAGCTGATCTTGGAGAAGGTGCGCAAGTCTCTGGAGCCGCGTATGTCACAGTTTGTTTCCAGCTGTGTGCCCGACTATCAGGATCTGGAAAAGAAAATGGAGAAGCGTTCAGTTTTCATTTCCTTTGAGAGCCTCAAGGGTGCTTTGGTTGCGTTGATGGGCAATCAGATCAGCGATCATGAGATCATCTCACTGTGTCGCCACTTTTCCGGCGAACAGGCGGCGCCGAATGCCTGCGAACGGGAGAAGGTGCGTGCCTCGGCCCATTTGGAGATCAAACGGGCGCTTTGGAATGGTCGGGATGAACTGATGGAGCACTTCCATCATATCAATCCAACCAATAAGCCATTCCTGCCAGAAAGCCAGGTGCGTTCGACGTTGCGTGGTTTCCGCATGCCGTTCACACTGGAGCTAATCGATACAATTTTGTCGGTGCTGAATCGAAATGATTGCGATGACATTGAGGTTTGCGATCTGATGAACTTCATCGATGTGTCGTGCACCAAAGGCTGCGATATGCCACCTATCAACTATGCCTTCGAGCTGTGCCCCAAGCTGCCCTTCCAATACAAAGGACGTGTCGTGGACTTTGGGTGCCTACTCAAAGCCCTCAACCTGCCTCTCAATCTGCCCGATAGCAACGCCCAGCCGACCAAAATGATAGGTGATGCGCGCATCATGCCGCCCTCGGCAACAGCTGACTGTTGAGGATAGCCGCATTATCAATTTCCAATACCCGGTCCCACCCGGATCATCGACAGACGGCCAAAACACCAACACAGATCCTCTCGATCATCAGTGTTCGCCCAACACCTGATCATCGACAGATTGTTGTTACATCTACACAGGTCGTTGATCTTCAATACCAAATCACTGATGCTCGGATCAGTGAACGGAACGGAAGTGAATGATGTTATCGTCATGCAATTTTAATTTGTTAAACAGTTTTTTGTTTACAGCTCTGTTCCTTAAATAGGATACATCGAAATTTCTTGTATAATATGCAATCGATTTAGCGGACAACTCATTAGCTCAATTGTCGTAAAGCATACAAACAATACGTGCATCAAAACATCTCGCGCACATATACAAACATACATTTTACATACTAAAACAAAATATGTGTAAAAAATTAATAAAATCCTATAGATTGTAATTTATGTTGCAGTGCTCTTATACTAATTACACTCCTTGATGGAAAGAGAGAAGCAGTAAAGAAGTTGAACATAAAAATCTGCAGTTAAGAAACTGGCGTTGTCCATATCGGAAGTTCTTAGTGCTGATGATCAAGAACCCGGCTAGGAATTACCTTGTGATAGAAGTCTACAGTGATAGCTGCAACTATATTTAGGCATATACAATCTATATTTCCAGATTTTTTAACCAAAAAGAAAAGTCTTTCAAGAGTTTTGTACATTTTCATAAGTCTCTATTTATTAGGTTTCTTCAAAATAGCATATTGGGTTTTTTTCGCAAAAAAAACTAGTTATTTTTTTGCTTTTTTTAGTTAAATAATAGCTTATTTTAAAAAAAAATATCGCATATCAAGGGGGAGTTATCCATTCCATTTTTGCTTAGCATCAAGTGATTTAGTCAAAAAATGCAAGTAAAATTTTACTTTTTCACTAGGCGTATTTTTTTCTTTTAACATTTTGTTGCTTAATAAATTTCTGAAAAAATTTGCGAGCTAAATTTCTTGTTTTGCCTTAAAAATTGATGTTTTTTTTTGTATTTATTTCGTTTATATATATTTTTATTGAAAGCCAAATTTGAGTTACAAAAATTTTTAAAAATAAAAATAAAAAAAATTGGTCGCGTGTATAGTGTTTTTTTTTACTTTTTTGTTTTTAATTGCGATTTGCTTAAGTACTGTACTTAAAATTAATTAAACATTTAAAACAGATATATATATAGAGAGAGGGGGAAAAAATATAGAATTTGGTATACCGAAAAACGAATTAAAAATTTATACCGTGAGATGGACTAAACTGAAGGATATCAGTATAATATATATATATATGTATAATTGAAATAAAAAAAAAAAACACTACAAATTGAAAGCCGAAGAAAAGTTAGTTATTTATATTGTTGCTGTTGTTGGCTGTTGCAGTTTGTTTTGCCTGGGGTTTCGGACAGGGACATGTTGATCAGCGCCGTTCATTTGTATATATATATAAATATATATATATATATAGCATATCGCATATTTCATATCTAGCATATAGAGTGTAGTGTATGTGCAATTTCATTTAAATTTAAATTTAAATTTGGTGTTTATTGTTACAAATGGGTATATAGGATAATGCAAATGTGATTACAATCGAAATGTAGTGAAATCGTAAGATTGGGCGACTCAATATCAAAATAGTGCAACGAGGGGCTCCCTAAACTAGGCTGAACGAATGCAGTGTTTTTCTTGTTGTTATCGCCGCCGCTAGGCTAAGAGTCAATGCTAACTAGTTAACTAATTATTCGCTAACTAATTAACTAATTACTCGCATCTACACCTAACTCGTCATTCGCAGATACAGTTTTGGCACAACAGTCTTTAGTTTGCTACTCGTTGCTGCGCAATCTGTCGCCCGCCGCTTGCAACTCGTTACTCGCCACTCGCCTTCCGCCACTCGTCACTGTGCTTGCTTGTGTTTTTGTCCTAGTCCTTTTATTTCCTCTTTTTTTTATTTGTTTTCATTCCTTCTTAACGATGCGCTATTACAAATTTGGCTACCCCTTGTTCACAAACGGATGCTGGTGCGCTCGTGCTTAGATCTCATCAATGTCTATCTCGTCGCCATCCTCGTCCTCCATGGCGTTTTTCTTATTAACAGCGGCAACGGCGGCAGTAACAGCTGCCACCTTCAAGGGCTCCACACGTGCACGATCATCATATTCGATTTCGACATCCGAATCGCCGCAAGCGTTACCATCATCATCCGACGAGGAGTCCTCTTCCTCGGCATCCTTCAGCCATTGGACAAACGGTTCAACTTTCTCGTGTATCTCCGTAGCAATCTTCTTTGAAACATGACGCTTGCTGACCTTCTGGGCCCATTCCAGTATCACCTTCTCGTCGAGTATGTCCAAATCGTAGAATATCTTAAAGATTCCGGCCACCTTGCTCATCAACGTGTTCGCATGCAGTTCAACAGTCTGCTCGATGCCACCGATCAGATAACGCTGGCCCTTCGGATTGTTGTGGGTGAACCGCAGCAGGAGAATGCGATTTTTGCGAACATCGAGAATGATGTTCTCGGTGAAGAGCAGCTCGGCCAGCACTAGCGGTGCCTTGTTCACAATATCCAAGCGCTCGGCCTCAATCAGCAACTCCTTATGCGTGGGCACATCATCAAGCTGTTTCATATCTCGCTTGTTCTTCACCAACTCGTAGAAGATATCGATGCGCTCCTTCTCTGTCTTGTCGTAGTCATCCGAAATGGTCATACCCTTGGCTCCATCGGTCAGATCCTGCAAACGAGCGCGTATCGCCTCCTATAAAGGATAAGCAATTCAGTGAGTCAATAACTTGAGTTGTGAATCGCAAAGAAAGGCTATGCTAACTGTTACTACATTAGCATATGTTATCTTAACAGTTGCTATTATTTTCATGCTGTATGCTTTAACAGCAGACTTTCAGACTCATTTCTTTTTTCTTTCGTTTTCATGTCGTTAAAATTTTAGCTCACCTTGGAAACATCAACGCTCCAGCCACCATCGTCGTCATCCTCGGCATTGCTCTTCTCAGGTATGGCGGCGCTAATCTCTGCTTCCGTTTGGCTGGCATGGTTGGTGCCATTGCCGCCATCCGATTCGCCGCCAGAATTATTTGCCATTGAATTATTGGACATCGATCCATCAGAGTTTTCATTCTTTTGCTTCTGCACACGCTTGGAGCGTTTGCCTTCCGTTAGAGATGAACCCTGGGCAGCAGGATTCAGCGATGGCGGATTCTTCACAATATACGTATTGACCTTGTGGTTGACCTTCAGTAGGCCATGGAAACCACAAGCCTTACACGACTGCGAGATGGTCTGATTTTTGGCCGAGACAGTTAAATTCGTCTCCGGATTATCGCACTCGGGACAGAGCACGAATTTACGTATGAACCCATCCAGCAGATCCTGCAACTTGTTCACATCATGGGATCCATTTACAATGAAACGTTCGTTCTATAAAATGGAGCAGACAAATGAATTAGAGATATGTATGCAAACACAGAAGGATCGACGATCCTATGCGATTATATATGCATACCTTATGATCGAACTGCGTTTGGGCGCCCAGCTCACAGCCAAAGTACTTGGTTGGATAGGTAGCTGGTCTTCCGATCGCTCTAGCCACCTCGGCCATGTTGACGAGGACCGTTTTGATGCCGTTGCCTTTGCCTTCGACTTTGGCCTGCAGGCGTGGCATTTTGTAGCGATAGAAGATATCCGTAACGCTGCGATTTACGTTGACGGTCGCCATGTTGAAGCTTCGAAGTACCGTTTGGTTTGAAGTGAATGATTGATTGAATGATTGTTGACTGATTCAATTATTGTTGCTGCTGATCTACTATTAACTAGATCCAGATGCCGATTGCTGACTGTCTGTCTGTGTTCGTGTTATTGTGTGTGTTAGTGTGTTCGTGTATGTGTGTGTGAGTGTGAGTGTGAGTGTGTGTGAGTGTATATGTGTGGGTGTACACGTGAGTGTGTTGCTGGCGGCGTCTTAAGGGGGGTACGGGGATCAGATCTGATCGGGATCGTATCGGATCGGCTAATTCCAATTGTCTATGGTGGTTTGTGCGGCTGGCAGAGCCAACTTGTTGACTTCAGCTATTTTGGCTATTTTGCAATTGCTTCGTTGCGCCTCGTTCCCGTTCATTAAATTTGTTTTTGGCTCAACCTGTGCTCCGATCGCGTTGATCTCTAGATACTCTCTCTGTTTCTTACTCACGCTAGCTCGCTTGCGCGCTAGCTCTCTGGCAGTTTCTTTTGATTTTGGAGAGTCTAGTTAGTGGCAAACGTCGTCGTCCACGTGCATCCAAAAAAATGGGAGAAATAAATGAAATGTGGGCTTCAGGCTTCCCAAGTTTTTTTTTATCTACGCTGAGTTGTGGAATCTATTCGGGAGTTATGGAACCTTTGTTTTTTTCATCTAGTTAGTTGTATATTATTGGTGTTATTTACCGCCTTTATCTTCTTTCGTTTTCTTTCCTTTTTTTCTTTTTTTTTCTTTTTGGTATTTGTGGTTCCTACTGCCGTCTCCTTTTCCCCTTCTATTCGGTTTGTAGTGCGGGCTTTACTGTAGTAGTATATTTATGCTCTCTATATATCTGGCATAGTCTTAGCTATTGGTGTTTTTTTTTTGTTTTTTATGTTTTTAATTTTTTTTTTATTTTTGTGTAATTTTTTTTTAACGTTTTGTTTTGTTTGTTGTATGTTTAGTAAAAAACTATTGGAACGGTACAATGGTTGGCTCACGTGTACCTGAACGGCTGTAACTTCCGATGTCTGTTACTTGAAGTCCTACATTTGGGCGAAAAAATACAAATAATAGTAGTAATATAATAAATCGATACATTTCGGTCCACAGAGCGTGCTCAAAGATTTATAGATTTGCTAACAGCTGTTAGTTAACATTCGTGTGTTATGTATGTAACAGCTGTTACTTCTGAATAGTAATATGCGTACCGCAATGCTAAGCAGAACTGTTAACAATTTTGTAAAATATACTAAATGAATATAGGGAAATATAGTGAAGCAGGTAACTTAACAGTTGCTTAAGATCAATTTGCATTCAAGGTAATTTATTAAATATTGTTGTACTCTTTGTATACAGAGCTCTGGATAATATTAACCATAGACTCAGAACATTTCAATCTATTGAGAATATTTAAAATGATAATTTATGCTAATTTGAGGACTAATAGCACTTCAAATGCCAAAGGCTAACAATCGATAAGAGCAACAGCTGCGCTTCGTCGACCTATTTCACAGAGTAACACTGAACCTAGATTTTGTCGCATAATTCTAGGGTATACATGTATATATAGTAGAACACTTACCGATGACTTATAGTTCGCCTCTTTGAATTCATGCACAGTTCGAAGCTTTTACTCCGTTTTTGTGGAATTGGAGGTGCGCCTTTTTTTGCTGGTGTTTCTGCAAGAGGAAATATTAAGTTAAACCAGGTAATTTTACGATAAACCCGATGCATCTATATCTATATCCATATATATCTGTATATCTGTATGGTATTTGAGCTCTAGTTTATGGCTTACCCACATAGGTTTACAATAAGGCCAGCTTTCGATACGTTGCATAGCAAGTGAACATTGGTAACCCACTTTCGACACACACTAAGGACACTTCAAACAGGATATACGTTATACGTTTTTTTTTTTTTTTCAGAGGAATTGAATCTTCGAGCTAGGTCTTCAACTTGATGTGTATGTGTGTATGCTATGACTATTGTGTGGAAAGTTTTATATATATATATATATTTATATACACAAATATATATGTATGGTATTGGCTTGGAGCGGTTGGATGGGCCTAGAACGATTGATTGGGATTGCTCGCTCTTACGCCAGCTTCTTTAATGCCGCCTCATCGAGAGCATAGAATATCAGCTGCTAGCATTGGCTCTCTCTTCTTCTTTTTACACGGAGTAATTTCGAACCAAAGCTTAACCAAAAGTTAGACCACATCAAAAATTCTTTATCAACGTCACTTCGCTTCGCAATGCACGCCAAATGATATCGCTGTGTGTGTGTGTGTGGTGTTGTGGGCGAGTGGTATGTGTATGGGTGTTAATATATATATATATAAGAATATATATATATATATATATAGCTATACATATATATATATATATATATATATAATATATATATATTCGGCGGATTGTTATCTTGATTTCACGTCCAATTTGAGTTGCATTTGCATTTGCATTTCTTATTCATCAACGGGCAGGAGAGACAGAGGTGAGGAGTTTGTGCCAGTCACTGCAAATTTGAGATTTACACTGAGAATTTCGCAGGTTATATATCAAATAATTTCAAAATTGAATGCCTTGTGTCAAATGTTTCACTAGCAGCTGCTGTCGACAAAGCCTCGAACTGACAGCAAACTCAAAACGATGACAAAGGATTATCGATATCAAAGCACAAGTTACCTTTCCTTTTTAACTCAACTTGATATGTATACAATATAAATTACCCATTGAAGACCGTTTATACCAAATGATTCTATGAGAAAGTGGGTTTTTCTTATTGGAAAATTCTCTACCGAACTCGCATAACGGCGAAATACAACAGAATCTTTAAGCGAACTCCTTAAGGACATTACAGCTAGATCACTCCCAATAGTAACGAGTCGAGTGGACAGAATGTTAATATTAATCTTTAGCAGTTATCGACAGCAAACTTAACAGTAAGTTAAAAGAGATGCCCGCTATTAAATCAGCTTAAGCACAAGCTCAAAGAACTAACAATAAATGTTAATTTCATTTATTCAATCTTTTCTGAAAATTGTTCGCAGTTAAGAAAAGTTATTGAATATAACTGTACTTTTAATCTATAGGAATTTTCGCTAATTAACTTAAATGAGGAGTTGATGAGCTGCCAAACTACTTCGTAGCTAAACGCGAACTTAACGAAGAATGTTGAAAACGAAAGCAAAATACACCACATAAGCGTGTGGTGTAGCGTGGTGGGGTGTGGTGTATTGTTGCATGTGCCTGCGTGTGTGTGTTGAAATAACTAACAACTCACCGCTGAGGTCATAGGTAATGGCCACAGTATGTCGCTGGATGGTTAAATCGCACAGCATATGATGCAGCTCGCTTTTATGATTGGTTGTCACGAGCAGTAGCTGAACGAGTGCCGCAAGGAATTGCAATGCCAATGGCAATGGTAATGGCAGCGGCAACAGCGACGACGACGGCGACGACGATGATGACCACGACGACGACGGCGACGACGACGACGTCAACAGCGTCAGCGACAGTTTCGTTTGCTTCGGCGGCGTCAGGTTGATGACGTTTAACCAGTTGGCAGTTGTTGTTGTTGTTGTTGTGTTTGTTGTTATTATTATTGGCAGCACAGCGTTGGCTAACAGGATCTGCTGCTGCTTCTTCTTCTTATTCTTTGTGTTAACAGTTCGTTGGCTGTGTATGTGACAGTCACTGTTACGCTTACCGTTGTTGGCTGTTTTTAACGTTAACGTTTTTCTGTTTAATGCGAGATTCGAATTCAGTTTTGTTTTCGTTATTGTTATCGTTGTCAAATTGCGATTTTCGATCGATTGCCCGATAATTAGACACGAAACCAACGAAATTAACAAAAGAACGACAAAAGAAATATTTACGTATATATATGTGTGTGTGTGTGTATGAAAAAATCCTGTTAATGTGTGCACAATTTCTCAGCTCGAGCCTGCGACCAAAAAGGATCGATTACGTTATTTTTTGCTCTTGTCCTTGTTCTTGTTCTTGTTCTTATTCTTCGATGCAGAAGTGCTGCTGCTACTGCCGCTTCTATATCGATAGATTCGTTAATCGCTATGTATTTCATCGATGGGTTTCTACTTCTTAATCTATGTGTTTCTTGTTTTTTTATTTTGTCTGCTCTACTGCTGTTTTCTTTGACCAATTTAGTGTGTGACATTTGAAAAACTATATGTATATATAGACATTTATATATATATTGAATTTTTCGATATATTTCAATCAATATATATAATAAATACAGTTGAATTGATTGAAATGTATCGGAAAACTCAATGTAAAAAAAACACAGACAAAATAATAGAAATTTTCTATAGAAATTGCCAGACACGTTGCATTTTGCATACATGAGAGAGAGTTATGTATGTATGTAGTTCAGTTTAGTTTATTTTTTTATTATAAAAAACAGCAGCAACAAGAACTTCACTGCACACTCACGAACACATACACCTATATATATATAATATATATATATATATAAATATATATATATAGAGGAAAAATCCAATAATTACAATGCCAATTGGCACGAAAATTGTGTCTCTGCGATTTCTTTCTTTCTTTCTTTTTTTTTTTGGGGCGTCTATATATATATATATATATATACATATATCTGATGCACATATATAACTTATATATATATATAAACTGCTTACAACTGCTTTAATACAACTTTTCTTTTGTTGTTGCACGCACTGCGTGGAAAATTTTTTCACGTAACGCGAACTATTTGAACGAGGGGAAAAGGAAAATGTCGGAAAAAACTTGCGATGGTCTTAGCGCTGACGAATAAACTAACTTGACTGACTGCTGACGGCGATGCTGAGAGGCCAAGTCCTGCCAGCGTGCGTCGGTGTGTGTGTGTGTGTGTGTGTGCGTCGGGGATGGAACACACGGAACAGAACAGAGCAGCCCCAAAATGCGCATGTGCCATGGCCCTTTGCAGCAGAAGCAGTAGCAGTAGCAGTAGCAACAACAAAACATATGTTTAACAAAGACAGCCAACCACCCCCCATGCGCCTCTTACTCCACTCATAGAATGCAACTCCCAGTTCAATTTTGGCATACGTTAGACGCCCATTAAACGCCGTATTACAAGCACAATTGCGCTTCTTTTTCGATCGGGTCAGCCGCAAAGTAGGCAGCAAAACGTCAATGAGCAAGCAGCCAAGATTTTAAGCACTAACAAAAACAACAAGAGCAGCAATAGCAAAAGGAAGCACAACAGTTAAACTACAACTGCAGGTCACGCAATGGCAGAAGAGAGCGAGAGGGAGAGACAGAGGGAGTGAGCGCAAGCACATGCAATACACTTGTCAACCGTTTGTTGTGCAAGAGAGAGCGCATAACTGGCTCTGCCACTGGCTGCAACGTAAGCAGCTGAGAGCGAGTGAGAGACAAGATGAGAGCGAAAAAGTGAATGGGCTGCACATTTGAACAGCTGAGCATGAGAGACAGAGAAAGCAACTTTTGTGGAAGCTGAACGATTCTTGCAGTGCACATAAAGATTAAATGGATATTGAACTTATCAATTGAAAGGGAGTTTACTATTTTTAAATACCCTACCATAAAAATATATATCGATAGCTTTTTGTATATTCTTGTTTGTATATCCTTGAAAATGCACAATAGCAATTGAAATAGAGTAATTAAAGATGCTTATTTTAAGAAAATTCAATAAACATCAAAAGGGTATCAAAAGTTCTAGTTATATTTGTGCACTTAAATAACCATGAAATTGCCTTTGCTACTTTTTTAGAATCGCATGACAAATGCAATTTAAGCGATAAAAAGATTTGTATGTATGTAAAGTTTATTTATTCCATATATAGATATGTATATATATTTCTTGGTATCGCGTTCAGCTTTTGCAGTGACTGAAAAGAGAAAACTTTCGAGCTCTCAATTCACAGTTTATTAACCAACAGAGTTTTCATTGCATTGCCAAAGACGAAGAAGAAGAAGATGCAAGACAAGTGGCACAATTAGTTGTCATGTAAATACTACAGAAAATACTTGCAATTGGATACCGTCAACTGTTGCACACAAAGGAATAAAAGAGTAGGATATGAAAGTTGGGGGCGGTATGAACATGGAGGTAAACAAGGGACAAATGAGAAATTCCAGTGACAGAAAATAAATAAAAAAAATAAAATTTCGAACTTGCCCGAATTGGAGATACTCTGAACCTTAGTAGTTTGTACTGCGTTTTCTGATATTTTCCATATCTTGTATCGAGTATTAAAAAAAAAAAAAACAAACAAAAGCCGACACTAAGACACCAAGAAACGACAAACCCGACGTCGTCTGGCATTGAATTCGAGAACTTCTCGCCAACGAACGCCACCTCTGCCAACAATAACAATAACAAAGCAAATCTCAACTTAACTAGCAGCTGACAATTCAATAGTAATTGCAATTCTTCGAATAGAAAAGCATCCACACATTTGAATGTATTTGTGCCAATGTATATACAAAAGGCGTATGCTTCGAGTTGCTTGCCACGTGCCATTGCAAATAAGCCAATCATTTTGTTTAATAACTTCTATGTTATTTAACGGATTTGAATGACATTTTCCGCATACGATCTATAATTAGATCTATCTGTGTTGAGTGTGCCGTGTCTCCTTGTGCCTGTTACATACATTTTAACAAAACCATTATACCCTGATTTTCCATTTTTTATGGGAACAGGGTATAAAAGAAACAATTTAAATGTCGAACAGAGCAAACAATGAAGGCTCATTCAAGCGAACACCCACGAACCACTTGTCTTTTACAAAGAAATTGATATAGATGTAGATGGAACCGCAGAGCCTATAAATAGCTGATTCCTTCAATATTTAAATGATAATAACAGACTCATTACAGATTTTCATTCGATTATACAGGAATACAATTCTATACTATATGGTATCCTGAATATATTTTATGATCCAAATATAATGTCATATGTTAAAGTGAAACCATTTGGTCGACTTTATTTGAAGAATAAATTTGGCTAAGTCAGTTTTCACTGTACTTGGCCAAATGTTAAGGTTGCTTTGCTCTTTCATAACTGCATGAAGATAACGATCTAGAGCAAGCGGATCGCACATACCCTATAATACGCCCTCCACGCGCGGGGCAGTTCAATCGATCACCAATGCCATAAACTGGTTTCTCACTTTTTTATCAGTGGTTTTTGCCGTTGTTTGGTTGCGCTTGCAAATAGCCAAACAAGAAACAAACAAAAGACAAATGGAAAGAAACAACAAAATATAACAAAGGAAATATCAAGTTTGATTTGCTGCTCAACGCGCGAGATATCCTAGAGCAACTTTTAAGAGTTAACTTCAGCTTATAAAAAAAGGAAAGCGTGCAGAGCGCCAAGTAGGCTGTGATCGACTTCACAATATCTTATAAAGAGAAATTTGCTTTGTACATGAAGCGCGCCAGATCCAAAAGCTAAATTTCAGATAAATTAACTACAAACATGAATACCCCATTTTAAACATTTCCCTTTCAATAAGTATTAAATAACCAAAAGAGTTCGCTTCCAAATGCAAATAGAACTGGTAAACAAAATGGAAGAGGAGGTGCAGACGGGGCAGTAGGGAGAAAGAAACAAAAACAGGGCCATTTGATTGGAATTGATGGCGCATTGTCTTTTGGTTGCTATTAAAATTATAACAATTGCGGTTAGTTCCACTCGTAACAGACGCCTAACAGTGCGCTGTTAATTAACAGAGCAGCAACAAAAATAATATATGTAAATGTATGTATATACGAGGCTAGTAGATGAGTAAGTGTATGTGAGTGTGTAGGTATGCATGTGTAAGTATAAGTGTATGTATTAGTTGATCGGTTACGGCATGCGCACATTAAGCTTAACAGAGAACACATTTGCACACGCACAACAGATATGCCCATATGCAAGTGTGCGTGTGTATGTGTGAGTATATATAGGAAAAATGGAAAAAAAAGTACACGTCGCTAGATAATGATGTTCATTTTGTTCATGATCTTGAATTGCGTAGGCGTAACGAAAAAAAATACTGGAACGTTTTTTCTTTCATTCTTTTTGCTGGAAAATGTGGCACAAATTGCCAATTAAATAGAAAATTTGTTATAAAAATATACAAGGTGTATTTGAATTAAGCATAAATTCTATGGCACTATATATATATGTATAGAATAAAGTATATTTAGTGCCTCTCTACCAACATTTACTGGTATTACTTTAGCAAGTTTTCACTGTATATTAGGTGAACTATGATTGAAAACGTTTCTGAGTACAGTGTAAGGTCTGCAAGACGGATATTAGCTAGGTATACTTGTTCTCTATTAAGCTTTCATTGTGTATCAGTTAAGCTACATATGAATATGCCCATATATATTGCATAATAATAATGGGATGTGTTTAAAGGTATTTGGTTCAAGGTTGAAAACTTTTCTAGCTACAGTAGAAGTTCTATTAGACGCACATTTGCGCTAAATACCGTTCACTCTATTACGCGTCCGTCGAAAAATAATAATAATGGGAATGTCTATTTAGTGAATTAGTTTATACAGATATATATATATTTATGTGCATCTCATGCCGTAGGGGTCAGAATTGAGAGGTACTTACCACTTAATCTTTCAAAAGTCATATAAGATATTATGTTTCCCCTGCTTGGGGTGCGCAATGCAATCTCACGAATTAGATAAGGAAGTGTATGAAGAATATCTTCTCTCCTCTCAACACACGTTTCAAATACTCAACGTTTCGATCTGGTGTTCTCTCTCTTTCTCTTTATATGTGCTTGTCTTGCTCACACACAGATGTTTGCTCGGTTTTGTTATGATTGAGATGATATATATGTGGTATGTATATATATACGTATGTATATATATGTATATATATATATATATAGTTGAAGGTATTTATATGCTGGTTAACCGTAACTGATTAGTACGATTCTTGTTGTCGATTTTCGCTCTTCTTTTTGCCACGTGAGAATTTTTGCGCAACTGTAAAAAAAATTGCTTAGCGTTTTTTTTTGCGATGGCCGCTGGCAGCGCTAAACCACGCGAATTGCTTTTTGGTCAATTGTTTTTGTTGCTGTTTGCTTGTGCAGCTGCTGCAAAAAGTCTGTAATGAAATTAAATAAAATATATATAAATACTTATGTATGTATGGGTTGCACATTTGTTTACAATCGCAAATAATTTCGCATGAATATTGAAAAATTTTCGAACAATATGCTAAATGTTAATTGCGCATGTTGCCCAACAGAGGGAGACACCTTCGACTCCCCCCACCAGCTGTTAACACACTGTTGTCTTACAGTGTGCGTGCCCGTGTGTTTCAGTGCGTGTGCGTGAATGTGTATGTGTGGCTCGATCAAATTTGTTGTTGCTTAGCGAACAACGAAATGAAACGAAACGTGCGCAGTACACTACAATAAAAAAAAACCAATGGGTTATATCTTTACTTAATAGTATCCTTTGCAAAATCACATATACGCAAATGTCAACATTTCATGTGGCTTTCAACTATTTGCAAAAAATGATTAAGCTGTTATCTTTTTTTCTGTTACCCTGCCAAGTCACTAGTTAAAAAAAAAGTTTGCCAATATATTTACGCCAACAATGCACGTAATTTTAATTTTTAGTGCACACACACACACACACTATCATGCACATGCACAGGCACAATGAAAGCAGCCACGCCATTTAACCTTTTTTTTTGAGGTTGTGTCTGCTACTTTACATATATAATTTTACCTTTTTGTTTATAACGCAATCTTATACGGATCTTCAATACAACAATTGTATAGAACGTTGGCTTTTATATGCGAATTTATAATGCGATTTGCAACTGATTTTCCACGGAGATACGACGACAAACTGCTGTGCACTATTAGTGATGTACAGAAAGTAACATAATATCGATAGATCAATTCAAAGACGTTGGTGCGAAGACATCGCGTTTCGCGATGTGTAACGATAGGGCCAAGCATCGAATGTGCCTATTCTAGTGCAATTTTTGTTTTTTTATAATATTGCAAAATTGACATTGAAATTGTGTCGGTTAATGATGGTTAATTGCTTGGAATGTAAAGTGTAAAGCCGGGAACAAGTGATTTGGTTAGGCCTCTATGAACGGATATTATATATGAATATATACTATGATTTTATTTTCAAAGCATGCTATTTTTTGCTAGAGTAGACAGTAGACCAACTGTCAATGTCTTTAGAGGTTTAATCTGATGTCCAGTGTCATAAAATGTACAAATAGTATTCAAAAGAGACTTAAGTCATTTGAGATCGATATACTCACATGCAAAATACATAAAAAGTTCAAAATATATATATCGATACCAGTTTTGCAACGCACTTGCATTTTGTCTAGTGAGTTGCTAATAAGTTGTTATATTTATCTTAAGAAAAAGAGTTGATAACGTAGGCTAGAAAATATTCTAACTATAATCAAATCTTATTGTTATTGCCGCTTTGTGAGTGAAGTGTGACCGTGGTAATATTAGAAAGAAATGCTAAGCTTAGCTGAATATTTATTTGAATATTTTATTGCATTTATATGAAGCTAAAAGTTATAAAAAAAAAATATAAAGATTGAATTGTAATTACTTTGGCGCGTAAGTAAAATATATTCTCTACATCAATAAGCATAACCAATTTGAGTAAAATATCGATATTTGCTATGCATATCGATAGATACAAAGTTGTGACCGGCAGCGTGTTGTCGTATGGTTTAAAAAGCTGAATTTTTGTGATTTTCAGCCGTTGTTCCACTAAATTGACGACATGCCTAAAGAACAGTTTCGCGCCTCGGCGCTTAACAAGAAAATGTAAGTTGGCTGCAACTGACTGAAAAAGATAGTTAATAATGGCTTATTTATTTGTGCAGCTCACATGTGCAATTTGGCATTAGTGGCGCAGATGAAATTCAACAGGAGTCGCTAGTCCGAATTATTTCAAAGAATTTGTATCAGGCACAACGGCAACCGGTGCCTTTTGGCGTACTCGATCGGCGTATGGGCATCAGCACCAAGGATGCCGTCTGCGAAACTTGTGGGCAGGGCTTAAACGAATGCATTGGACATTTTGGTTATTTGGATCTCGCCTTGCCTGTCTTTCACATTGGACACTTCCGATCGACAATAAATATTCTACAAATGATATGCAAGACGTGCGCACATGTTATGCTGAAGCCGGAGGATCGTGCCGTATTTGAGAAGAAGCTACACAATCCGAATTTCTCATATCTGGGCAAGAAGGCTCTGCACTCCCAGATGCTCGCCAAGGCCAAGAAGGTGACCAAATGTCCGCATTGCAACGCAGCCAATGGAGGTGTTAAGAAAGGTCCCGGTCTGCTCAAAATCCTACACGATCCATATAAGGGGCGCAAGAAGGATGCCCTCTTCACCAGCCACATGGATCAGATGTTACGCTCCACAGAGCTAAATCGGGATTTGAATCTAACCCTTAGCAACTACAGTGCTGCTGAGGAGCTGACGCCGCTAATGGTGCTTGATCTGTTTGAACAGATACCACAAAGTGATATCGCTTTGCTTGGCATGTGCTCTCGTGGGGCGCATCCAAAGCATTTGATTGTCACTCGTGTCTTTGTGCCACCTGCCTGTATCAGACCCTCTGTGCTGTCGGAGGTGAAGGCGGGCACCACGGAGGACGATCTGACTATGAAACAGAGCGAAATTCTCTTGATTAACGATGTTATACAGCGCCATATGGCTACAGGCGGTAAAATAGAACTAATACACGAGGATTGGGACTTTCTGCAACTGCATGTTGCTCTCTATTTCCACAGTGAGATCAGTGGCATCCCCTTGAATATGGCACCCAAGAAGACAACTCGTGGCATTGTCCAGAGACTGAAAGGCAAACAAGGACGCTTTCGCGGCAATTTGTCCGGCAAACGTGTTGACTTCAGTGGACGCACTGTCATCTCACCGGATCCCAATCTGATGATCAATCAGGTGGGTGTGCCAGTACGTGTGGCCAAAATTCTGACCTATCCTGAGCGCGTTAATCCCGCCAATATTAGGCACATGAAGCAATTGGTACGCAATGGGCCAGCCACACATCCGGGCGCCAACTACGTACAACAGCGCGGCTCGAGCTTTAAGAAATATTTGGCATATGGCAATCGCGAAAAGGTCGCCCAGGAGCTCAAGTGTGGCGACATTGTGGAACGGCATTTGCGCGATGGCGACATCGTTCTGTTCAATCGTCAGCCCTCGCTTCACAAGATGTCCATCATGTGCCATCGCGCCAAGGTGCAGCCCCAGCGCACGTTCCGCTTTAACGAATGCGCCTGTACGCCGTATAATGCGGATTTCGACGGCGATGAAATGAATCTGCATTTGCCACAGACAGAAGAGGCTCGCGCCGAAGCCTTAATCCTGATGGGCAATCAATCGAATCTGGTGACACCGAAGAATGGGGAGATCCTGATAGCAGCCACACAGGATTTCATTACGGGTGGCTATTTGCTAACCCAGAAGGAGGTCTTTCTCACCAAGGAGGAGGCTATGCAGCTGGCCGCTTGCTTTCTGGCCAATGAGGATTCGACGATGCGCATTCAGATGCCACCGCCAACCATTTGGAAGCCGCGTCGCCTCTGGACGGGCAAGCAATTATTCAGCTTGCTAATGCGACCCAACGATGACTCCAACGTTCGTCTCAACATGGTGAACAAGGGACGCAACTACATGGGCAACATGGATCTCTGTGTCAACGATTCCTGTACGTAATTTGCTTATATATATATTGCCTGCCAACTCTTTCTAATCATCCATGCTATCTCTTTCTGCTTCAGGGATTCATATTCGCAACTCGGAGCTGATGTGCGGCACCATGGACAAAGCCACCATGGGCTCTGGCACCAAGCAATGCATCTTCTATCTGCTGCTTCGGGACTTCGGCGAGGCTTTTGCCACAAAAGCTATGTGGCGTCTAGCCAGGGTGCGTATACATTTTGACTAGCTGTGTCTCCCTCTAACTCTGTTAGTGTGTATCCGTGTCTATCTGTCGCGTTTTCTCTCTCTTTATGGCTGCTTCTCTATCTGCACTCATTCTCTTTCTGCTTATGTCGTTGTCTCACTCAGTAGTAGCCCGTCTGTCTACCTCTCTTTTTCTCCCTCTCTGTGTATCAGATAATCTATATCTCTCTCTCTCTCTCTCTCTCTTTCTGTCTATCAGATAATCTATATATCTCTCTCTCTGTATATCAGATAATCTATCTCTCTCTCTCTCTCTCTCTCTCTCTCTCTCTCTCTCTTTCTCTCTCTTTCTGTCGCACTCTGTAGGTAGTAGCCAACCTGTCATTTTTTTTCCTGTCTTTCTCCTTTTCTCTCTTGATCTATTTATTTCTCTCTCTCTCACTCTCTCTCTCTCTCGTTCTAAATGTTTTTATCTCTGATATCCTATCTCTCTCTTACTCTTCCTGCGTTTGTCCACCTGTCTCTTTCTCTCCCCTAATGTCTGCATTTTTACCTCTGCTTGCTATCCTCTCTCTCTCTCCCTTTCTCCCTGTCTCTCTCTTTCGCTGCATCTTTGCAATTAGTAAAAACTGTAGAAAAAAAAAAAAAAAAAACTGTAGTCTTTTTAAGGATTACGTTATTAATCGATTGCTACCGCTGTTCAATCGATAATGTTAAGGTCTTATAAAATATATATAAATTTGTGACATGTTGAGAGACGCGTGGCTCTTTCTCACGGATCGATAACGATAGCAATGGACTCGATAACATAAAGAGAACTTCCCAATAAGTTAATAAAACGATATCAATTAAAAGTCAAAGCAAAGAATCGATAATTGCTGCCTGGTTGACAAGCGGAACT